TTAACTTTTGAAAATGTTCCGGAAAGACTGACACTTTTATATATATCTTAAATTAAAGCTTATGTAATATACTTTAATTTGAAAAAAAAAAATTTGACCTCTGGACTTGTCTTCGTGGTGAAAACGGACATCAAAGTTAAAGAAAAACGTACGATTTCCGTGAAAAAAATCTCGATTTTATATGTTATATTATTTAATTTATATTTTATATAACTTTTGGAAAAATGTATGGATCTATATTATTATTTTTTTATAATAAATATTGATATACCCCTTTCATCTGGCACGCTTTTTTTGTAAATCGGATCATACCCCTTTAACAAGGGGGGTCAAAACTTTAAACATGCGTATTGTTACTACGATATTTTCAATTTAATTTTTGAAAGTATTCCGGAAATACTGACACTTTTAAATATATCTTAAATTAAAGCTTATGTAATATACTTTAATGTGAAAAAAAAAAATTTGACCTCTGGATTTGTCTTCATGGTAAAAATGACTACCGTATGCAAAAATATGCTATTTTTGTGTTAAAATTCTGGGTTTTGTATTTTATTTTATTTTAAAATACCTGACAAGGGGAGTACAGATTTTCATAAATATTATATAAATTAAAATTGATATAGTATAGATAGTTAAACTTATTTAAATATGTTTGTTTCTTTTAAGTCGAGAAAAATAACTTTGAAATTTGAACTAGCTTAAATAGCCAATTTTTCAACCGCCGGAAGCAACGTACGGTTGCCGAGTTGGTAAAATTTATGTTTTACACGCTTGGGGTACGAGGTTCCAACCCGCATATGGCAATGAATTTTTTGCATTTTTTCTTAATTCTTTTTAAGTTAGTATAAATTTTAACTCGTTTGATTTTTATCACATTTAGATTCAATAACTTCAATAAAGATCAAGGATCCCATCACTTTAGTCGCCCCTTGCAAGAAGAAATTTCTTATTCGTATTAAAATTATTTTACTATATTTTAAGTTTTCGCTTCGATGCAAAGCCGAGAAGATATTTTTTTGTGACTATCATTTATTTTCTCTGCTCTAACTTGACCTACTTTTTTCAACAATACGTCAAATTACTACAATTCGTATCTAGTTGAAGATATTACTCTCAAAAATTGAAAAAAAAATTCTAATTTATCAATTAAACAGTTAGTTATTACATCGTCTCCATAAAGACAATTAAAATCATTAATTTCTAATGTTTTCAAAATATTTATTAACGAATGAAGTTTGATATGATAGGTTTCAACTACAAAATTAAATCATTTTACTTTGTAATTTAATAATTTTTTTACTCTATTTGTGTGTGCTACTACTAGACTATAATATTACAATTTTTTTTTGTAACATGTTGCTATATAAATCATTTCTAAAAAAAATGATTGTTTTTTCTCCTGAATTAACAATTGATTTTTACAAATATAATCAAATTTTATAATACACTCAATTGAGTAAATCTTTTTAACAACTTTGTTTTGATTGGTACATTTAGTTAAAGTAAATCATTAAAATTAATTAAGTTCTCAATATTTCAATTATAGAATCTTTTCAACAAACAACAAAAGTTCCTAGGAAATTATTACTATTACTTCTATTTAAGTTATCTATTACCATAAAAATGCAAAAAAATATTGAGCTTTTCTGATAAATTTACAATAAATAGTAATTATAAAACTTTCTGACTGCATATTGATCTTAACGATACAATTTTTTTAATTGTCATAAAATTTTCTATTTAATTATGTCAATGTCAAACTTACCAATTGAGCTAAAAGTTATGGTAAAATAAATTTTTTTTTTTTATTATAAACATTTACAACAATCAACTTTAAACGATTAACAAAATAGGTTAAATATGTCATTTTCCTTATTTTTAACTTATTAATAATCAAATTAATATTAAATATTATATCAAATCAGTATTAATTTAAAACAATTTTTTTTGTTCTTAATTATTTTTTTTTATATGTAAAAACTATTTTTTAATAATATTAAAACTTAGAAGTTATAGAAAAAGTCTAATTGCACATTTTAAAACATCGCGAAAAGTTGATTTAGAATAGTATATTTTTGTTTCTGATGGAAGTTCCTTGTAGTCCAGTGTATAAAACTTATAACTTTGTTAATTGTTATAACTTTATCAAAAATGACCAAATCAGTATATTTTTTTTTATTTAGATGCATGTCTTTATCTATCATTTGGTTTTTTTTATAAATCTAACCCTTTACCTGCCCACAAGAGGGATTCAAAATATTAACTTTTTTTTTTTTAGTTAAAGTAAATCATTAAAATTAATTCAGTTCTGGATATTTCAATAGTAGAATCTTTTTAAATATCAAAAATTACTTAGAAATGATTACTATGATTTCTATTTAAGTGTTCTATTACGATAAAAATGCAAAAAATAATGAGTTTTTCTGATAAATTTACAATAAATAATAATTATAAAACTTTCTGACTGCATATTAATCTTAAAAATAACATTGTTTTAATTCTCATAAAATTTTCTATTTAATGATTCATTCTAGTCAACGAAGGAGTAATTTTGCAGAATAGCAGAAAAAATTCCCAACAAACTTTTTTTTTTTTTGTTTTAATTAGGCAATTGGTGGATTATTCCAAAAGCAACATCAACTCTTATTTCTTTAATTATATCATGATTAGTAGTTCTTTGATTTTAAAATATAATATATGAATATATACTAATTATAATTATTAAATTTAGTATGAAATTGATATTTAATATTGTAATTTAAACGGAGAAATTATAAAAATAATAAAGAAGTTATATTTTGCTTTACTTTTACGTGTATAAAAATTTAAAGGGCTTGATACAATAATTTTCAATAAAAACTGTTTGTTACTATAAAAAAATGCACTGGACTACAAGGAACTTTCATCAGAAGCAAAAATATACTTTTCTAAATCAAATTTTCGCGTTGTTTTCAAATCTGCAAGTAGACTATTTCTATCACTTCTAATTTTTTATATTATTACTAATTATATATATAAAATAATAATTAAAAGAAAAAAAAATTTGTTTTCAAATTATTACTGATTTGATTTTTAATATGTTAAAAATAATCAGTCCAAATTTTCAATTTTAACCTATTTTTTTGGTTCTTTAAAGTTGATGAAAAATTTTTGATAAAGATTTATGAAAGTTTATAGTAAAATAAATTGAATATATTACCATAACTTTTAGCTCAATTACAAGTTTAAAATTGACATCTAGGCCTGTCAACAAAGGAAAAATTGCGGAAAAAATTTTGTTTTTTTAAAAGTTGAATTAAAATATGTATAATGACATACTAATAGTCCTCAAGATTGGAATTGAGCTTTTTTTTTAAATCCTCGCAAAAGTTCAAAAATATGAGCTTTCTTAATTTTCTCAAAAAAAAATATTTAACTTACAAAAAAAAGTTTCGCACAAAAGTTGTTTAAAAGACAATTATAAATAAAAATATAATCTTATATTTTTTCATTTAAACAAATATTTTTCGAGTTACATTACATTTAATATGAGTAATAAAATTTATATTCCATTTTTTTCATTTTACGGTTACTTTTTATCATGTTATACTTACATTAGACACAATGTTATAAATGCATATGTGTGTATGTGTGAGTTTATTTATTTATTGTATCATTAAAGTGTAGTGTATATTGAGATACAACCGATAGAGTAGGTAATTGATTTGACGCTATATTATTTAAACCCAACTAAACGCTAAATTGTACATTCCGAAATAACAATCATATTATGTCAATTGCCACCGGAATATCTGGTAATATTTTTCTTTTTCTTTGCCTTAATCCCAACTACTTGGGGTCGGCCACCCTTATCCTAAGCTTCCACTTGACACGATCTCCCACATCTTCTACGCTCACATCAGCTGTCCTCAAATCGCATTCAATAGCATCCCTCCATCTCTTTTTTGGTCTTCCTCTATCTCTTCTTCCTTCAACATTCATTTCTATAACTGTTCTTACAGCTTTCGATTCTTCTTTCCTCATACCATGACTAAACAATCTAAGTCTATTTTCTGTCATCTTATCCACGATTGACGCAACACCTATACTTCCTCTTATATGCTCGTTCCTTATCCTATCTTCTCTAGTCACTCCACTCATCCAACTAAGCATTCTCATCTCTGCTACACTTATTCTCTGCTCTACTTTCTTATCAACCGCCCAACACTATGAACCATACATCATAGCTGGCCTCACAATTTCATACTAAATTTAAAAACTATAATTAGTATTTATTCATATATTATATTTTAAAATCAAAGAACTACTAATCAGGATATAATTAAAGAAATAAGAGTTCATGTTGCTTTTAAAATATTTCACCAATTTCTCTAAAGGAAACACTATCTACAGATTTGCATCGAAGCGTTTCTTATGATAGTGATTTTAATCACTGTCAGATATCATCTATACTTGTCCCATCTATGCCTCGTCCACACTGTGCCTCGACCCCACTGTGCTACCGTTTTTTATACTTTATGCTTGCAGATTTATTCTGTTAATTTCTACCCACACATGTCCCAATTCTGAATCTCTTCAAAATTACTTAAGTAATTTTCTGTTATCAAATTTAATACCAGAAATTTAAAAATATATGTCACATAGTATCTGAATTCGGTTGGACAAACTAACAATTTTATATTTTCGTAATATCCCATTGTAAACTAGAGAATGAATTAACGTTTAAGATAGTTGCAGTGGTCACTCATTATTCTTCAAACAAAATGACAATCTCTGCAAGCAGTATTATTCTTATTAAATAATAAAGGAGAAGAATAGAGAAACGTTTATTAAAAGATTAGGAAATAAACGATTTTATAATATAAACAATTATTACAATAACAGAAAAAATAATATATCATGATTTTCATTAATAGTTTTTTTCATTGCGATGAAGAAACTAATGATTTATTAAAACCTTTTGATCTTGTTTTGATTGAACATTTCTTTTTTCACAGTTGAAACTTACTTAAGCCCTGTTGAAACTCATTGCATGAATGTCGATTATTTCTTCTTGGATTCTGAAAATCAAACAAGCGAATTCTCTGAGGATTCCATGACCAGATTACGTAAGTTCTAATTTTGTTCACTACTCGATAGTGTTTACAAAATTGTTTATTTTTAAGCATTTACGTAAAGATAAAAATTTTCTTCCGCTATTTCAGACATGGGTCGATCAACAATCGCTTTGTTTATTGTTAGCTTCTTTGTCATGTTCATAGCATTTTGGACCGGTGTGGCAGGATGTTGGAGACGTTCACCGGGAAATATAACAGCTACTGCTATTTTAGTACTGTTAGCTTGTAAGTTTTGAGCTTAAAAGAGATTACTTAAACACTACTTACGAAACGTTATATTATGGTTTATTTATTTGTAGGCCTTCTCAGCGCTGGGGCTATGGGCTTCTGGCATGGAGTTGAGTACTACGAAAAAGAACGTGTTGTCGGAGAAGAATTTTATCAACAATGGAATAGTGTAAGTAATTCACATACATAAGTCTTGTATAGACTTCACTACTATCTATGTGTACTTCTTTTGCAGATTCTCAAGGATAATACCCGCATTTCTTATGGCTGGTCGTTTTTCTTGGCGTGGGCTGGAGTTGGTTGTTCTTTAATATCAGCCATATTGTTTTCTGGCGCCGCTATTTGTTTGCGTGGAGAACGTGAACGGGAAGAGGCTCTCAACATGCAATACCTCATGCCTGGTGAGTACTAACGTTTTCATGACTAAAGAAAACTTCGTACTTGGACTTTTAGAAATTATTTGAATTAAATACATAAGTACAACTAATTTAAATATAAAGTCTAATACAGGCTAATAATTTTTATAGGGCCCATTCAAAAAATCAACCAGAGAAATAATTATAATTTGAAAAAACTTAGATAGATAGATATTTAAATTTCAAATAAATTTTAAAACATTACTTATCTTTTAAAAAAGTTAAACGCGTCGTAAAAGTACACGAAAAATATAATACTTGATATTTTTGATAAATCGCTTATAAAATTGGTTAATGATTAATAATTAACCAATTAATACGTAAGTATTGAGATAATAAGTATTCAAATTTGAAACTTGATAAAAAAAAACATATTTTATGGAATTAATAATTACAAATAAAAATTACTTTACAAGTATAACTTTTTTAATCAACTATACGTACTTAAATAGAAACAAAAGAATTATATGGATCGTTTAATCGTGACAGCCTTGTACTGAATAATGAAACTTTTAGATTGGCCGTCAGGCCAAATACTAAAATATAAAAAATTGCCTAAACTTATATGCATTTAATATCGTGCATTAATGATTTATTATAACACCAACTAATCTACGTCGTTTCATTTATACTTTCAGTATACCCGCAAAAGCAACAATATGCCTACGCCGGATATCCACCACCCAACGCTTATCCTTCGGGTCCATACTACCACGGCCAACAGCAGTACGCCGGCCATTACAACTATTAGAAAAATTTTACATTTTAAAGGCTTAAAAATAATTTTGTATTATTAATTGGTGCCCTCCGACAGTCTAAAACTGTTTTTATTAAAATATATATATATTTTTTAGGTCGGTTGAGTGTATTTAAAACAAAATATTGTTAAATGACCGTGTGTAATTTTCAAGATTTATATATACACAAACATTATGTAGATATATTGCAAAACTCTTGGTCATAAAATAATAATTTGTTTTAAATTTTCTAATATTAAATACAATGGACGAGCTTGTGTGTGATACTTATTATGATATACTCACGAATTCCACTTAAGTTGCTCAAACCTTTTTTAAATTTACTAATATAATAAAATGTACTCGAATAGTCCATAAGAATTTTTACAACAATTTATTATTACAACCTTTTTTTGTATAATTTTAATTTATGCTTTGTTGTATATTTATTGAAGTCTATGTACCTATGTATACATTTTTAAGACGAATAAAATAATATTAAATGTTAAGTAATTAGTATGTTATGATGAATTTTATAGGAAAAATCATCATAATTGAATTATAGGAAATAGGCTAGTTATAATTTTTAGTTTATAATGTGTAAAAGCATATTGATTTGCGGAAACTTGAAAATCTAACAAACATTTTTACAGTGTGAATCTAGTAACCATTTTAAAAAAGAATAAAATTGTAGCAAAATTAAAATCTGACTGTTGATAACTCAGAAATAGTATTTTAATGTATTGTTTCAGTTTATTATTTATTAATTCAGTGAGATTGCCATACATTTACTAAGACACGGCTTAATTTATTTTATACACATTATTATTATTTTTTTTATTATTCTGTTAATCATACTCTACATATAAGATAATAGATAAAATCCCTTAAATTTGTAAAAAAAAAAAAAAAGTGTTTCCATGTCATATTGTTAAAGTTAATGCAGTATTTATTTTTCTATTTTTAAAGAAAATAGATAATAATTATATTTTTGTAAGAAAATGTTGAAAAAATAAAATTATATTATAATATTTTATTACATTCGACAAATATGAACTTGAATGTATTTAAATTTCAAAATCTTGAAGATAAATGAAAAATAATAGACATTTTGGTAAATAATTTACAAGTTACTCAATTATTTTATCAAAAATAAAAAGGCAATTGAGCATAACTGTTATATAATTGAAATTCATTTTGTAACCATCAAATTTGTATTTCTTAATTAGAAAATGAGTACTTTTATGATAGAAATTGATCACTCATGGCTAATATTATTTAAAAATATTTAATTAAAAAAACCACAAAAAATTACTAAAAAATCGCAGATACGTATTTCGAGAAAATTGTTACTATTAGAGTTAATAGTGAAATGAAAATTTTACTAAAAATAATATTACTATATGATAATGACATCAATTAATGGTCAATTTCTCCAATTTCAAATTAAAGTGAAAGGTTACTGATAGAGTTTTTTGAAATATACGTGTCTTAAGTGTACCATTTATTTGTAAATTAAATGTTAAGTTCGGATTCCAATAAATNGAAATATACGTGTCTTAAGTGTACCATTTATTTGTAAATTAAATGTTAAGTTCGGATTCCAATAAATTGAAGTGACGAAATATGATTTTATTTTAAATAAAAAAATAAATGTATAGATATTATAGTGCAATATTAGCCATTACTAATTCATATATTTTAAAGATGTTTGTTATACATTTTGTATATTATTGACTATTTACACTCTTTAAGTTAACATAGTCATAAATTTTCAGTGTTGATATAATAGACAATTGGCTATTGTTCACTCATTAACATAACGATTTGCAGTGCCGCCTTTAATTTCTCAAATACTGTGATGATAACATGATGTAGAATCAAACAATCTATTAAAACCATGTCTTATTGGAAGTTCCTGAAATACGCGATCGTGTTGTGGCTTTTTGAATAAAAATTTTTTTAGTTTTTGAACTTTGAAATAATTGTGAAACTCAAATTTTACAAATATATGAAGGAAGAAGAGGTAGAGGAAGACCGAAAAAGAGATGGAGGGATGCTATTGAATACGATATGAGGACAGCTGATGTGAAAGATCGTGTCAAGTGGAAGTTTAGGATAAGGGTGGCCGACCCCAAGTAGTTGGGATTATGGCGAGGAAGAAGAAGAAATTTTAAAAATATATAAAATATATTACATATTAAAAATAATAATAATAATTACATGCTGATTTGCTTTATAATATGTCTAAATAAAAAAATGTATGACATAATAGTTATTGATCACAATATTAATAGTTCTGTGGGCGGTAGTTACCTATATGGTAAGGTATGCGTTCTTATATTTTTAATGTGTATATACATATATATGTACAGAATAACCACAAATCACGCTACTATTAATTACATCCATCGTTTATTCTTTTCAATGGTTGTTAATGTTAACACACCTTCTTGTACATCACACTTTGTGATCCTGGCTCTATTGAATATTACCCTAGAAGTTCCAATACATTTTACATATTCATACAATAAATATACTGTTTAAAAACTGTATATATCAATTAATCAAATGTTAACTACAATTGAAAAATGTGATAACAAGCTTAAAAAGTTAGTTAAAGATAAAAAAAAAAAATTATTATCAATACATATGCATAAAATACATAAAATTATAATACAATACAATATGAGCATTATTACACTAAGGGGTCTAAGAGATAGGTCAGCAAGATGAATATACACATGATGAAAATGTGTAATTATGAGGCATATAACAATATTTTTTTTGTTTAGAAGGGGTATTAAAAATTTTCATATAGATATCACTTCTTCAGGATGAAATATTCTGATGGCTCTGAGCAACAGATTTTTTGACTTTTGAAAAGTGAAAAAAATATATTTTCTTCATAAATCTTTTATTTTTTTAACAAAAATGGTTAGCAAAAAAATGTATTTTTTTTTCTCAACAATTTAATATTTTTATTATAAATGGGCAATATTTATTATTTGTTTTTCATTTTGAATACTATGAATCTTAATTACGAGTTTTCATGTAAGAGCTGGCTTAATTACCTGACTTTTTGATCCATTAGTCTTTAGATATGCATTTAAATCTTTAGCACTACAAAGTGGTGTGTCGACTTTATACGTATTATGAAATTGCGAATAATCTACTTCGTAGATCATCTTCGTTTTGCAGTATTTAACCAACTGCTGAAATCTATGACCCCAGAGTACCTCAGCGGCCACATAAGAAGTGCGTGCTTGGGTTGTTTGTCCTGTTGATTCAGCAGTTCCCTCTAACACTACAGCTACTTCAAATCGTTCACGAAGTAAATCAGACGCACTCATATCATACATTGGGCTACTCTGGTCAATTTTATGTACAGCCACCATAGGCCACATGAGGAATACTTGATCGTCAAAATCGTCAATGCTGATCTATAAGTATTTAAATTATCTTAAATCCAATGAATATTAATTTACTTATTCGTATTCTTTTTAAATAAAAATATTTTTAACATTTTTAAATTTTAAATAAGAAAACTATAAACATAAACTGTTTCTTTAACTGATATTTATTCCATATTGATAACTTACATTGAGATAAGACAAGTGTGGTGATAATACTTCTCCTTCTAGCGTGACATGAGAACGTATGAATCGCGCTTTGACAGTAGCACCGATTAAATGGGACTTTTCTCTCAAGTCGCCCACACGAAACATAAAACACAAGTTACCGTCTCTTTGACAAATAACAGCATTTCGGCTAAACATAAGCGTTTGGCTTCTTTGTTTAGGTCGAATCATTTTCGCAAAAACTATACCAACAACAAATGCCTGAAAATAAAAACTTTAATACTTAAGAATGATAAAGTGTCCATTTTCATATAATATTACACTAACCTGAATAAGTAAACCTGCGATACTTTGGAAACAGAATAGTGCAATTGCCTCTGGACACTCTTCAGTGATCATACGGTAACCGAATCCAGTTGTGTGTTGGGACTCTACACTGAATAGAAAACTTGCGGTAAAGGTCGGCATATTTATTACACATGGAGACCACTTTGGATTTGATATATTTTCGGGTAATAGGTCGCCATGTGTGTAAGCTATCAAATACCAAACTACACCAAAAGTAAACCAGCTAAGCAGAAAACTCATACAAAAAACAAACAATGTCCAACGCCATTGTGCATCAACTAGGGTTGTAAATAAGTCTTGTAAATAACGTCGACGTAGTTTTGATACATTTACTCGATTTACATTGAAAACACCATTTTTACCTAATGCTCGCCGTCTAGTTTTCCGATAAAAGGGATGTACATTTGATTTTTTGTGACTAATAATAAATACAATATTATAATCAATTTTATTTGAAAATTTACGTACAATTAATTAATTTACAATTATATTAAATTTGTTTTAATACAATTCTTGATTCATCAGTTAATAATTACTTTTTAGGATCATTCCTTATAACGTATAAGGGTGTTAACTTAATTTTTTTAAACTGTAACATATATATTTAATAAACTTATAAAATAGAAAAATTATCTAATTAAGAAAATGACTGGTGGATAACAACTTTTGAACCAATGTGTTTTGTATGCTATTTTCATTTTTATACTAGGTGAGATGAAGAATACGGTCGAGAAATTACTAAGTGATAAAAATAGCAGCACCTTACTCCTCATTTTCAGACAAAAATTAAAATTTTTAATAACTTCTGAATACTGATCCGAAATTTGTAATCGACCGATTAATTAGATTATTTCCTATTTTATAAACTAGTTAAATATGTATATTGGCATTCAAAAAAATCAAGTTAATACTCTTTTAAGTTTTTAGGGATTCTAAAAAATAATTATTAGCTGATAAATCATGAATTATAAAAGAAATAAAAAATAATTTTTAAATATATTTATTTTATGAGTAATCAAATGGTTTATGATTAACCAATCATTCTGTATAATTATTTGGTTAATACATCCCTATCAATTGGTCACCCGTCGTCTCTCTTATCACTGGTCAAGTTAATCAGTCAGGGTGGCGGTTAAGCGCTTAAATCTTTTGATCATCCCTCTTTTCCTTTTAGATTGCCTAGCTGTCTACTTGTCACTTAATCTTTTTAACTAAAATTGTTATTTGATTTTTCCTTGTTCAACATTGTCGCTGTCATATTGTTAACAAAATTGAAATGGTAATACTCATAAATATTGTAATTTGTAGGAAATTTGTTGTAAGCAAATTTTCTAACTTTAATCCTTAAATCAAATTTTAGTAACATCGTAGTTGATTTCAAATTTCTTATTAAATATTGGTCTATTGGTAATATAAGTTAATTATTATATCATATTGGACAAATATTGTTTAGTAGTACATTTAAAAGACAAAGTCAGAATTTTACTATTATTATTGAAATCAAGCAATAGAGTTCTAATACCACTTTATGGTGGGTAGTAAAACATTATCCAGTTGAATCTTATAAGTGTTTAATTCATTTACAAAATAGCATTCAAAAATAGTTATAACACAGCTCCAAAAAAAAAATCGAAAGAAAAGTGCTAGTAAACAGACCATGTTTTCTTTATGTTTTTGGGGTCGCTAAATCCGAATCTGAGGTTTGTTTAACGCCATCACGTTAGGGTGTTTCATAATCTCAAAAAATGTGCTTAAGAACCAAGCTATTCATTAGGATGTAAGACAGGCTAATTTGTAACCTAAATCTACTGTGCGCAGAGCCTTAACCTATAAAAAAAAAAGCCTTATCTCATTTAGACTGGCCTGACCTATTATTTCCATGTTACGTTGAGAATATTTTGGCATAATATAACTAAAATATGACCACATAATATTTTAAAATATTATGAAAAGAAATATTTTGAAATTTTAACACTTAACTACTTGTTTTGTAGAAATCATTTATTTATAGAAATAAGTATATTTGAAATTTAGTTGTGAATAGCTCAAATCTAAGCATGTTATATAATTTATTCATAAATTTATATTCATGCATGTTGCTTGTTAAACTCGCTATAAGCTTGTAACTTATTACCTATTGTATTGGTACATTTTAATATAATTGAGTTTTTAATTGTAATACTTGTTTTTAAACAATAATTTGGTAATCATTTAAATTCATGCATGTCATATTTTCTTAGTAGTCGGAATAAACATATTCACTTGTAATCATAAAAATAAATTAGTTTTGTCTTTAGTATAATTATCTATCTAACTGTTGTCTATCAAATTTACAGTCTACCAGAAAATATACAAAATAATTTGGTCATTTTACCAGTGTCAAAGGCTTGATCTTATGTGGTATTACTGATTACAATTATTCATATTTTGATAATTACGTTGACTTCAAAATTTAAAATTATAGAAAGTTCACATCAACTTATTAAGTGCATAATAAGTGTTTAAAGTTTTCATAAATATTAAATTAGAAACTCAGTTGGTTTATCAATTAATATAGTGCGTTTACAAACTTGAAATTAATAATGAAAACATATTCCTACTAAGAAATATTTTTTTTGCATACTTGATAATTTGAGGCGATGAAAGTATTTTGTGATTGCTATTATTTTGAACCTGATTATCATTCGTCTTAAATGGTTTTATTAACAGTGCATCACTTTGATCAGAATGTTTTTGATCGTTGTGACTAATTAGATGTAATATTGTTGTGGATCCTTTATCTGTCACAGTCGACATAACGATTAAAAATCTGTATCTTTTCAATTTTCATTCGTGAATTAATCAATTATCATTAAAAACCAATACATAATTTTTGTATGACAAAAGAATCTAAAAATAATAAAGACTATCAAAAATAATCAATAGACAATTTTTAAAATTTTTATGATTATGAATGAATCAAACATTAGTAAACTATTAGTATTTCATAAATGTTTAAACTTTAATTTGAAGTTGATAGGAAAGTATTTGATGAGATACACCGAGTTAATACAAAAAAAAATTTCATAATCTTATTTTAACTTAAGGGGATGCATTTGAAAGATCTAAACTTACGTCATTTCTACAATGCTTTTAGAAATGACTTTCTATGATATATTAATGCACAAATTACTACAGTAAGCTTATACCTGGAATCTTCATTAGACACTGGATGTTTATTCTTATATACATGTATTCTACGAAAAATGTTTGAATATCTTTTAAAACTTACAAACTTAATTAGCTTTTAAAAATTTTCAAAAAAATGAAGTCTGTCCATAAAAAACATATCGCACTTGAAAACATAATTTTGAAAATTTATAATTAATAAAATAATTTTGTAATTTTATTTTTTAAACAATTATTTTTGGCACAGACAATTTAATAATTTAATTTTTGTTTTTCTGATTTTTAGCTGAAGTTATTTAAAGCTAAAATAATTATAACAAGAGATAAGTTTAAATACTTTACTCTAGTGATGTAAATTTTATTATTTTCTGTCGCAAAACACAAGTTAGTAAAAATCGAAAACTATGCTTAGTGTAGAACTTAGCTAATCATAATAGTAATAGTTCTGTATAAAATTATATTCGAGATATTTCAATGCATAACATACAGTAGGTTATAGTCAATAATTACTGTGTGCTACTATAAAACTTATGAGTATTGTATAAACTATTATATTAAAAATATGAAAACTCGAAAATAAAATAATATTTTCAGTACTGAATAATTAACAAGGTAATTTTGTTTATTTCATTAAGGACCTTAGTATAAAAAAATTATTCAAAGATTGATACTTTAAAGCCAAGATTTGTGAATATTTAAAAGTTTTAATTTACTAATTATTAAAAATTTATAATTTTCATTTCAATATTACAATAATATAATTCAATCAAATTGTTTGATACATTATTGATTTGAAAAGTAAAAAATTTAATAATTTTACTGAATAAAATATATACACTTACTAATTACGTATTGATAATTTTCAACTCATTCGATTTTATTTTATATTTAACAAATAAAAAATTGTTAAGCTGTTAACTCTTAGTAAAATAATTTTATTTACAAGTCATAATTTCTACCAAGAAGTTTATCATCAAGTATAATATATACGTTTAATTTCTCAGTAATCATCTGTGGTTTAAAATGTTCTCTTAATCGTTCATGCATTACATAATATGCATTTATAATTATTTGTTATCGTCGTTTCAAAATAAACCTGTAAATCTTGTTACTAACATTGGCATATCTTAATTTTCGGATTGTTATAACCATATATATAGATATATGTATAACTATCACGGTAACACCCAAAGACACAAATTACATGTGTGCAATACCAAGAAAATATTACAAATTGTCTCTGTGTAGTTTTTATGATAAAAAGAAATATTAAAATATTAGAAATTTTATTTGTAGGTTCAAACGAAACAATTATTCATTATAATAATTGTAATAGGCGGTATCCTCTATTTTATTCATAATGTTTATGTCATAGTAAATAAATTTAATTGTCGTATTTAAATTTGTATGCACAGAGAAATCTAAAATAACGAGGATAGCGTTCAACATAATTGGTGAACAATATGAGTGTAAATCATTGAATTAAAGTTAATTAAAAAATAGGAAAATTTTTATGGCAAATTACGATAAACAAATCTCTTATAATCCATGAAAATCTTGCTATAACAAAGTAAGTGATTGAGTCGTATGCTTAGTGTAAAAGATCTTTCAAGCTTTAAGTTTTATATTTATACGTAATCTAAATTATAAAACAGTTATTTTTTTATCCCATTTTATCTTATCTCAAAGTTTTTATAATGTATACTAAATCAAGTGTACTAAGACATTACAACGTTTTAACTAGATACATATTTTTCAATGACTAACCAACTGCTAATTTATTACTAGTATATGCAATAAATCAGAGCAAAAATTATACACATATACGATATACTAAAAAAAATTAAATGTATATTCATGTATGTTTACTTTTAATATCTATTGAATCAAAATTTCAATCGAAAAAATCAAGAGGTAGTTATCAAATAAATTTAAAGAAATTTTAAAAACTTCTGAATTTTTAAACTCAAATAAAATAATAGTTAATACTTACAGACAAATAATTATTGTTTCCAATAATTGGTATTGAGAACTTTAAGTTTTTCATACTAACTAAAATTTAAAAAATGGTAATATTAAAAAAAAATCATATCAATAATTTTTAACAGAAAAAATTTGGTGACTACCAAAAAACAATAATTTGTAACAACCGGTCTATGAAAAATGATACCATTTACGCTTTGACGTCTACACCGCTTGCGCGCTCTCTTCAAATACGAATGAATCTGTTCGACTGAAACTAGTTAGAACTTATTTCATATTCACACACGCATACAACACTATCAAATTAAGGACCTTGTACACTTTTAAAATATGTTATATACTCACACTGTTTACTATCACGCCGCCAAATAAGGTGTATATTATGACAGTAATATTTTTCACACATATGATCGGCCAAATTTTACAATCACAAAAAAATAAATAATTGTTAAATTAAAATTATTTAATGGTTTTATAGATATCTTGATTTCTCAATTTTCAAGTAAATTTATTGGGAATTAATCCATTATATGATATTTCAGATAAATATATATACAGAATGGAAAAGATCTAACTGACCACACATACAACATACAACTTATGATCTACATAACATTTTATACTTTTTTTTTTTTTTAATCAAATTTTACAATATAGAACTATATTTAAAATATGTTTTATGTTATTTTTCGCAATTACAAAAAATATTTTAAAAATTAATTTTTTTATTACATTATTTTTAAGATTTTAAGATAGCCACATTGTAAATAAGTTTTAAAGAAAAATTTTGATACCAAAAACTCTTATTTTAATTCAGTAGTTACGTATATACAGCATTTTAAAGTTTATTATATTTTAAATCTAAATCTTTAAAAATTTTTAAAATGCTGATGATAAAAAGAATTATGAAAACAAAATTGAAAACCTTTTTTATCATATCATCAAACTAAAAATAGGCATTTCATTATAGAAAATTAAAATTTAAGTTTTTATCCCGGAACGAATAAAAAAGAATTTATTTTACTACATATTATTGTAGGCTTTTTTGAATCTAACAATATTTTCTTATACAAAAATTAAATGTATTTTATTGTTTCTGAGAAAATGAGTATCTATGCAAAGAGAGATACCTCATTGATTACAAATTTTGTAAGTATTATTTTTTATTATTGAATTAAATAAGAGCATATTTTGTTTATTGTGGAAATTCGTTAATATTTTTAGAAAATAAAAATAAAATGATCAGTTTTACATTCTTCTAATTCCTGAAGTTAACATGCCACAGAGGGTGGAGGCACTCTTTCACATGTTATGGAGTTAACAATGGTTCTTGGCTAGTCCAATGAAAGACGGGACGAGTATTATGGTCGGCTTCCACCAAATACCAGACACCACCAATGAGAAAATAACAAGTAAAATCTCGTTGGCATCTTAGAGATCAAACACAGAACCTGGAGTTAATTTTTAAAAGAATATTATTTATTTAATTATTCAGAAGATCCGATTCAAAGAGTTATCACTATATTTTACAAAATAAAAAGTTTTTATCTTTCAAATATAATACAATCAAAATAGATAGTAATATCTATAAATCTGTAATATTTCATATCCTAAACTATTATATAGAGTGTAAACTTTTATAGAAAAAATTTCAATTTAACATTTTTTTTAAAACAATGACACAATTTTAATAAAAAAAGAAAATTAGCCTATATTAAAAATAATATAAAATATTTTAACAAGAAACTCTACTTATTCAACGGTAACTAATACACTTTTTTTTTTTTAATGTCTAAAAACATCCCTTTTTTCTTATTAAAATAATAAAAAATTGACATTGGCCTTTGGATCAATAACTGTTTTAATTAATTAATTATCTAATCTAAATTGATCAACAAACATGATCCACCTAAAAGCATGCCGTATACAGTGTTCAGTAAATAAAGAAAAGGATTGTTTTAATAGAAAAAAGTTTTAATTAAATCTTTAAAAAAAATTAAAAAGTTATTTTTTTAAACGTTTTTAATATAATTTGATAATGTTAAAAAAGAGTTGTGCGAAATTTGGAGCTTATTCATCAAGTTAAATTGTCTTTATAGACCAATACATTTCTGTTTGAGTATCATAAAAAAATTGTTTAAAAAAATATCTCTGGAATTGTTGTTAGCTTAATCTCATAATTGTGAAATTACTACCAATAAATAGATAATTTTATGAGGAATTCAATTAAATGGATATTAAGTAAGTAAAGAACCTGGTTTCTATTATTCTTATTGTTTGTAACAATTGACCTGTTTCCTTACTTATTGAACACTTTCTATAGAGTATTCATTAATTAGATTATTTCCTATTTATAATCTAGTTAAACATGTACGTTGGTATTTAAAAAAATTAAGTTTAAACTCCTTTAAATTTAAGGGACGATTCTAAAAGTAATTAACAATTAATAAATCAAGAAATATATGCAGCTAAAAGAAATCAAATGTTTTTTTCACTATTGTATTTTTTTTTTATCTTAATCGAGTAGCTTAAGATTACTGTATGTATAAATATTTTGGCTTTACATATACGTTAAGTTCAAACATTTGAAAAAATAGAATTTTATTTTTATAAAGCTTAACTAAGTACAGTTTTTTGCAAATTAATAAAAAAATATTAACAACCTTGTTGTTTTTGACGCTGATGACAATAGCGTAATTATATTTGGCAAATGTCAATTATTTTAAAATTTAGTTGATTTTTTGGTTTTCAAACTAAGTGACCAATCATAATTTTCAATTTGTCTATGAATTTTTCCCTACAATAATTAAATAACTGAGACACCAATTGTACTTTTGTAAAAATCTATTTATAGTGCTGTTTATTATTTATTCACATAAAAAATATAAAAATAAGTTATTTTATAATTTTATAAGTTATACTATTTTTTTTTTTAGTCTTTTAAACATGATATCCAGGGTAATATTTACTAGGGTGAGTAACTTAACTATTAGTAAGCACGTTGAAAAAAAAAACTGATGACTAAAAAATAGTTATATGAAGTAGCATACTTTAATAATATAGATCATTATTTTTAATTTTTGGGTACGCCACTGATTCTATCTATAATTTAATGGAAATAGTCTTTAAAGTATTGATAACAATATTGTAATTGTTAATCGTAAGAACATAATTTTAATATTATTATAGTTTTTTTACTTTTTAAATTCCTAAAATAAAAGAATAGTAAAGAAAAATATTTAAATAATATACTGAATGGTATAAGGAGTTTTGCGTATACAACTAACACCGCGTAATCACGTTATTTGCACGCACAGTAGGGTGTAAATTTAAATTATAGATAATTGGGTGTCAAAAATTTGTATTTGGAAATATAATTTCCAAATACACCCAAATGTGTTCTGGATCTATGGCATGTGTTATTGTCTAAACCATGACTGATTTTTAATATACATTATAATTTATTTTAATGTATAATAAAATAATATTTTTTTAAATATATATTTTAATTATTTATTTCAATTTATTATAATTTTAATAATTATTAACTAAATATTAATAAAAAAACATCTTACAAGATAATAGCGCGAAGATTAATATGAATTTTGTATTTGAAATTTTTAAAACTAATACAATACCGTAACTTTAATAGTATTGTACTTAAACTGAAATCAGACTATTTCATTTCTAAATTTCAAATATTGTTCTGAAAATTGTTTAGATGTATTACGTTTAAAAATGAATGCCAAATTTTAATAATAATGAAAATAAAATTGTTGGATATGGGTTTTTTCTTAATTAAGTAATTTTATAATGGTTTATAAAATAGGTGAATAAAAATATAATGTACATATAAAATAATAAAATGAAAAATAAGACTTTTTATTAACATTTTTTGTTACAAAATATATAACAAACTATATCACCATTAACCATTTTAAATATTAACCACCTAATATACAATTTATATATAAATTATTATTTAATGTAAAATGCATAAAATATATACATATAACATTATTCAAAGTCAGATTTATTTATTTACTAATAAAATTAAATGGTTGTTGAAAACACATATTTTTGGATAATTTTTGGACAAAGTAATTACTTACAGTCGACTCGATAAAACAAAACGTTTTAAAGAATTTAAGTAAAACGAGCGCGTTTATATTAATTTAAATATAAGTATCTAACTAATATCACATTTGAGGCACATTAATATTTATATTAATGGTTTAACAAATATCAAAGTATAATGATATATTTAGGAAGATCACAATGATTGTGAAAGATTGGGGAAATTGGGAGTTTAGCGAGGCCAATTTTACCATAGTAGAAGTTCGTTTACAGTAAAAGAGATGTAATCGAAGTGTCATAGGCAAAGGGGAACTGGCTACAGAGGCAATAGGGCAATTTCACCCTGGGCCGCCGTCCATAAAGCAATGACGGCCGCTATGAATAGCGTAATTTGGCCAGCTGTATGTAACAAAGACATTATTATTTAACTATTATATTTTTATCTTTTTAATTTTTAAAAAATTTTGTTGCTTTGTGTCATTATAGGATCATTTAATGTATCACTGGTGATAAAAACAATTAATAGTAAGTTGGATTTTTAAATATAATGAGTAATTATGATTTCAGGATGTTAAAAAATTTGTTTGAAGATCTTTTTTTTTTATTGATGCAAAATATTTTTGAAGCTAATAAAGCTGCCACAATTTTTTTCCCCTTCTGCCATTGGCCTTCCAGTCAGCTCCTAGTCATAGGAATGATTCGGGTCCAGGTAATTCACCTGGTTTAATAAGAAATGGCTCCAATTGTGCCATCATCAAATCCGTCGATGGAGGTTTCTGATCCTCTTGCAATTTTTGACTTTTAGGTCGAGAAGTAGTACCCTCTAGTGAATCGCCAATGTTAGTTGTATGATCCAAATGGTGCATATGATGCATTTCTGAAAGTTTCATTTAAAAAATAATAAATTAAAAATTCAATCGTACACATTATAACATATGATGACATTATAATTCTTTATACATGTAAAAAATATTTAAAATAATATATTTCAAGTTAATTAAAAAACAAAATTTAATTTAATATATTTCAATTTATATTTAAAGATATTTTTTTTAGTACAATAGTTTTAAATTTTACTTTATGTTCCATAGAAATAAACCTATTCAAGAAGTTCTTTTGAATTACCTGTATGTGTCCCAATAGAAACGAGTTTCTTTAGATCATGTGCACTACACAACGGTGTATCTACCACATAAGTATTATTAAAAAGACTGTAATTCACTTCATGTTCTCCCGTTTCTTTTTTGTACGACACTAATGTTTCAAACCTATGTCCCCAGAGAATTTCGTTAGGTAGGTAAGACGATCGAGCTTGGGTTGTCATACCAGTTGATTCAATAACTCCTGTATTCATAAATAATAATATTAACAATAACTTTTCATATTTATACTCAAAAAGGTTAACTAAATTTTTATTTGTGGCTTCTTAGAATCATTTTTTAGACTAGTTTCATCACTATAGATCTAAAAACTCAATATTATTATCTATCAATAAGAAGATAAAATATTATAAACTAATTTTTATAATAAATTTTTAAATTACATTTATGTTACTTAAAAAACTAAAAAGGGCGTACTTAATAGCAAGTATAACCTTCTAGTACGACGACAATCTCAAATTTTTCTCGTAAAAAATCAGCCGCAGAAAGCATATACAATGGCGAATCAGGAGTGATTTTGTGAACTATAGTGGTAGGCCAGATAAAAAAAATTCGGTCTTCTACGCCATCTCCACCGACTTTTAATTCATATTGGTGAAATGGTAGTAATTCCCCTTCTAAGGTTACCTTAAAACCAAAAAATTACATTAATAATTTTAAAATTTTGAAAAGTTTTATGTCAATATTGTAAAATATTTTTGTTAAAATCAAAAATATAATAGCTAAACAATATGTATACTTACTTTTTTTTTAATGAGTTGAGCTCTTACATGCGCTTCGATGATATGTGATTTTCTCATATCACCTACCCGGAACATGAGGCATAATATACCATCTCTTTGGCAAATTACAGCGTTACGACTAAATAACAAAGTCTGTGTGCGCTTCTTGGGTCTGGAAAGTTTGGCAAAAACTACTCCAACCATAAAAGCCTGTATCATAACTCCAACTATGCTTTGAAGACACATTACGAATATTGCTTCTGGGCATTCTTCTGTGGTGTGTTTGGAACCATAACCTATAAATCAACTAATTTTTAAAAAAAAAACAATCTTCAGAAATCGTTAATTAATTATTAACAATCATTTATAGTATTGATTAAAATAAAAATAATAATTTTTTTTAAAAATATCTTACCAATTGTGTGTTGAGTTTCTACACTGAATAAGAAACATGCTGTAAACGAGTACATTTCGCGAACACATGGTTCCCAATTTGAGTTATTTGTTTTCATAGCAACATCCAAATCTCCATGATTTAGTGCTATGAGCCACCATACAGCAGCAAAACCTAACCAACTCAACATAAAATTCATGGAAAATACCAATAATGTCCATCGCCATTGAGCATCAACTAGTGTAGTAAATATATCCTGCAAAATGACACAGAAAATGTTATAGAATTCTATTAAAACTAAACTTTGGTGTTATAAATCCACAAATTGGCGGTAAAAAGTAGAATTTACTACCACAACCTAATGAACTACAATAATTCGAACTAATTAAAACATAATCTGAAACCAAAATATTTATAAATTCACAATAACATTTGAGTCAAAATTCCAATTATTGAAATTCAAAGTCTAAAACTATGTACAATTAACGGATTATGATACTGCATCATATTATATAGGATAGGGTTAAGATAATTGCAAATTAGGGTAAGATGAAATGTGTCTAATCTTAAGAATAGTGACATAACTCGAAAAAATTTATGCTAGAGGAATAAAATAAAATTCTTATTTAGTTTCTTAAACAGAAAAATAAATAAACAAATGAAACAATAAAATATTAAAAATTATTAGAGAACAATAAAATATATATGCATCTATAAATGTATTATATATAATTTATGCGTGGAAGAAATATTAGAATTTCCATACGTTATAACTATCACGTTATAATAATAAATTAAAAAAACGCAAAAATCATTAGCATTAAATACAAAAACAATGACTACGAGAACAATATAGTACTATCCATCCTACCCATTCACTAGAATCGCCTCTATTTAATCATTTCTGTTCCTATTTTGTCAATAAAAAGTGTCGTGCGCAAATTAGTTTTCATTCTTGGCGAAGACATACGTATGTATTTTTATGACCAAAGTATTGTTCTGTTCTATATTTTGAATACCTACATTGACGAGCTAAAGAAAATATCATGTGTACGTGATCACTACTCTTGAAAACATATTATATCTGCTATCGTGTCAAGGCTAAAATGTGTAATGATATTGAAAGATGTATGAACAGAATGCAAATAATTATGAAAATACCTATGCAGTTTAACAAAAAAATTTATTTTATACAAAATTCAATGCTAGTAAATGATTTGCTTAGAGATTCGTTAATCTGTTTTTTGTAATAAAATGACGTCAAACAAAAAATTCAGAAATTTTACACGTCAATCTTATTCAAATCTGGCAGGAAACAGTGGCTAACCTTATACCTGTATTTTTTGTGGCAATTCACTGACATTAACATGTAATATGTGACAGATGCAGACAAATTTATTCAATATTCTTACAAATCTTAGATATTGAATACTACTTTTAATCGGTATTCACCACTTTTTCATACACACAGCTATTTCTATATTTAAAAAATAAGCTACCGTTGCCAAATTCTGATGAATGTCAGAATAAATTTTATAGTTATATGATATCAGATTATTTTACTACAATTTATAGATTTATTCAAATCATTGAAACGTGAATACATAATTTCATCATAATAAATATTAAAATAGTTGGGACAAGTATAGATGATATCTGACAGTGATTAAAATCACTATCATAAGAAACGCTTCAATGCAAATTTGTAGATAGTTATTAATTTACTCATATTTTTTGTTCAACTTTGACGGGCACTTGCACATAGATGATAAGTCGTCGGGACATATATATTTTTTAATTTATAGTACGCAACATCGGCTTTAATTTAACATATGTTTAAAGGACGCAGTATTTCCGGAACATTTTCAAAAGTTAAATTGAACAAATTCTACTTTTTATACGTATGATTCAAAGTTTGAATGTCCCCTATATAAGGAGAAATTGTCCGATTTAAAAAAATAGTATGTTGAATAAAAGGGGTTATATAAAAATGATATATTAAGTATTTAAAAAAAAAATATTATGTTTTAGAATATTGTCTTTTCACTATGTCCGCTATTTCTAATCTTTATTAAAAAATGCAATTTTAGATACAATTTTTTTTATAAAATTCTGCTCTATCATAAGTAGTTATTGCCTATGTCAATAATACTATCATGTTCAGTTAGCTCACCTGCAAATATTTTCTTCTTCTTTTAGCCACTTTTCCTTGAACAACATTACAGTCACCTTGTTTAAACACGACTCTTCTATATTGTCTTCTAGAACTAAATCTTGGTTGTCTGTAACTATAGATATATAAAAATTACAATTATTAACCAAATCAATTAAATTATTAATTCTATAAAGGCCAATCTAAATTATACAAAATTAACTACTAATAAAGCATTTAAAATAATTGTATAAGGAAAATAAAATAATCGGAATTGAAATAACCCAAGCTTTATAATTAATAATCAAATATTACAATGAAATTTGTGACTATTATTACGTATACAAAAACTCGGAGTGGATTAAGCAGTACAGTAGATTCTTTTTATGGCGAATGTCGTTATCTCAAAATTTTTACTTTCTCGAACCTATTTGAAATCTTCCAAAAGCTACTATTATCCTAAATAAGGTTTCACAGGATAAAGTTACTTATCATTGGTAAAATTATAAAACCTAGGTGTTTTAAAGTCACAAAATATTTACCAGTTGATTATAAAAATTAAAAATGTGTGGATGACTTCATCATTATTTAGTGAGTGGCTTTTAAATTTTGATAGAAAAATGAAACTTAGTTTTAATATCTATTGACAATTGTCTTCTTCTTCTTCCTCGCCTTAATCCCAAACTTCCACTTGACACGATCTCCCACATTATCTACGCTCACATCAGTTGTCCTCATATCGCATTCAATAATACCACTCCGTCTCTTTTATGGTCTTCCTCTACCTCTTCTTCCTTCAACATTCATTTCTATAACTGTTCTTACAGCTTCCGATTCTTCTCTCCTTATAACATGACCAAACCATCTATGTCTAACCTATTGACAATTGTCCCGATCATAATTACGATATTGAATTAAGTACCTCTAAGATACACTTTTTATCATCAAATATGACATATATACCTCAACCTATGAATCAAGGTGTTATACAGAGTTGAAAAATGTTTTATAAAAATAAATAATCAATAAAAATTAGTATAAAATATCAATAATAATGAAACATTTTCTGTAAATATACTTAGAGCGATTAAAATGACTAATAAAACTTAAAAAAAAAAATAGTGCAACCTGCAGATTATAATACATTTCTTTATTAAAATCGGTTATAAAGATAGTGATAGTTGCATTTAATTAGATAACTCAATTATTTCTGATGATAAATGAAATTTTGTTGCTGATCATCTTAAGAATTTTACACACTATGTGGAAATAGATATAAGTATGTAAGTACAAGTATGTGGAACATGGTTGGATAACGAAATTTTATTTGAAACTTTCGAATATACCGATAGTAGCGAAGTGAAGAAGTGAACCACAAAAAAAAGAAGATAAGCAATAATAACATTGAGAAAATTATTTGAAACATCATAAAGTATGATATAACTTATTTTCTGCATTATTAACTTAATCATAATATGAAAATATCATTGAACATACAAAAAAAAAAAAATACAAAATTTTTGACAGATTTAAAAAAATCTTGTATTTTAAAAATTAATATTATTATTATTTAATTTTAATGAAACTCATTATATTGTACATTTTTCTGCTTATCTAAAGATTCGACACAACGAGAGTCTACTATATTTGTATATATATGAATAAAATAAAATTATTTTAAATACATTACTGATTTACAAAAGATATTAAAATTGAAAAACTTTGCCTATGTTTTATTTATATACTAGGCTCCACCTAGATGGGACTCAGTCTTAGACCCGGAGCCCTACGAGCCTCATGCACCTTCGGCGCGTAAGCCTTTTGGCCGTCCTTATTACTAGGTCACTGATTCCCATAGAAGTACCTGCTTATTCCAGGTACGATAAGTGTTTTGTAGGAAAAATACAACTTTAGAATTAATATAAAAAACGGTAACACAGTGGGGTTGTGGCACAGTGTGGACGTGGCATAGTTAGGACACGTATAAATGATATCTGACAGTGATTAATATCACTATCATAAAAAACGTTTCTATGTAAATCCGTAGATAGTATTTAATTTTAAAAAATTGGTGGATTATTCCAAAAGCAAAATTAAACACCTATTTTTTGTTCAACTTCGACGACCATTTGCACATAGAAGATAAGTCGTCGGGACATATATATTTTTTTAATTTACAGTACGTAACATAAGCTTTAATTTAACATATGTGTTTAAAGGATGTAGTATTTTCGGAACATTTTCAAAAGTTAAATTGAAAAAATTGACTTTTGTGAAAAAGTTGCTATTTTGAATCCGTTCTCGTGAGCAGGTAAAGGAATAGGTTTAAAAAAATGTATAAGAAAAAAAATTATTTTGATTTGTTTATTTATGAAAAAGTTATGGCAGTTGTAAGAAAAAAAATGTCAACATTTACTGATTTAGTAATTTTTAGGGGAATTTCTTCCATTTACTGAGAACGAGGGAAATTTGTTGAATTTTTAAGGGAAATTACTTCAATTATATACGATTTGTGATTTTTTGACGTATCGTTGAAAAAATTGGTCTGGTAAGAGTTGATAAAAAGTAGCGACAGACATAAAAAAAAAACAGTAAACATAATACCATCTCAGCTTCGTATCGAAGCTAAAAAATTATCGTATTCATTTTTTGATTGAAATTCAACATTACATTATAAAATATTTTAAAATTTTACTAATACTAGTTCCTTGTAATAATATTATAGTTGGCATACCTCTTAGGAGTCTAGTTGTCTAATAACAAAATAACAAAATCTTTAATAAAAATAACACTTATTCAGTGATTGGTAAAAAATGTATGTTTTTTAAATTATCATAATACTGACAGTTTTAGTTTTAGTTTTTAACAAGGTGGGATTAGACACTGCCCATGAAACCAATAGTACTAATAAAACCAATAAATAATATGAAAATTATGGTCACATAAATTATAGAAATTTTGTTTAATTTACAATAGTATAACTTTATATATTTTTATAAAATATCATATATTACACTATTATCACTTATTACACTATTAGAGTATTGAATTTTAAGAGACACTAAATATTTGTTATATGTATATTTTTTGCAGAAGTATTATTTAAGTTAAAATAACTAGATATACTTTTGGCTTGTCAACTAAGAGCCCGTGGATATTTTGATAATCTTTGAACAAGATTAAAGAGTATGACATTAAAATAGTTATATTTATAAAACATAATCGCATAGGCCATTTCATTTGTTAAAACTCATAAGCATATAACTGTGAAAGATATCAAAATATTTCTATTTTCTTAACTAAAATTGTAAAATGATTTGTTTTTTAAGCTTTCGTTTTTCATAAACATTTAAATAATTATGTATAAAAAATTAAATCAAGGCAAAACAGTGACGTAACCAGGATTTTATAAAGAGACCATAGAAAAAATATTTACAATTTTTCATATTTTAAAACTTTTTTTTGCTCATCACTTAATTTTTGAGATTATTATTGCTGTCAATTGTAGACCTTAACCTCTCGACTACACCACTGAAGCAAATTTTAATTAAATAAATTCTATAATTTACAATTGCCAATATCATTACATACAAACCCCTTTTGTTTACAAGAATCACTCAGTAAAATATTAGTAGAATGAAAGGCTTAAACAAGGCAATAAAATAAAAATTAAGCACATAAAGATTATGTGGTTATTCGAAGGAAGACATTAATTAATTTTCAATTTTTAAAAAGTGTTTCAATAGTCATTTATGGTATCAAAATTAGTTGTCAGTCTTTAAAAAGTTACTCATTAAGTTTAATTATTAAAACGTTATAGTATTTTAGAGAAGCACAAAATAGTTTCAATTCTATGAATTTTCTTAGAAATAACCTATAAATATATTACTTAGAATAAACTTTCTCATAAAATTACTTTTGCGAAATCCAAACGGATGTACTTACAAGAACAAGTACACTAAGCAAATATGGGTATAAATAACAAATTGTCTTTAGTGATAAAGAGAAATGTAACAAATATATGTACAAAACTTATGAAATTATATGTATATTAATATAAAAATTAGGAGTATTTGAGTTGACATAGGGGCGGTTTGGCTATGAGGACAAAGAAAAAATGCCCCCTAGAATCAATACAGCAATGAGGGCCGTTATAAATAGGGTAATTGAGTTTAACAAAGAATGAATGGCGTAATTAGGATTTTGTCTTGAGGGGATATACATAAGAAAATTTTGCACATCCCTCTCCAAACTAAAAAAAAATTGTATCTTCACCCTATAATTATTTCAGTTATGGGAGATATCCCACTCATGATAACGCCGGTATGAAGAATTACGTTTTTTTATACGTACTATTTTTTTTTTTTAATTATTATAATTTGCGTTGGTTTGAGTAATTTAATGTATAACTGTTGATAAAAACAATTAATAGTAAGTTGGAAAAAAAAGTTTAAAAAATTATTTTATTTTGTAGCGAAAAGAAGTGTAAGATTTACAAAATAAATCTTAATTAGGTCTTTTATCGGAGAAATTAAGACAATAACAAATAAAAATAATGTTGTACAACTTTTGCATTGTATTTAAGTGATCCCAAAACTAAGAAAAAACAAAAGATTATATTCTTATCATATTAAAGTGTCACGCGATATTTTGGCATTATTTAGACACGTGACCTTTACTTAAACACCATTCAAGAATTGACTGTGAGTCGCCCACGCAAAATGAGTTCTAACATTTATGTGGTCGTTTTGTAACATTGGCTCGGCACAATTCTGCCGCCGATTTGAATTGTAATAAAAATGATTTCATCGCGAAACTTGGAGATACAAACACAGACGTAATATAAAAAGAAGTCGACCTAGTTCACGCTCAACACTCAATTTATGATTAACCTACAGGCCGATTTAGGCCCGACTCAAGTCCGATTGCCAAAATGCTGTAACTTCTAAGACTGACTAGGACTCGGAAAAGAGACAAACGAGACAGAAGCCTGTGACGCACGAATGTCGCATATCCTGGACGTCAGCCAAAAAATCAAACGGTTCCTACTCGGCTACGACTCATCTCGCCTTTTTAAACACACACACATGCAACCTGTATACTTGCAAGTCGTTCGCGGTTCAATAGTACAAGACGCAAATAAAAACACATTTTGGACGCAAATGTAATTAGGAAACCTCCCAAAGCGTCTGCCTTCCCCGGATATCTTTATTTTATTATGCCGCCTTAAAATGTTGTGATGGACGAATGCCATGGGCACCGTCCGTCGAATGGCAAAGACAATGCAACATATACAAGTATATATATATATATATATATGTTGCTGAAAATTCGACACACGTGGTTGGCACAAAATTTAATTACAGTTATGTTTTTTAATCGACACGCAAAATTTATGATACATGCAGAATTACATGAGTATTAATAAGGGGATTTATATAACAACTGTTAACAATTTAAATTTAATCTGCCAATTATATCAAAAAATGTTTGATTCACATAAATATAACTAAAAATAATGTTTTTACTGCTAAATACAGATGAACCATTGTTTGGTTTTTTTTTTTTTGTTAAATGTACTGGTCACAAATGAATTTGATATATACACGATATTTTTTTAATACTAACCATTTGATATCTCTCAAAATAATAACTATGTTAAGAAAAATATTTTTGGGATTTTTCAGTCTTATATATTTCTTGATTAATCAGATATTAATTATTTTTTAATAATTGTATGGGTGTTAACATAATTTCTTTTAATTGTAACATACACATTTAACTAGCTTATAAAATTGCAAATGATTTTATCAAGTAAATGACTTATTACTTAAGCACATCATTTCGGAAATTATTACGTTATTTTAAAATATAGACTGAACGTGGAGCTTGTATGTAACAATATTTCTTGATCACAACCCTCCCCCGTCTAGGTATAAAAATGTTAGTAACTTTTGAAATACTAGTCCAAAGGTTATTATCGACCAATCATTTTCTTAATTAAATCATTTCCTATTTTAAAAGCTAGTTAAAAATATATATTACCACTTAAAAAAAAAATAAAGTTGACAACCTCATAAGATATTCAAATAATATAAATAATGAATTAAACAAGTAATAAATAACTGACAAATCAAAAAATATATGACACTATAATTATTATTTTTAGTGAAATCGAGTGGCTAGCGTAAAAAGATTTATCTTATATATATTTTTTTTTACAGCATTTTCATGGCTGCGTGTTTAATTAAAAAATGTAATATTTAAAATATTGTAAGATAATAATATAAGATATCTTATAGCTAATAATACAGCTATCTAATTTAAATGTCAAAAAAAATTCATAGAGTATACACTAGATTTAGACGATTAAGATAATTTGTGTATTATTGGCAATTCACTTAACTTGAAAATGATAATTTAATTATGGCAAAAAGCAATAGTAATGATATATTATTTGTACCAGAATGCGAGCCAAATTGTGCAATTAAACAAACAATAAATACATGGATTTAACTTAACGTTTTTATTGTTTTTAATGATATATATCATGAATTATTTAATTGGAAGGAAATTTCACATTATAGATGCCTTATGAATACTATTATGAAAATAAAGTAAGTCACGACACCATTTTCTTTTGAAAAGTTTAATTAGACGAGAATTATTAGATGGCAAGTAAGTAGCCAAGTTTGCAATGAGTTGATTTAAATTTGAGGAAAGTTTGGAGTGAAGCGTTTGTAATTTACATGAAACACAATACATCAAAACGTGAGCTATTAAATAAATTTAAACATAACATTTCAAGTTATAAATTTTAATATTTTTGATGTATAAAAAAAATTAGGAAAATTAAATATTGCAGTTGAAAAACATTGAATTACTTAAATCTGTGAATATTTTCACTAAAATCCAAAAAACGTTGATTAGTATTTAATTTGAATGTTTTATTAGATATATTTTTAGTGTTTTTACTTATTTATATTAATATATTATACATTTTTATTTTGTCTATAATATCTTACAAATATGTTATGCATAACATATCCATATTCACAAATTGGGAGATTGGAGGGGCTTAGCCCACCATTTTCAAATTATATTTCAACATTTCAGAAAAACCAAATGGATAATTATACAAAACGAAACTTTATAGAGGAGATGTTAGATACAATAAGCCACTTCAACATTTTTGTTGGTTTTGGGCCTAAGGACATGTCATAAACCTAAATATTTTATTTTTATTGATAATCTTTTTTTTTTTAATATAATTTACTTTGAATTTTTATCGAAAAATTAAAATTCTTTTATACATTCAATGAAATTAAATAAGATTCATTTGTTTAATTTAAATTTCTTACGTAAAAAATAAAAGTTTAAAAATATTTTTCACGACTTTCATTTGTTCAAAAATTTGTCCACTAAATAGATTGCACCCTTTAAAATTGAAATCATCCCACTGATAAGATGGGAGCTAAATCACTACCTTGACTCACACCATTTGAGATGATATTATAGTCAAATAAGTGCTCAGGATTATGGAGCATTTTGAAAGAGTGATCTACAAATTAGTATATAAGTATTAGTCAGGTGCAGGAAATATTTTTGAAAAGGAGTCCTTCATGTTAAACATTGTCAAACGCCCGCGCTACATCTAGAAAAACACCGGCGCAATATTGTTGAGTAACTATTGTTGATGATGTAACCCGTTGTGTTGATGTGTTATAAAGTTATAAGAGAGTGCCCTCTCGTATGGGAAACTTGACTACCCCAAATTTTATGTTTAGCATTAATGTCAGCATAAATAATGAAAGTGTGATTAATTGATTGTATTAAGTACATAATTCAGCAGTAGGAATACTTAATATTTAAATAATTTTTATATTAATAAAAATTATTGTTGAAATTCATAATAATTTTTAAATAACTTGGAATACCAAAATTTACAATGGTGAGACTTATTTTATACTTTGAACTATAGTCTCTTTGTGGTACCATTCATAATGGTTTGTAACAAAAAAAAATTGTAGCATAGAAATACATAATTAAACTATTCAAAAATAAAAAAATATTAATAAATAGTCCGTTGATAAGATTTGAAAAAAACAAATGCGTATTATTTTAGAAGTTAATCATAATTGTGTTAACCGAAAAAATCCAATTTTAGCAGTTAACTAAAATGAAATAAAAAAAACCTCAAGAGAACTGTGATGTATAACAACGTAATACAGAATGTCATCACATGATAATCAATTTTATGAACTCTAATGAGTTATAATGAATTAAATGATATTTACAGGAAAAATGTTCATAATGCATAATGCATTTTGTAAAACAAAACAATATACGACGAAAATAATATAGAATTCATAAAAATAAAAACAAAAAATTAAGTAATATATAATTACATTTAATATGATTTTAATTAAAAATTAAATAATTTAACGAGTCTTTTGTATAATATAATATATAAATATGTACTAAACATTTAACAATGATATATTTGAATAGCTTAGTTAAAATGGATACAATCCAAGACACTGTATACTGGTCCTTGTAAAATGAATAATCCCTACATAACAACACATTTCAATTTTTATGGTAGCAAATGTTTTTGATAAATTTAAACTGAGTTTTATAACTAATATTTTCGTTTACTAGAAAAATTGATCATTCAAGTAAATGGCTAGTACTCAATTTAAGTATCAAAGTACTAAAACTAATTAAAGTTGTTAAATGTTTTGTTATAAAACTCAGAGTCTAAAAATATTTTATACAAACACAATAGTGTTTATTCACAAATCATTGTAGGAATAGTATTTGTCTCTGTAAGTATTATTTATAATATGCAGTAAAGATTTAATAATTGTTACTAAATAGAGAATATGGCTGACAGATGTTATTTATCGTCTACTGATAAAACAAATTTTGTAAAAAAAAATAGAGTTTGCTTCATAGAATTAACATAAAGATAAGCCAAATATTTGCCATGCTTTTAATAATTTATCTCGCTCGTGCATAAAACAACATTATATATAAATAAAATAACAATAGTGACAAGTGTTAAAATATTTAAAAATCCTACTCACATTGGTCGGGACTCTCCGTCACATTTGATGCGATCCGTATTTCTGAAACCAGAAAATAATGACTTATCATTTTGACTTTTGTATTTATTAACTCATTTGTATACATTGTTTATTGAAGTACTCATATGTTTAGCCTTCGTTATATTATAACCGTTACAAACTAAATTTGTACTTTTTATCGCTCAAAAATATCATTTTAAAATTATAATCATGAATAATTAACTTACTTCATTTTTCCTACGTTATTAATTAATAATATTAACCAAGAATAACGAAATACATGTCAAAAATACTGTTTAAGAATACTAACCGGTAATCTAATTGTCTTATATTCTTATGATATGTAAAGGGGTCAGAGGTCTTACATTCCAACAACACATGATAAATTAATCAAAAAATGCATTTTGATTACGTTTTTTGTTTATAATTTAAATTTTATTTAATAATATAATTAAAAGTGATATTTTTACTCATATGTATCATAAAATTATGAAATCTCCATCGTAATTATTTGTTGTGAATACATTTTATATAATTAACATATAAGAATATATTTGGATTTAAAATTAAAGCACAATTTTAACTATGACATAACATTTATTAATTTCAATCCTTAAATTTTACTAATTAATTAAAGATTGAGTTTTGAAACAACAAGTAAAATGTTTTCATTTAGTGTTTGATAACTTGTTGCTAACCTAAAATTTGGTTAAAGTGATGCTATACTTAATCGTTCAATAATTAAGTGTGGGTCTTACGTTTAAAAAATATTCAAGTGAAATTTAAGCTTAAGTTACGCTGGATAATAATAACATATCTTGAAATGAGTTTAAAAAATTATTACTTAATTAGTTATTGTTCAACATTATGGAGGACAATAAATTCCTATGCATTTTCAGCTTAGCTTTTTAGCTTAATAAAGTAATAATATAGATAATTTAATAAATAAATAAAGCAAAACGAGTATCATATTAATTTTTAATCGTTTTGCTACGTAAATTACATTTATCACAAGTTTAATTAAAATCTTAATATTCACAAGTTATTTTATTGCAATGAACTAATTGAATGACATTTATACTTCAAACTAATTTTACTGGATAAAAATCTATATGTATACCACGTAAAACCACACATTTGGTTAAAAATCACAATTAAGAGTTACCATATTATCTTAATATTTAAAATATATTATGAATAAATCCCCGTAAATATTTATTACATAACATTATTTCTAATCGAGCTTCTTCGTCGAATAATTAACATAAGATATGATGGGATAAGATTTGTGTTTTCATTTAAATCTTACCAAATACTTAAACAAGAATATAACAAAAATAGTTAGTTAAATTTTATCATAAATTATTTGGAATGGTCAAAAATTTATTGTTTTAATATAAGTTTTTTTTTTTAATGTGTGCAAACTTGTTACAAAAATATCATTTTTTCAGTTGATACATTATTATTAAAGTATTCGTATGTTACAAATGCAACAAATTAACACAACTGATGATTGAATGTAATTATGTGTGTAAATGCACTCATTGTATAACAGCTGTTGGCTTCAGTTCAATTGTTATCAATAATTTTTTACCGATAAGTCATTATTATTTTCTACTAAAGTAATCATAATAGATACCGTAATATTCAAGAATAAATATTTGGTAAAAAATTACCAACTTATCACTGATAACAGATGAAAAATTAAGATACAAGGTTTATAGATTTCATACCAAACGTTTATAATACATTTTTTTAATAGTTCATTGTTGTATATATGAGTGGGGGGTGTCATGGGGTCCTGACCACACAGGGAAAAAAACATTAGAAGTGGTTTTCTAAATAATAACTAATACTAAATTTCTGAATACGTTACTGAAATAATTATAAATATGACACAAGTACAGCGAGTTAAGTAAATAAACAAATATATGTACATTATCTAGAAAAAATTATTTACCTTTCGAACTGCATCCGCTTACAGACCTTTGAATGTAGTCAACATTATTCGCAAAATGTTTAGTCTGTAAGACTGGAAATTCAAAAGGCAAATTTTCAAGACGATGTCCGAATATTTACTTAACTATATGATAGTGCGACACTATTATTTTTAAGACTCAAGACAATCCAAGCCAATTTACTCGGCCATCCTTTAAAAAAAATGACCGTTCCTAAAATATTACCAAACCATGTTCTTTAAAATTATTTTTGTAATATTTTCATATACATAAGAACCTCCATCAGTCATTGTTCAATGTTCTTTATTATTTGTTAATATAAAAGCTAACACTCTTTAATGATCAAAACATTAGTTCTTTAAAAAATTCTGTACAAATTGTTTCTATGTGATAAAGTAACAAGAAAAATACAACGAACAGCAGATACATTATTTCAATGTTTTAAATAACCATCAAATAATTTTAAATCGTTTTGTTTTAAAAATTACAATGTAAATTAAAAATTGAAATGAAGCCAAACAAAAATTATGGATGAAGCTGAGACACGTTATACCAAAGTATGTGTAAATAAAAACACAACAAAATAAATAATAAAACTATATTAACCAGTAGTGAATAAGGAGAAGTATGAAAAATAAAAATTACCATTTAAAAGCTATAACAAATATTATTAGTCTATTTTTTTCATTTATGCGTTAACAAAGCATAAGATATTGAATACTAAATATTACAAGCTATTACTATCAATATAATTATACAGAGTGATTTAGCTTTATATGATAAGTAGAATAAATTTAGTGTCACTATTTTTTTCTAAATAACCCAAATATTCCTGAATAAAAATGTTATTTAAAAAGTTTAACTTTCATGGCCACATTAATAGCTACTATAATAATGGATCCTAAAATACTATTCAAGTTAATAGTGCTATAATTGTATATATTCGTATATTTATGCATATATCTTTGTACGTATTTCTGATATTATTTAGGGAAGTTATTACAACAAAGTTATATATAACACTTTATTGACGTCTGAGCAGAGTTTCTTGTTTTGGTTTTCACAATTTATACACAAGAATAGTTCTGAAAATCTTTAAAACGTATAATACGTGTAAAAAAAAATGAATTAAGGCGCTAAAGCTAAATTTTTAGAGTTTTAAAACATAACTAATTATTATTAATGATCTTACTTTAATAAATAATAAGATAGATTTAATTATTCGGATTTTAATATTTAGAAAGAAAATAATTAAGATTAATGGCACTTTGTATAATATAAGTATAAATAAAATTTTAGACATCTCATACACTTCAAAATAGCTTATAAAATCTCTATAAAATATTTTATGGTAATTTTCCTAGACTTTCAAGTAAACAAAATTCTCTAGCGCAATAACTATCTAATTAATTTAAATATAATAACTAAATTTACTAGTTATTTACAACTAATAATTAATTTATTCATTCTATTGGTTAAATTTTGTAAAAATATTGAACTATTTGCTGCACATTTTACTTTTTTTTTATTTCACTGTAAGTAAAGTCGACTAAAAAACTATGTTAAAATATATTAAAAATCATCGAAATTCGCTAAATTCAAAATTCAAAATTATTAAAATTAATAATAACTATTGAGATTTTAAGTCAATATCAAGTTTTAATCGTCATCGATTATACTTTAATATTATTTTTAAAGTCATAATATAAAAAATTGCTTGATTCCAAACCTTAGAATGAACTAGTTTAATTGTTCAAAGTTCGTTTTAAATGAAAAAAATGAATTAAGGTCGTGCGATTTAGTATTGAACAATTTTTAAATTAAGTTCTTATATTTAAAAAAATTAAAGTTAAAAATTAAAATTAAAATTAAGTATTATATTTAAAAAAGAGATAGAGGGATGTTATCGAATATGATATGTGGACGGGATATATTTGGGAGATCGTATTTAGTAGAAGTTTAGGATAAGGGTGGTCGACCTCAAGTAGTTAGGATAAGAGCGAGGAAAAAGAAAAAGAATTTTTAGAAGTTGAAGCTCAGAAGAATTTGTAAATAATTTTTTTAATTATGTATTAATGACATTTTATTACGCTTTTGAATAAGTATATTTTTTATAGAAGTTATAATATAATGTAATTAAAATTATAATTTTAATGTAGAATATAAATTTCAAGAATTAACTTAATAATTTAAGCTAAGTAAAGTATAAAAAGTGCATTTAGAAATAGTATGCAATGTTTTGTTATTGGACGAATATTCATATGCGTATTGTTTATTGTCATTTCAATATTTAAGATGAAAGTACTATTATTAGTTAACATTCAAGCTTTCATAGGCATTAAACAGAAGTATAAAATTTAAATATTCAGCACTCGATGTACTTTAGCATAATTTAACAGCATAAATATATCGTAAAAATTCTGAGAAAAGTTAACAGTTTTTTTAACATTAACTATTTTGTGTACTGTTAGAGTGGTGTAGTCAATGGTCGTCTCCCACGTGCTTTGCATGATTTAATAATAAGAATAAAAAAAATACGCTGAGCACTTGGCGCACCATAAATAAAATTCGACTAAAATCGAATTCTTTGGATTTAACAGCCAACAATTATTTTTTAAAGGAATAAAAGAATAATATTATCGATATATGCCATGTCATTGACCTTAGGTAAAACAGTATTAAATACATTAAACAACAAAAGAAACAATATCTGACGGATGCCATTTTTTTAGACAAATCGTTTCACAAATTTCAGTTTATCCAAAAATAAAAAATTTAAAATTAAAACGTAAATTTTTTTTAAGCTTATCAACATAAAACAATGCTAAACATGTATATATTTTAATATTAAATGACAAATGGCTAACGCAGGTGTTTTTAGAAAGCAGATGTCATAGAAGTTTTAAGTGTTATCATACAGTAAAATAATAACTATTAGTATAAAACGAATTGTATTGCACAAATACATTATTATAAGTTCAACAATCTACTTTACTCATTAAAATATTACTATCCCATTGAATATCCAACAACTTTGTATAACGATGAAAATATATCTAAGTAGATTATAAAACCGTTATATTACACAATGTTTAAATGTTTTCAACCCTCTATGTAATTTATTATATAATATCATATTTTAGGGGGAGGTGTAATGTAACATCACGATATTCACTTTATTAATTTGTACTTTTTTCGTCATTAAACCAATTGTTTTACAATATAGTTAAAAGGTTTTAGTTGGCTGGTTTTTATCAGTCTTTTATCCGGGGCTAGATTTTTAAAGGCCCCCAAGAACAGTTTTTATGTAAACAAATTTATCATTACAACACAAATAAAACTACAGGTAATAAAATTAATTAATAATAATACAACTTTATTTTATTTTAAGTTATTATACCAAATAAGTAAAATACAAGACTAGGTTCATTTTCTTTGTAAGCTCCTATTACATATGAGTCCCTTGGTCCTCCTCTAAATCTGGGGCTGAATTAGACATTAAAATCAAAAGAAATCGTATTAAGCATATTAACTTTGAGTGTTTTATGTATTAAAAAAAAATGCATATAAATTGAAATATTTTTTTTTTTACTGGGAAGGTTTCAAAGTCCGTCATAATATCGTGTCTAAATTAAAATAAATGAAATTTTATACTCATAGTTAATATTTAATGAAATAAAAACAAACACTGCCTTGGTTAAAAAGAAGGTTAAGCCGACTGACCTGAAGTTTGTCTGACCATTTTTGTTCAATGACAAACTGGAAAAGATCGGTAAGCGTTTTCGTATGGAACTTAAAAATCCACCGCCTGTTCGCTGTCCAGTTTCTCCTGGTATAGTACCGTTGGGTTCTGATGGATCTGGTTCGTCTGTTACGGCCAGTTTTACAGCCACCGCAGTAGTCGGAGTCATAGTCGAGCTGATGAGTTGCTCCCATGGCGTCGACAAGCGACGACCACCGGCGGCCCCGTGCATTTGGTGACCTATTGCTCAAGAACCGGAATCACTAACACTATTGAGACGTTCTACCCAGCAAAAGTGATTTTTCGGAAAATTCGACCATTGCTGCAACTAGCCAAAGAAATTGTAACACTTTTATTTCGAAGATTTCCCTACTGTGATAATATAAAATATAAAATGTAAGACGTTTTGATCCACCGCGTGTATCTTTAGTACCTTGTAGAGAGGTATACAGATTAACACGAAACACCGAACGGAGATTAACGTGTACTAGTAATGTTAGGGATTCGCAGCAGCCACCGTGCCCCTACCTTTCGTTTTGTGCGATGGTGGTGCGCGCGTGTTAGAGTGCAACGAGGATCCCAAAAATTATGGAGGGGACTCATAATTTCGAGTGTTCTATGTCATATCTCACTCGCTGTACTTCTTTCAAATTTACAGCCAAACTATGCATTTTAGACACATGGAAAATTTTATATAGGTTTTGTTTGCTTCAACTAAATTAAAAATTTGAAAGATGAAAACAATTTTTTATTTACATATTCATAATGAATATGTAAATAAACCTTAAATCAAAATCATGAGCAATTCATAATTAATCATCAAAAATAATGCGTTTATTTAATAACATACCTACATTTCAAATAAAGTAAAAATTAACAATAGGAAGATAATTTAATTGATTATTTATAAGTGTATTAAAAAGAGAAAATATTAAGACCATTTACAAAAGGGTGAGTGAAACACCTCTTTCTAAAAATTACTAAAATTATTTGTCTACAATTTTAGCCGTTATTGTAATACACTAGTAAATTTAAATCAGTAAAAAAATTTTTTCGTATAGCACCTTATATTTTTATAGTGAGTAATAAGTACGAGAAAATTTATGTATAACACAATCCCTAAAAAATGTTTTGAATTAAATAATTTTTGTAGAACGTCTCTTTACCGTATTCGCAAACACTGTAAATTTTAATAATACATTAAGGCAATTTAAATTTAATAATTTTTTTTTTAATAGAATGATGTACAGCACTTGTAGTTTATATATTTTGTTTACATAGTAATTAATATTTTCTGCTCAACTAAGTTTTTAATTTTAACTAAGGTAGGAACAAGCCGTTGCAAAAAGCAAGGCAAATGATTACAAAAAAAAGATGAAAAATAAATAAATAAATAACAAATAGAGAATTATTATCTTTTAAATGTACAAAAATAACATTTAGTTTTTAACAATATTTTTCTTTCAACTTCCATACGCCAGTCTTGTCAGAACATCTATGAAATGTACATAATTCACTTAAAAGTGATTTGAATAATGGCGTGTCTTCAGCTTGATATTTATCACGAAATTTATTCACGATTTGATCTGTGTTGACACAAAAGTTGTTTTCTAAAAGATATTGTCTTATTTCATTGAGTATTTCCATTTCATGATTAGTGGCTTCTACAAGGCCGTTTCGTTTTTTCATTAATTCTATTAGAGATGAACTTGTAGTTGTCTGACTCCTATATTTATATACATAAAACATGAGTAATGTTAGTACATGTAAACTCAGTCGTGTGCCCAGACATTTTGATTAGGAAAGATAAAATAATAAATATTCACAGAAGCGCAATTCGTGATCATTGCTTGACCATAATAAGATTAACAGTGATGTGTTTAGGATTTTTATGGAGAAGAGGATACACACGGAAAACATTTTATTACCTCCTACAGTCGAAATGAAAATATATTCCATTTTGAGTACAAATAAAACATTTTTAATGCATAACAATAAACTTACTGATTTTTTGAATTGAATAGTAATTTTGGTTTAACGGTACCACGAGATCCAGTCCAATTTAAACGACCCGTTCCTGGTTCCCAGCATTGAGCACGAGACGCTTCAAGCTCTTCAATAGCTTTTTTCGCTAACTTTTTAGCCTCGTTTTCAATTAAAATGATTTCTGTTTTTGTGGATTCCATAATTTTATCGTGTCTCATTGCAGCTTTCAATCCTAATATTAAGATAACAAAATATAGAATATGTTATCATAATAATTGTACTTAAATCAGAGATTGAAACCGGTTAAAATCTATGTTTTTCGGTTTTTATAACCGAAACCTAAACCATATGTTATAAAAACTGGTTTCTATAATTAATCAAAATCTCAAATGAATCAAACGGTTTTTATTCCTGCTTTAATATTTACTATTTTTTATAGTAGGTTATAACATATGCACCCATCTGATAAAATCCAAGGGCAACAAAAATTCTTTTTTAGTCTCAAAAATTTTTAAAAAGTATATTTCAGGAAAAAAAATGTATATATCGAAATAAAAAATTCCTGTAATGTAAAATATTAAATAACATAAATTTTAATTAGAAATAAATTAAATTTTAAAATTTACCCAACACAATCAAATGTGTCCCAATCTCCCATATTTATTGTTTTATCAAATTATAGTTTAATGTGCATCAAATATTAGTTAAACAAATTATTTCTATTGTGGTTGTAAAAGTTTTATTATAATTGAATGCATACTAATACGAAAATTAAATTTTTTTTTAAATAATTTTTAGGTTTATTGGATAGCTTAACTAATTAATTAATATATCATTCGTGGTAGGCTTAAAAAATCTGAAAAAAAAAGCTGAAAAGAATCCTTACATTATAATCACAGTGATTATTGTAATAATAAATACATTTTTCTATACAAATTATTATAGCTATAAGAAAAAATGTTAGTTGTAAAAAAACAAAGAAGTAAAGTAAGATAAAACTTAATCGTTATTACCATTTTAGACATTATTTTTTAACGTCGTGTCATTTGTGAATTAATACTATTCATTAAAAAGTATGATTAAAAAAAAAATGTCATCAACAAAACAATTACAGTCTCAAAATTAAAATAGCAAATAAATTGTTAGATTTGTATTCTACACCCTTTCTCCTTAAATAAACTCTAAGATTGCCTCTGCATATATAAGTAAAACTACACTCGTGAGTATATGACAATTTTCATTAATAGTTTTTCTTATATATTTTTGTACATTATTTAATCATAATGTTTAAAGCATTATTCGTAAAATGTTTGTTAACCTGTTTTGTTAAATAGTTTTTCTAGTACATAATCATCTTGTTTTTTGGATAAACATTCATTAGTGTTTTGTACTTTATACACATCACATTTTATTAAATAAGGTATTTTAGAATTATCGTGTTTTTTTAAGTGTACATGTTTTTCTTTTGAGCAACTAGAAATCGAATATTCATTTACAATTTCTTTTCCATTGTTACAGAATGATTCATTTAATTTCTCTTTCATAGATACCGATGAACTTTTATTATCAACATCTTCATTTGAATAAGATAAAAGCGACTTTTTGGTATCTAATGTGTTTTTATTTGTAGAGAACTCTTCAAAAATACATATATTTTCATTGGATGTAGTTTTAGGTTTTTTAACTATCCTGTTACTAAGTTCTCGAGCTTTTCTTTTCATTGCTTCTATTTTTTCTTCTGTAAATGAACAGCGAGCAGATAATGTTTTTGTACTTTTTCTTTCACACCGTTCTTTAATTAACTGTTTTAATTTTATCTAAAATACATTAAGTTAGTATAAAAAAAAAATATATATTTTTTAAAGCCATATATACTTCAGAACCAGTTCCCGCAAATAAATCTGTTGTTTCAACACAGCCATTTTCATCAATATCTTGAAGGGTGAAAAGTTCATATAGGTAATTGGACTTAAAAAATCGACGCTGTTTAGGATCTACTAATACCTTATTGGTTAAAAATTGTTTAAAAATCTGTCGGTGATACATCTAAATATTCATTAAAGAGCTGTAGTGTTACAATTTTTAGGTAATTACAATAATTTTTTTTAATAAAAAAACTTACTTTTTCTTCAATTGTTCCAGCTGTTAGTAGTCGATAAATAGTGACTGGACTAGATTGTCCGATTCTCCAGGCACGTTCTCTGGCCTGTAAATCAGTAGCTGGGTTCCAATCTGGATCATAAATTATAACACGATCAGCACCAATAAGATTTACACCTAATCCACCAACTTTAGTTGTAAGTATCATAATAAATATTGAAGGATCCTATTATTTAATATAAAATTAAATATAATTATTTTTTTATTGACAAAAATAAACAAATAAAAATGATGAAAACCTGATTAAATTTATTAATTAATGGTTGGCGAGAACTTATTGATGTAGATCCTTCTAACTTTAAATAAGAATAATTTTGTTCTATCATAAATGATTGAAATATATGCAACATCTAAAATAAATATAATAATTAAAAATTAAAATTTGTATTCACTTTTACAGCTTATTTATGGCCATTTCCTCAAAGGAAAGGTTTCTTAACAATAAATAGGATGGGTGGATAATCTGTCACTAGAAAGAGGTTTGGTGACTCCAATTACTGAATTGACTATTTGAAAATGGAATTACCAGTGATAGAGTCTCAAACCCAAGAAAATGTGCACCAAGTAGTGCTGTGTTACAGAATCGACCACTAAGTCTCACAAAATTAAAATTATCATTTAAAAATATTTACATAATTAGAATAATATATTGAAACAAACCTTAACACTTTGAGTAAAAAGAAGAACACGATGACCTTGTTTTTTCCAAAGTTTTAATAATGCTTCAACAACAATCATTTTACCTGATTTCTTCCAATGACCATAAGGGCCAGATTCCTGTGTTTAAAAAAAGTTGGTAAAAATTAAGTTTAATATATATAAAAAAAATATGAGTCTGAATAATGTATTACAATATTATTTTGAAATAAATCTGGATGGTTACAAAGTGTTCTCAGTTGTGATATACCAACAAACACTTTACAATTCCCATTTATTATTTCTGGAATTAAATCTGAATGATCCAAAAAATGTTTATAGAGTACTTTTTGCTCTTCGGTCAATCGACAAAAAAGCACTTGCTCATTTTTTTCAGGAAGAGAGATTTGAGATTGAATATCACATTTGAGCCTTCGAAGCAAATATGGTTTAATAGTATCTTTTAAAATTGTAGCACACTTATAAGCAGTAGCTACCTGCAAAAAATGAAATATATATTTTTATTATATAGTCAGTAAATATAAAATTATTGAAGGTCTGGTTTTTATTCATATAAATTATTCAGCATTGTTTGTAGAAAATAAGAAAAAAATGAAATATATATATAATTTTTAATAAATGACATAACAAAATAATAACTTACTTGAAGTTCAGTTGCATTTGCATAGCCACCTTGTGTTATTGGTATAGCAAAACTTTTTATAAAAGCTGGTAAAGTACCAAGTTTGCTTGGAAATATAAAATCAAATAATGACCACAATTCTTTTAAATTATTTTGAATTGGAGAACCAGAAACAATAATCCTATGATTTGATTTGATATGTTTAACTGCTATAGTAATCTAATTTTGATGAAAAATAATTAAAAACTGCGTTTTTAGATATTTTTTTATACTTACTTTAGCATTAGGATTCCTTATTTTGTGTCCCTCATCGAGAATAGTATAATGCCATTCAAATTTTAGTAAATCATCAACATGTGTTAGGAGTCCATTATAAGTAGTTATTATAATTCCTTTATTAGACCATACTTCTCTAATCAAAACATTAGGTTTACCTAAGAGTAATAATTTAACTTTTAAGTAAAAGCTTATTATTTAAATACAGTTTATTCAATAGTAAAAACAGTTGGATAATTTGAATTATTATTATTTAAAATACCCTTAAAAACACCAGTTTCGTGTAATATAGCTATACGAATAGGTGGACACCATTTATGAAATTCTTCAACCCATTGATATAATAATGTAGCTGGGCAAACAATAATGCTTGAACCAAGACCACGCACACCTGTTCTTCTTTCTTTTATTCTACTCCAATATAAAGCACCAAAAAATACTATGATTTGAATCGTTTTTCCAAGACCCATTTCATCACCTAAAATACCACCATAACCATTTTGATGGAGTTCCCATAACCATTTTATTCCAATTTTTTGGAATCTTTAAAAAACAAATATTTTATTTATTTAACAATTATTTTAATTTCAAATTATTTTAAAAATATTAAATTACTTATATAATTTTTCCCATAATTCTTTTGGTACTTTAAAGTAATCACCATCAATTAAGTGGAAAAAATCATTATTGTCAGTTGCTATCTCTGCATTAAACTTTTCATATTCATGTAACCTTTCTTGGTAGTTTTCTTCAATGCCATCATCAAATGTGATATATTGACCTAAAAAGTTATTATTCTAATAACATAAAAATGTAAAAAAAAGACCTTTTAAGCTATTATTGATAATCTAAAGGTTTGAAATTTAAAATTGGAGTTCACTTAAAAATTTGATATCTTTTTAAGCTTTTGATTTACAAAATAATTTTTCTAAATTTTGCTTCAAAATTAAAATAAATATACAATGAAAACTTATTGTGAGAACAAAATATACTTAAGGATAATTAATACTAATTAACCATAAAATTTACATTAAATGATAAAAAGTCATTTAGTATTTACGTGCCTAGTATTTTATCCTATATAGAATTCAATTACAAAAAAAATAACTTCTTAACCCCTCAAAATTGTATTTAAAAGGTGAAATTTTGTTAGATTCTGAGTAGACTTTGAATACAGAATAGTGTTCATATAAACACGCCCTTGTATTATGAAATTACAAAAATAAAAACTTAGGATTTAGTTTTTGTTCTTATTTTACATTTTATTTAGTATTATGAGTTCTTTACTACAGTAGTATAGAATATTTAATAAATAAATAACAAAAATAATTACTATATCTTTTTAAACTAATTATAGTTAAATAATTTATACATTATTCAAATTTATTTTTAAAAATTGATAATTCATTAAACCAGAATAAATAATATTTCTTGGATAGAATTTCAAAACAGTTTAATTATTTTATCAAAGGTGATTGAATGAACATTAAATAATTCCATACAATACTTTTCATACTCATTAGTTATAGACTAAGAAACATATATAAATAATTTTAATAGTTACTTGATTTTTTTCTGGAATCAAAAAAATCATCATCAGAATCATTACTATCTTCATCTAACAATTTATTAAAATGTGAAGGGATTTTCTTTTTTTTAGCAGACTTTTTTTTTGAACATATTTTTAATTCACTCTCTATAGCATAAATAGTTTTTATTTTGAAATATCACTAGGTAATATAGTAAAATAACAGCTATTACCAGATTCGGAAGAAGGAAAGTATTCACTTTCAGAATCTGTTTTTTTTAATTTAACTTTAGTATAAGTTGATTTTATGGATCTACAATCTGTTTCTGACTTCAATTTAATACAATTAACAACATTATTTTTCTTAGGTTTGTGAGCTGTTGACTGGAGTTTTAATTGAGATTGTAAATATTTTTGTAGAATATCTTCAAGACTATTATAAAAATTGACAGTTGGTTAAAAAAAATGTATTCTACATAAATATGTAATCAAAAAAAATGTCTAAATAGGACCACAAATTTAAAATATTATTATTTTTAGTAAATATCTTAAAAATGCTTGAAATTTTGCACATTGATATAAACACACATTTTTAATATAAAATAAATTAAGATTAATTTTTAATTAAAAAGTTTCTGGCATGATTTATCACCTAGAGGGCTTTGTGAAGGCCCACAAGTCTCTCATTGGTAAATTATGAAAAATTCTAAACAATATTGGTAATTTTTATAGACTTTTTCTGGCTCATGTCTAATCCTATGATAAATGCTATACCTTTTGGTATTTTCTGGGGTATCAACTGTACCAAATGGAGTCATTTCACCTATTCTTATTTTTCGTTCATTCTCAGTTTCTTTTAAAACTAAAGCTCCAATGGTATTTTTTTCAGTAATCTCAATATTTTTAACATCATTATTAGCTACTTGTTTCAGTATTGAATGTTCAAATTCATTCACATTGTAAGCAACTAAACCTTTCAGATCTTGTAATTCTTTAGGCTATAAATTTGTAAATATTACAAATTATTTAGTTTTGTTTTCTGACTAAGTTTAAAACTTTATTTAATACTTGTTTATTGATAGGAATAGCTTCAATTTCGTTTCTATTAATTTTGAGAATTCCACTACTATTATTGAAACTATCTTGCTCATCCAAGTTTTCTAAAGAGTCAGGCGGCTGTTCCAATGAGTCCATTTTAAATAGCTGAAAAATAAATAAACGGAGTTCTATTTCAATTTTGTAAGACCTTTTTATGAGTTTTTAAATTTTGATATACCGAAATCGAAACGTAATAATTCGTTTTAAAATCATGAAAAGAATAAAAATTTGATGAAAAACCACCACCATTATAACAAATTTAATCATTAATATAACTATTATACATTTTAAAAGATGGATATTTAGCAGAAGATAAATTTAATAACATTTTAAAAGTGAGTGAAAATATATTATTTATGTAATTTCTAAAATCTAATCAATTGGCTATAAATTGTTTTTATCGTTCCAAATGTACATATTTAAAAGGGTTGATTAAAAAAGACAACAAGTTAAAATAACTACTTTTTTAATAATTCAACAACATACAACATTCAACTATAAAAAGGGTATTAATTTTTTACAAATCTTAACATGATTAGACAATATTATAAATATTAATATTTCAAGTATTTGACAATACAAATGTAATTTATATTTCCATGAAATTAATTTTATATTAAATCAATTTTGTGGAATTTTTGTTCATAATTAAATAGTAAAACATATGTATATAAATAAAAATATATGGCAAATTTTAATAATTTAATAAATATATTGCAATAGTTGTGCTGATAAAGTATTATTAAATAACTTAACAAAACAAAATAAATACAAAATGGCAAGCTTTAAAGTAAAAAATAAAGCAGTATACATTAAAGCTTTGAATATTTTATATCATACACATATTTTATTTCACAAAGCAATAGTTAGTATTTCGAAAAAAATAAAAAATAAACAATTATAAATAAAAAAACAACTTCACTTTACACTAATCAGTACATTTTGACTATCTTTAATCTCATTTAAAGGTAAATTTAAATGGTTGTTTAAAGTCAAAGAAACTGACCCAGTTGCGACAATAAAGTTTTAATTTATAAATAAATATAAACTATAATTTAATCATATTTTTAAATAAATGTTAAGATTATTTAAGATTTCGGTATAAATTGTATTACATGAATCATATACATATTTAATATAAACTAATGTGGTTATAATTCAATACATAATTAAATTAACATAATAATTATATTGTAATGAAAAAAATACTTCTTTTACAAAAATTGTTTTGTTTCTATTGTTTTAAAATTCCCAATTCAAATCAATAGTGAAAGCTAAAAAAAAATAGAGACAAAATCCCAAATTTATCTATTTTTAGAGATATGGTAATAATTTATCATTTAGGAGTAAAAATTCAGTACATGTTTCAGAGATTCCAATTCTAATACTTAATCTTTATAAAACTACCTCATAATATGTACATTAAATATAAACTTAAGATATAAAAATTAAAAGATAGATTATAAAGAATTATACAATCCATGTAACAATGTTGGTATTAAATATTATTTGTAAAAAATTTATAATTATATTTTAGATTTTAATCGTAAAATAACAAAATATAAATTATTATTTTACATATTACTATGTTTAATCAGCTGTTCCTGTCAAATAAGACAAGTATGTATAAAATCGAATGACTAATACTAAAAATAATACTATTGATGGTAACGCAAAAAATAAATGAAAGTTTGGATACTGCTCCAACTCCTTGCATTTTAATAGAGTTTGTTCTAACTCGTATTTTAAAGAGTTCTTCTCTGTGATACATAAGTTATACTCTACGTATAAATTTTCTAATCTGTTTTCAATAATATTTGAGTCTTCTTTACTTTCAGTTGTAACTGAACTTGTATCTTGTATTAAGTAACCATCTGTTTGAGAGTCCGGTAATGTTTCATTTTCAACATTATCTCTAAATATCAGTGATTCATTTTTTAAATTTTCCGAATAGGAAGACTTGAGATTATCTAAAATATTATCAATATCTTTTGAGTCATGAAAACAATCTAAGTTTTTTTGAAGTATGTTTGGAATTGTGAAAATATTGTTCGAATTTAAACTTGATAGATGGTATAAATAGTTTGATATCAAAATTATTATAACTTCTTTACAAGAAAGTTCTTTTTTTAAATGCTTTAATGAAGATTCTTGATCTTCCAAATTTCTTATACAATCTTGCAAAACATCTTTGAATTCAGATAATTTACCTTCAATATTATCACATTTTTTTTTGTAAAATTCGATTTGAATTTCAATATCTTTAGAAAATTCTTCTAGATTTAATAAATTTTCTTCTTTAATTATGATCATCTTCAATTTTTCAGAATCTAAACTGCTTAATTCAGCAACATTTTTATCTTTTATACATTTCATTATGTATTCTTTATTCAAATCAAGCTCTGTTTGTAATTGACATATTTGTTTTTCAATTTCAGACTTTTGTTTTATATTTTTATGCATTTGACAATGCAAATTATTTATTTGAGTTAAACATGTTTGTTGGCTCTGTAATATAAGTACCACGTTTGATGATATATCATTTAAGTATTGATTTAATGATGTTTCTTCATTAAATTCATGGTCATTCTCCAACTTTGAGAAAAATATGTTTTTGCTGTTAAATTTATTTTTAATTTTAACAATTTCAGCTTTTAAGCTTTCAACTTCATCACAACGGTTATGAAAACTATTTTCTATTTCATTTTTAGTTTCTTTTAAGGTTTTCAATTCAGTTTCATAGAGTTCTTTTGTTATAGTATATTCTTTAACAGTATTTTCATGGTTTGAAATTTCTACATTGAGTTTAGCGCACAAATCTTTGATTTCTGTTTGTGCATCATTGAGATGTTTCATTAAGGCGTTTTGCTCAGTAGTAGAATGCTTTAGTAAATTTTCTAATTCTTGACATTTTTGCATTAACTTTAATTTATCTTCCATCTCTTTTTTTAAACAATCTTTTGCCATTCCTTGATATGAATATTTATATTGTTTTAAGTCACATATTTCTTTTCTCATTTCATCTTCTCCAATATCTTTTTTATAATACTGAAGTTGGCTTTCTAAAAATTCAATTTTGGATAACAGGCGATCTTCTGCAACTAAAGCTTTCCAGCTGTTGTCCGTTTCACCAATAATATTTGATAAAAGTTTTTCTAAACTTAACAATTTATTTTCCAAATTTAATTCCCTGTGCATTGCTTCTCGAATATAAGCATCAATAGTATATAAGTCTTGGGTTGAAACATCATTAATAAAATTATTAATAGGATTAGCTTTAGCTTCAGAACCATCTGCATTATACAATTTGAGAATTGCTGTTATACAGCCATGAGATATATTTTTGGAATTTTCAATTACATCAACACCAAATTGGACTATATCACCACTAAATACTTCTTGAGGTTTAGATTCTTCACCACTTTTACTAAGTCTATGATTATTAACAAATGTACCATTACTGCTTTTAGTGTCTTGCAAATAAAATTTATTGTTTTCATACCAAAGCAAAGCATGATTTCTTGACAATACTTTGCAGTCAAATATACCATTGTTAGGACAAACTTTTGCTTTAGCCAATAACCTTCCAATTTTTACAGGTTGACTAAGTGTGAGAGTTCGTTCTTCAAATGGATGTGAATTGGCACAATACTGTAGAACTGCCTTACAGGCAGAACCTGTGACAGTGTTGGTATCATAGTTCATGTTTTCAACCATTATATCTTCTTGGAGTACATTTTTTTTTATACTACAAAATATAAATGAAAATGATTAAAAATATACTTAACCTGAAGTTACCTTATGTAATACTTAAACGGTAGCTTTCAAATTTTCTAATTGTTCATAAGAAATTTCATTTTATAGAAACAAAATTTTAAAACTACGCAAAAATTTACACTATTAACTTACAAATAATGGGTATTAACTATGTACTAGAAGAATCAAAGAAGAGATAAATTAGTTTAAATCGATAAAAAAAATTGATAACAAAATACATTTGTGTCAACATTTTTTCTTGATAGAAAAAGGAGTGCTTAGATATAAATTTTTGTTTATCTTATAGCTACAGTTTAACCAACTTTCAATGACAATAAATGACTGACTAACAGGAGCCGGTATTATTTTTGTAAACAGCTTGATAACATTGTGTTATCACAATGTCTAATTCTTATTAAGTTAAAAATATTTTTGTTCTTAATTTTAATGCATTTCAATATAATATTGCAAACGCATAAATGAATTACAAATCTAAACTTTTTAATTACTTGTTTATTGAAGATTTCATTTCAAACAACAAATTATTTTTATAAATCATCTACTTATTTATTTTTGCTTACTATAAACTGGCAATAGAAACTTCTAAAAAACTATGGGTAAACATGTTTAAAAATATAAATAAGTAAATATTCATAAATCGATACTATCTTATTATAAGAGCGTATACGACTAATTATTGAAAAATTTGTTTTTAGTAACAAAATTTAAGGAAAAAATGTTACATGAAGAACAATTTTTTTTGAAAATTGGATATATTACTTTATGTTAATTAACTCTTGAAAAAGAGGAATAATTGTTTTACATTATTCGAATAAGACAGCATTAATATGTTAATATATTAATAACATGTTTATATATATTGTTAACAATATATATAAACATGTTAGTATGTTTAAGGGAGTTCTTAAATATCAAATTTCTTTCTTATATTACAGCTTTAAAAAAGTTGTTTTTAGAGCTTTTCTTACAAAAAAAATTAATGGGTCTATAACAACCTTAAGATAAGTACTTATTGAGGTATGAGAATATTAATACATTGAGTGGGTTTGGAAGAGTATGCATTATAAATGCGCACCAGTACAAGCTGTATCCATCCATGCTACATACTCACTTTATGCATTAAAATGATTATATCTCAAGTTGTTATCAACCCATCAAAATTTATGTAAAAAAACTCTTAAAAATATCTTTTTTAAATTTAAAAAAATATCCTTTTAACATAATCTAGGAATGCAAAAATTGTTTTAAAAAAATTTACAATGAAGTTTTAATTGTACAAGTCATGATTTCTCAGTTAGATCTATTTTACTGTTTATAATCAGATTCTTCTATCGGTTTGAATATTAATCTGAATTTATTTATATAGAGATTTTATTTGTAATATTATATAAAATTAATTCATGAACAATAAAAACAAAAACTTTGCTCCAAAACCAAAATAAAAAAAATACTATGATTAGTCAACGGGGGTTGGTTGGTGTGCTGCTTCCTCTCCCTATTGTCTGATTATGTGGCTGGACTACCCTAATATTTATTGTGCAAGCTGATGAACTTTGAAGTATTTAAGTTATCTAATATGTAAAATAAAAAGAAATAACACTGCATTATATTTGCCATTCCACAAATACTTACATAAATTAAATATTTTATATTATTTATGTGTATGTTAACCTTTTGTTGAATAATATTAAAATTTTTACAGCTGTATCCACAAGTATGTCATTTTTATTTTCTACTTTGCTGGCATTATTATTGTTTTCAATAATGCAACTTAATAGTAAATGGTTAACATCTAGCTCAGCACACGTAATTGGAACAGGTTTTCTTGGATCAATTCTATTTACTCTTTCTTTAACTGTATCCTTTTATATAATTTGACTTATTCAATTAAAGGGATGTGTTTGTATCTATTAATATTTTTATATAAATAAAAACTTTTTAGTCCTAGTGAAATGTTTTTTTTCTTCAGACAATGTATAATAATTAACTATATAAAATTAAATTTTAGAAGCTTTATATTTTTAGCTTAAAAATATAAATTAAACCTTAACTGTTTACTAATAGTCTGTGAGCAATTTAATGACTATTCTTCTGGGAGATGGATATCAAATAAGCCTATTTCCTGAAAGTAAATGAATTATTATTATGTATAACTAGTATTTAAATATCTAATTTATAATTTATTTTTATTCTTTTAGTTTCACTTTCGTTATTATTTACATTTATAACATGTGCGTCAATACACAGAGTTTGTGCTACTACTAGGTTTGTAAAATTTCCTTACTTAAATTTTTAGTAAGAATTATCATTTCATTTTTACTTTCAGCCTGTTATTTTCCTTATTGGCATTATATAATATTCATAGTATTTCTCAAAAGACTTATAATTCAACTTCTATTTTTAAACAGTCAGTAGTACAAGGAAAAAAAAAGAAACATTAAGTTGTAAGATTTTTACTTAAATTTTTATAAAACATAATATTCTATAAAATTAAATTAATAAATCATGTGTACTTTTTTTTTTTTTAATTTTACCTATATTTATAAAATATTAAATGTAAAGTGTTCAATTATTTAAAATTAATATTTTTTGTACCTATTAAAAAAATTGAATTTATCATTTAATTGATAATGATAATAAATTTCAAATAGACATTTATGATGCAGTAAATAAGAAAGAAAACAAAAAGAATAAAAAGATTAATTACAACACATCTATCATTACTTAATTATTTTTGAATTGTTAGAAAAACAATAATATGAAAATAATAATAATAAATCTATTTAATATATGTTGGAATGTCTTGCACTTTGCATCATAGACTCAACTCTATTGGCTGTATCTCTTATGGCTTCTGGAAGTTCAGGTAAGTCCAGTGTTGTCGTTAAGTGGGCTGATAACCTTTTATACATTGAATCTTTTTTCGTGTTATTACTAAATTTGAAAGATATTAAACAATTTATTGCAATTGTAAAATTGCATTCAATAAAGTATTATAATAGTTACTTAGTATTAGTAATACAATTGATTTTATATATACTAGCTACATATATAATAAAAATTATCTACTGATATTATTGGTTCATGCAAGTTGAGCAAATAATCTGGAATGTATTTCAAAGATTATGATGAAACAGCATTAACTACTGGATAAGACTTTAATCTACATAATACAACACAAATATTAAAATATAATTGATAAATATATTGATTAACTAAATCATATTTTTTGTTATATTATAATTATGATTATACAAAGTTATAAAAAAAATAATAATCCTTATCTAAAATATTTAAATAAAACTTATAAAATTGAACAAAATAAAAAGTTATCTTCTAGGTATCCTAAAAATTTTAGTGCATATATGAACTAAAGCTAGAAATGTATTAAATCATTTTTTTTAATGGCGAAATGAGTCATAAATGTTGATATACTATTTTGCTTAGTGACTTGTTCCCCCAATCCAAAAACAACAAATAACATGGGTTACAATAGCATTAAATATTAATAAAATATACACTTTTTTTTTAAAATCAACTAATTTTTTGAATAATAATTTTAAATTAAAATATTTATGAAGTATTAAGTATCAACATCTAAAAACATTTAAAATAGAACTTGTTTGAAAAAACATTCATGCATGACAATAGAATAAAATTTGTTTACTTACCGTCTAGTATGTTCATATTTTATTTGTTGACTTAAAAAAAGAGCACTTTTTAGTTGTTCTTGGATATTATTTAATGATTTTTCAGAATTTTTGATAGAATTTACAGCTCTATTAAAAAGTAAAGATTTGAATAATTTAAAACTATCTATATATATAATGGAAATATACTACTATAATAAAGTTGAAAATAAAATGAAGTCGAGCAGTATTTTTTTGTTATAAATTCAAAACTAATCATATTATCAGTGATTTTATTTATAAACCCAGTTAATCATAAATTATACTAATTTTTTTAATTTAAATTATTTCAAACGTTTTTTTTTTTTAAATAAGGTCATCCAGTTTCAAAAATAAATACTTATTGTAAATTTGCTTTTTATTGACAAATTAGCTTATAATTAAATAGGAGAAAGCAATATTAAAAAAAAAAATTTGTTCATGTATTCTTTTGCAACTGATTGAATTTATATTATATAAAAATAAAAAATTATTTATAATATGAAATTTTACTTAAAGTATAAAAATTATATAATCTTTATAATTTTACAATTAAATTGTAATATTCTTAAATATGATATCATTAAAGCCTTATTTTTAGAAATGTAAATTTTAAAATAACTAATTATAAACCATTTTTTGAAATACTAGTATACCAAATCTATTAGCAACAGTTTTATAGTATTATACTTTAATATGTCTTCTGTAAATAATATCTTCCTTATTTCACGAACTTTACTTAACCATTTAAATTTCAAAATTCATTAGAAATTATTTATATTAATTCAAAAAATATAAAATTTGAACCACCATTAATATATATATATATATTAAAATTCTAGACTTTTAAGATTAAATAACTATCAAGAATAAAATTTTTATTACAAACCCTAGAGCATATTCTACATCATAATAATGACCTTGCAAATCTTTCTGAAGTTTCTGAACTTGTATTCTTTTTTCTATCATTGGAGGCACAGATTTTCGTACATGTTCTTGAATTCGATAAAACGCTAATGATGGTTCATTGGCAACAAAATGTAAATTTTCAGATAATATCTCAGTAGCTACATTCACATAAATTTAATAGAATGACATATGTCTTATAAAATATTAGAAGAATTTCGACTGGTACATACCTCTTCTTGCTTTGTTTTGCAAATCTGGATCATGAATTATGTCTGACATTACTTAATTATAGGTGAGAACTTAATTGGATAACTATTAGTAGCTTGTGAAATTTTTGAATAATAAAATATATATATTTTTTAAAATTCATATTGCATTTTAAAGAGTAAATATTATGTACTCATAATCCTGTCCCAATTATAAAATATTAAACACAATACTTTTTTACACAAATTCGTTTTCAAAGAGTGGTATCGAAACAATTTTATTAGAAATATGTATTCTTATCTATATTGTCATATTTTAGTATTGATAACTATATTATTGATAAGGTAATTTAAAAGTTGAAATACAGTGATAACACGCTGGCATAAATTTGAAATTATAAAAAAATTATAGATTATTCTCTAAAAATTTATAGATAAAATATTGAGTAAAAATTATAATTTTTAAAATTTATTATGCTGCTCACTATATGTATTATTAAATTAAATTTCCAATAATTTATTTCATTAAATATTGTATAAAATGGATGAAAAGAAACTTTATATTGTGTCAGAATACATTCAGTGGTATGAGTCTGATTCTGTAAGTTTAATTTAAAACTGGAAAAAATTAATTTAATAAAATATACTATTTTACTTAAATTTACAGAAAAAGATTCGTAAAAGAAAGGATAAAAGTCTAACTGATTATTTTGGTATTATGAAAAATATTCCATATTTTTTTGATGACTCTCATAACTATCAAAAACCATCTTGGAAATTTTGTATTGGTGGAGATGGACAAGTTTTAGCTGTAGTGCAACCAACTACACTTGAAATGCGCACTGATAAACATTATAATAAAATTTTGGCAAAAGCATCTTGTAAGATGTTTGATAAATATTCCTAGTCCTTATCAAAAGAATTATAAATTATCATAGAGTAACTTTAATTTTAGTACCAGATATTATAGCTAATGACTTATATCCATCAAAAAGAGTATTAGCTTGGAGTCCAGATTGCTCTATGTTTGCTATAGCTACTACACAAGCCAATATCTCCTGCTATGACTTACTTGCTTCCAATTTATTTATTATAGAACCTGTAAGTATGAAAAAACCAAGTTACTATTTTAACAAGTATAAATAGTTTTAAGTTTAGATTTTCTATTATATTTTTAATGCTAATAACTCTTTACTAATTAGTAATGGTATCATTTTGCTTTCTACTGGTTATAAAACTATTTTGAAACATATTAAATTTCTAAAATATTATGAAAATCCTCCTATGTACAAAAAATGGAAATAAAAAAATCAATAATTCTGAATTAAGGAAAAAAAGTTTAATGATATATATTTTATTTTTTGCATAAAGGAGGTTTTTTAATTCAAATGACAATATGTTATTTTNAAAAAAGTTTAATGATATATATTTTATTTTTTGCATAAAGGAGGTTTTTTAATTCAAATGACAATATGTTATTTTTTATTTAGAATAGACAACAATATTAAATAAAATTAGAATGATAATAATTTTCATAATTTTAGAATTCTATATTGTAAAAAAAAAAAAAGTATAAAAATGAAGTATAAGAATAAAATATATTTATTATGTAATTTAAAAGTATTATACATATTTAGATATCTAAAAATTGTAAATCACATAATAATGACTTGGCCAAAGAAATGGTCTTCTTAGATTTACGAACTAAATCATCTAAATGGTAATTATTGAACTGAAAAGAAAATTCTAAAAACATATTGAAATTTATGAAAATGTGTTTATTATTTATATTTAAGGTCCTATGAATTGATTTTAATTGGAGGAAATGGAACATTGACAAGTTATGCTGTTTCATCAGTTTATGGCTATCAGATTCAACATACATTCAACTTAGTACATATTTTGGGTGCTTCATCATTATCATGTGTTACTCTATGTTCAGATCCAGCATACGTTATATCATCAGCTAATATTCAAAATAAATGGGTATTTTATAAATTAATGATTTAACTTATAAAGGATTATACATTAAGTATAGAGTATTGAATTACTCGTAGAATAAAAGTAATATTAAAAATTCATATTTTTTCTTTATTAGCATTTCTACAACCTTTGTATGAATAAATGTAGAGATTATAATTTATGTTTTATATTCTTTTTATATCAAAGTAAAGAAACCTCTTTATGGTGGTTTATCATAAATTACTCAATTAAATATAAATACTATATTAGAAAAAAAAAATTGATTTCATTGAGTTACATATATTTGTTGATTTATCAGCTAATAACTACTTTTTAGAATCATTCCTTATAACTTTTAGAGGTGTCTACTTTAATTTTTCAAATAGTAACATGTATAATTAACTAGCTTATTTAATTGATAATGATTGAAACTGACTGGTTGGTAACAATTTTCAGATTAGTATTTCAGAAGTTATTAGTAATTTAAAGTAATGACTAGAAGTGAGGAGTAGATTCTGTTATTTTATTACTATTCGTTTCCCAGTCATACTCTTCCTCTAACCAAGGTATAAAAATACCTTTCAAAGTACTAGTCCAAAACCACCAGTCATATTTTTAATTAGATTATTTTCTATTTTATAAACAAGTCAAATATCTAATTGAAAAAATGTCAAAAATTAGCGATTTTTAAATTTGTAATTTTTTTGGAGATTTCCCCAATTTACGTGGAACTAGGGAAATTTTCTCAATTTTTGAGGATAATGTCTTCGACTAGATATGATTTGTGATCTTTTGACATATCGTTGAAAGAAATCGGTTTTGGTGAGAGCTGAGAAAAAGTGGTAACAGAAAAAAAAAAAAAAAACACATCATAGTAAAACCAATACCTTCTCAGCTTCGCATCGAAGCTAAAAAGAAAAATTAACAATTTTTTTATTCAACTATTTTCTATACATATATGAACTATTTATAAATATATGACTTTTCAACAGGATCTAAATGGTTCTGGTCTAAATTTGTGGTCAATGATATCATATGAACCTTATTATAGTCCAGTTATATCTATAAATATTAAACATGTAGGATTTTGGTCTAGATTAGTCAATACATTACTTCGTAGAAAAAATGTAAGTATAATAACAATAAATGTGAGTGAATTAGGCCAATAAATTTAATTATGACATTTAACTATAACAAAAATAATTTTAACAAAACATTAAAAAGAAATTTTTAATTTGAATGAACATAATTTTTGAATTGCATTTAGTTGATATTGATATTTTGTTATTTTAATAATTTTTATGATAAAATTTTTTTAAGTCAACATTTAAAATATTTACTTTAAATCATGCAAAATGTATCAACAATATCATAATTGAATAAATATTTAAATTAAAAACAATGTTATTTTAATGGTGTTAGCATATAAAATTAAATATACATTTGTATAGACATAATAATAAAAAAAGAATCACAATTTATTATTTGAGAATTATTTGATTTGCTTAATCATGGCTTATTTCGTTTGCTGACATGACTTAGTAATTTTTATTTAACTTTTTTTTTAAATAAATTTAATTTTATAGATATTCATAACAAAAATAAGCTTATCACCTTCAGCTACCAGTTTAGCCTGCTTATATGCATCTCAAAATATTTGTGTATGGGATTTTCCAAAAATAATGTTAGTAGCATAATTTTAGATACACACTTGAGTATTTTGCTTATATTTATGCCACATAAATTTCTAGGATTTCCCAAGATTGGTCTGTAAATGAACAAAAAGAATATGGTGGAATTATAGATGTTAATTGGTGGTGTAATGAGGTATTGTGTATTATTCACTTTTATTTGAATTAAAATAATAAACATTATTTAAATATTATTATTAATTTTTTTTTTTAAGGTTTTGGTTCTTGGATGCTCTGATGGTACTATTGTTATTTGTAGCAAAAATGGACAACAAAGTGTTGTTAATACAAAAATGAGTTCATCATATTATAAATTATGTGGCATATACAATGATGATAATTTTGTTGTTGTTGATTTTGAGTCAGAAGAATCTTCAAACAATATAAATGTAAATTGAATCTCTTTTATAAAATAATTTGTTTTATCAATAATTGAATTTAATAAAAATTATATTTTAAGGATATATCTTTAATTACCAAACCAGCTACAACATATGTTCATAAACTTCTAGCTATTACTAAAACTACTCCGCAACAGCTAATTATAAAAAAGGTAACAATTGTTTTATATCATAAACGTAGGGTTGTCAATTTTTTGAGACAGCCAATTTTAATTTTTCCCCATCCAAAAAATAATTTTTATGTAATAATGCATATAATTTTTGGGGAGCTAAGCCCCCAAAGACTATGTTTATATTAGCTAGTATTACTGAGAAATTGAATAAACTATTACAAATTTTTTATTATTCCTATAAACTTAATGTCTATTTTTTTGTATTTTTCTGTAACTTTCTGTAAACACATATTTTTTATTTTAAAAATCTTGCCCTACCTATGTAAATGTTTACAAATTTTATATCAAGTTTTTAAAATTTATTTTTAATAAATTAAATGTATAATTTTTATTTATTTTTTAACTTTTTTATTACAATATATATATATATATATTATATGGTTTCATTAAACATTTTTTAAAAATTTTATCTAATTTTAATTTTAATATAGAACTTCTGTGATTATTAACATAATAACTATACAAAATTTTGATGCGGTAAAATGAAGGGCTTTGAATTTTTTCCAAAAATTGGCAAACCATATATACATATAATGCTTCCTTCTTTCTATATATAAATAGTAAATTAAATTAATTATAATTTTTGGTAATTTTTTGATAGATTCAAGAAAAAAATTATGATGAAGCTCTAGATATTGCTGTTATGTATGAACTAAATAAAGATTTAGTTTATAAGCATCAATGGAGGGATAGTATAGTTTCTGAAAATACAATAAATTTTATATTGGTATATTATATTTATTTATATTTTTTGAAAATTTTTTATGAATAATGCCATTTTAACTATTTTTGTTTTAATAGAGTAAAATATCTGATAAGAAATGGATTATTAGAGAATGTTGTGACCGTGTACCTGATACATTGTTAGGAGCTAAGTTGATATTAAGATATGGCCTAGAAATAACAGATTTTTCTGCTTATGTAGCTACAGAAAAAGAGAACTCTAGTAATTTTCTTTTCAAATTTGTTTAAATTTTTATTTTAGCTAGAAATTTTCAGAAGTATCTGAGTCAATTAGTCAAAGTGGTAAAGAATTTGTAATATCTAGATTGCAACTTTTGAAATACTTAGATAAATTAACAGCATATGAAATGATTTTACAAAAAATGGATGGTGATTATGAAACATATTATAAGGCGCAGACCTATAGACATTTAAGAGATCTGAGTCCATTACAATGGGCATTTCAGTTGGCCAGGCAGTGTCAAGTAGATGCCGTATCTATTGTTATGACTTATTATAGCCAATTTGTTCTATCACATTGGTTAGACATTTTATCTGAATTTCCAGAAACGTTAATGCCAAAGCTTTATAGGTAATATATTGAACACGTCAAGAATAAAGTCTAGAATAAATTAGTGTATCAACCAAAATTGGAATATTTTGATTATTAGTCTAAATAATTTTGACTAATATATAAAATATTTTTTAAGGTGAAAATGATGTATTATTAGTGATATTGAAAAGTATAATATTTTTAAAGAAAGAATTTAATTTTTCATAGGCTTAAATGGAATTAAATTTTACTCTCATGAAAATTAATGAATTGGTTGATATGCTCCTTCATTTCTAGACTCTCAATGTAAAAGCTTATAATTTAAAACTGCATTTAAACTAATTATTATTAGACACCTGTTACCAGTTTGGAACTCTTCTTTAAATCAAATTGTTATGCTCGAGTCAAAAGTGTTTAGAGATTTGGATTGGTGTGAATCTGATCGATTCAAATTACTTACTAATACATTAGAAACTATTGAGCCAATATCTTTAACAGAGGATGATTTAATTTTTTGGTATACTAAGAGAATTAGAGATATTGAACTAAATACTAAACTTGTTCAACATACTACAGAATTAGCAAATATAGCTTGTGAAAACAATATAAAAGTATAAATTTACTAAAATTATTATTATTAAAATATATCACATAAATGAATATGAGATTTTTTTCAGGGATTAAAACAGTTAATTGAAGATTTATCTGTGTTAGAAGTCTTAGTGTATGAATTAGGTTTTGACAATTTGTATTTGAAAGATATTGAACAACTCACCACTTTTGAAAAAGGAACTCTGTTTATGTCTAAGGTATGCTAACCAAATAAGCTATTTTATTATATTATAGTATTTTTTGGTATGCTTCAATAAAAAAAATTAAACAAATTATTTTTTACTTATTATGAGGTATTAACAAAGATTATTGAACATTAATATAATTTTTACATCAGTTTTTTTGATAAAATTTTTATATTGATATTGTATTGAAATATTATCGTTACTGATTTAAATGGGCTTGTCAAGAATATATTTTCATGCCTTATTTAAATTTTACTTAGAAATTTTTCATGCACATGCCAGTTCATTCCAATATTTAAACACTCTTATAATGTAGTACCAACATTTTTATTTTTTTATTGTGATATTGATATATTTTAATATCAAATTATTTTCAGTATCGTAAAAAATATCTAATAATTTGAAACAATATTAATGTTAAAAAAATATTATTAGAGACCCTTATTTATGGTAATGATTATTATTGTTTATTTTATTGTTATTAACTTTTTTATAAGTTAAGAATTTCAAAAAATATTATATGTGTTGATGTTTAATTAAACGAATATGTAACCAAATCATTAATTAAATAATGGTAGTTCTTTTATTGTATTAAAACATTTATGAGTTTAATTGTTCTTCAAACTTCTTTCTGTTAATTAGTTTGTACTCTATTTTACAATATCATATATGTTTGTATTTTTGTATACTATTCACTGAAATTCAATGTGCTTAGGGTTTTATATATAAATGTTAAGGAATATAATTATATAGTATATATATATATTATATAATTATTAAATGATGGTAATATTTAGAATTTTATCACCCAATAAATGCTATAAATTCCAGTTATAAACTAGGCATTCTATAATTTAATTCTTATTATAAAAGTTTAAAATATATTTATAGAACATCCATTCAGTTGAAAACTGGAAAAAAAAACATTTAGAATACAATACATTTATAGGAGCCTTCAATCCTCAATAGTAAAAATAATAAATAAATAAACTAAAATCATACAATTATTTTTTTATAATATAAAATTTTTACTTTAAAGTAATCCAGTAGCAAATTATGCCCTAATAAAAATGTTAAGAGTTTTATTGTAACATTGGCAATCTCAGGGTTTTGCCTTAGAAAGATATGCATAAGAAATTTTTTCCTACCTCTGAATTACATCTTCAATGTGTATTTATTTTCATCATAGGGCAGGGTCGATCCAGAATTTATTCCAGGGGGGGGCGTTATTAGATACATTTTTTTCTTTTAAGAACTAATTTATTATTTTGTATTTATTACATTTCTATTTTTAAAAATTCGTTTAATGTTTGTTGCATAATAATTTTTTAAATTACTATAGTATATGTTTTTTGATGACTTTGAGGACATAGGTCTATAAAAATAAACTCGTTAATCAAAATTAATTGCATATGAAGATCTTTATTTGAAATTAAAAGCTATTTAACAAATAAAAACAAAATATACATTTCTTACAATATTATAACTTAACACCTAAGTTTGTAACAAATACTATTAAAATAATTAAAGAATAAAATCTAATTTTCTTTTTTTGTCATTAGCAAATCTGTCAATGATATTTTTGATATTATTATGAATATTAATATTTTTGTGAATATACAACAAAGCAAGACCTGTTAATCTATCTGCACTCATTTTGGACCTTAACCATGTTTTAAGCAATTGTTAAAATTTAAAATAAAAAATACATGTAGCGTGTTCTATAAATAACACAATTGTTTCAATATAAAGTTATAATACAGTATGTCAGTATATATATATATCAGTGTTGGGAAAGTTCCTTTTTAAATGGAATTCGTTCCGTTCCCCGTTCATTTTCTAAAATATGAACTCGTTCCAGATCCTAATTCTTTATATTAAGAAGGAACTTGTTCCAGATCCAGTTCCTCCAAAATAAGAACTCGTTCCACTCTTCGTTCCTTTTATAAGTTATTTAAAAAATTGTGGCAATGAGATCATGATAACGGTCATCAATGATTTTCATCAGCAGTCGAATACAAAACAAATTTGTAGTATTCCTTATCTAAAAGTATTCGAAAATTATATTTATAAGCAGGTAGTAAATGCTAACGACTTGTGTCAACGCGACCAATGTCTATTGTCTACATATAAGTTAGAAATAATAAATCAGAAAACCCAAAACCTTTAACATAAATTAGTTAACAAGAAACGACGATAATATTCGGTGCATTATTTAATATATGTACACATATATTAAATATTTACTGTATACCTACATGTGATAATAACTCTATCTATAATCAATTGATTCATTTAAACAGCCTACGATCTCGGCTGGGTATATAGGGGACTTCCATTGTCAAAAGTCAACTAAAAATACCATAATATTTTAATGTCTAGATACGAAGAAAACTACACTGAAACATGTTTATAAAAAATTTTAGGAACTGTAATTTCCGTTCACGTTCCTTAAAAAATGGAATTTGTTCATTTTCCTCGTTCCTTTATTTTAAAAGGAAGCAGTTCCTAGCATCGTTCCTTCAAAAAGAACTCGTTCCAGGAATCCGTTCCTTTTGGAACTAGTTCCTTCTCAACACTGATATATATTCTATTATTGATGTTATTTCAATAAAGCAATGAGTGTTCCTACACAATTCGCATGCACTTATTATTTTTATTTTTAGATTTTTAGATACTAGTCCTAATTAAAGGTATTTTAATTTAATCAATAAGCCAGTACCTGAGGGGGCGCGCTCCCCCTGCGCCCCACTTTGGATCCGCCACTGTCATGGGGGTTCTATCTTCCACATTCTCTGTGAGGACGCTCATGTACTGTAAAATGTATTATATATTATTTATATTTATAGAAACTATAAAACTAAAAATTAGTTTCAATTATTATTATATGTGAATTGTTAAATTTTTAGATTTAATTTTGTTGATATATATACACAAAAAATGTATTCTTAAATTAAACAAAGCTTTGTTAAAATTGTATTGATAATAACTATTAATTATGATTGATTATTAATCTATTTGAAAAATAAAAATATTGAATAGTGTTACACTTAACAAATAAGGCTTTATCATTTTTTTATAGTTCATAATTAATATGTTTCAGATTATAATTTAGTATTTTGGTGTTTAGTTTTATTAATATTTTTTAATATTATAATTGACAATCAGTACAAAATTATAATTTTTTCATCTGTTTATAATATTAGCATAATATGTATCTCTACTTTTTATTAACATTTTACAATGTTTTTTAGTGTGATGAAAGTTCATTTTTATATAACATGAAATATTATTTTTTGCCATATATTGAAACTAAGCAAGACACATTTCATCTATTAGAACGGTATTTAGTTGAAACAAGTGAAATTTCATTAATAAATGTATCACAAGTAAGGTTTTTTTTAGATATGTTATAAATAAATAGTTAATAATATCAGCTTTGTATACTATGAAGAAGTATTGTCTGTTCATAATAACAGACATTAGTTTAAAGTAACCTTAGTGCATTTCTCTAAAACTTTTAGGCGGAACTAAAACTTTTTATAAATTTATTTAAAATTTAAGAACTAATATTATTATTTCAAATAGCTTAATTTCATTTAAAATAATAACAAAATATATTTTTCTATATTATTTATATACAGAGTGAAACAGATTTAACTATTAACTTCTATACCTTTTGATACAATCAACATTTAGTGTTGTAAAATTATGGGAATTTAATACTTTTTAATAATTTTTGAGAAATTTTGGAAGAACTTTAAATTTATTAATTTATTTATAAATCATCATCACCAAATTTAACTCAAAATAATTTTAAATAACTTTCAAACATTTATTATTAGACATTTCTCGGTCTATTTTAACTTAGTTATAAAAATGTTAATAACTTAAAAATGATCACTACCTATAACTCACCAAAAATCTATTGTGTTTATATAATTTAAAATGGTAATAACTTCCAAAATACTGGTACAAAAGTTGGATTAGGTATTTTCTAATTTATAAGCTAGTTAAATATGTATGTTAATATTTCAAAAAATATAGTTCACAATCCTGTAAGGGTTAAATCAAAAGAGTACTTTAAACTAAAAAATCCAATATTACTTTTATTTTGTAAATAAATCACCTGTAATATAGAAACTATGATGCAGTTAATTTTATTATTACTGAATGTTATAAATATTATAAATACATAATTTCAATTTGAATATAACAATTAAAATATACATATAAAAAATATATACAAATATGAATATAACATTTACATAATAACATATGTTGACACAACAATAAGTATGGTACGTTTGACGCTTCCCTGCTATAGACGTCAGATGTTTTTTGATGTGGAGTGTACGGTTGGTATTGCATAGTAACTCATGTGTCAATATATATATTTTTATGTTCTCTCACATCTATTTCATTGTGGTAGTGTGAATTATTTTTTTATTATTTTCATATTTTTCCTTTGTTTAGTCGCTGTTATTCAAACAAAAACTCTTGTATTTTCTACTTCATAAAAATTAACACGACAAATAAGGAAATATGACTATTTAATGTTATTATGAAGTTTTTATATTATTTGTAATACATTCGTTTATCCCAACTTACTCAATTACTTACAAAATGAAAATAATATTATTATTTAGAATATATTTTTATTAAGTATAAATATATTATTAACTATCACTGTAAAACTAGAATAAAATATAAGGGATTGTAAATTTTCTCTAAAAATAGAAGTGCTCAAACTTAATTAGTAGCCTTAATTTTATCAGGGGAATCTATTTTAAGTAACTTTTTTTACGTATAACTCCATAAAGCATTATTACTCAATAACAATTTTTAATAATTTATGTTTTGTTTAACTGTGTTAAGATCATATTTTTTATTATTTGTTTTTAATTATAAAAAATTTAAAGTTTTTTTATTTTCAAAATAGTTAATTTTAAATCACTTAACTTTTAAGTTAAGCACTTAAAACTTAACCACTTAACTAAAAATTTTGATGGGTCGTAAATAAATTTAGAATGAGTAATTATTGAGTTACAAGAATTTGATACATGGATCAGGTATGTGAGATGGATGGAGTTTGCGTAATAAATATACATCAGTACGAGCTGTACCCACCCGCACTGTATGTATTAAAATGCTTGTCACTTAATAAATATTTATTATAAATTTGTTATTTATTCATTAAAATATTTTGTATAAAGCTATAAAAACTAGTTATTTTGAAGTTACAAAAAAACAATTTTTATATCATGAGTTGATAGATTTGTTAAAACATTGTGTACCATGTTATATATATCTATTAATGAACATAATAAAACTCATAATTGACATAAATTAAACATTTTAAGTAAGATATTTCATTTAATTAATATTTTCTTATTTTGTTCATACTATATATTATTAAACACAGGTGATTTTTTTTAATAATACAATTTTTAGTACAATAATAACAAATTGATAAAATTTCTTTTTGGACTTCTTTAATTTAATGTATATCTCAATCTATCAATAATGCAGTTCTTTTTTTTTCTATTTATTCCTTATGCTTTTTATAAGTATCAATTTTAATTACTCAAATGGTAACACAAATATTTAACTTGCTAACAAATTTGAAAATTATCTAATTAAGAAAATAGTTTAGTCAATAACAGCTTTTGAACCAGTATTTTAGAATTTATTAAAATTTCTATTATTAGAATATAGATTGCGGGTGAGAGATGGGTGATGACTATTTTTATTTTATACATTTCTTTACGGCAGTCTATCTTTATTTTAGACAAAAATAATATATATTTTTTAAAGTATTATGCATACATTTAAATTTATATTTTCATTTCATGTAAGTAACTAATTATTTTTTTAAGTTTTTTGAGTATTCTCAAATAAATGGTTGGGCCATGGTTGAAGTATCAGATGAAGCAAAAATAACTTTGGGTTTATCATGTGTTTACATGTATGAAAAATGTGACCAACTTGAAGAAGCTATGTCTATTATTTCATCACTTACAAAAATACTCGAGTAAGGAATAAAAAAATTTAATAATTAAAAACAATAATATTTTTTTTTTTTTTTGTTGAAATTTTAGGAATAAATGTATCAGTCAAAAGCTTATTGAAAAACTAGATACTACAAGACAATTAATCAATGCGTCAAAAATTTTGTGTAGTTATGGTATAAAATATTCATTAAAAATTTTGCTGGATAATTTGAATAGTGAAAATTTTTATAGAAATACAATGGTTTCAATTTGTAATTTTACATCTATGTGAGTCTTACTTTATTTTTACAATTTTTAAAAATTATTAATGAATAATTTTTTAATTGAATAGGAAAAATCAAACAGAAAAATATTGGGCAAATTTTTTGGCAGATTTATTAAAAATATCAAATCTATGTTTTCCAGTACTTCCTAATATAATCTGCTATGAGGTATTTATTTATATAAAAAAAAGATAACTTATATTTTCAGAGATAATTTGTGAGGCATAGTTAATTAATCACCCTATATAGATTATTAATACTTAATGTTATTATTTTTGTCTTTATTATTATTATTTTATGGTAAAATAATTTTTGTTTTAAAATAAGTATTGTTTGTAATTATTTTTTTTTTTTTTGAAAAATTAAATATTCAAATATCATTTATATGTTGAGCTTATGTAATTCATAGACACAACTAAAATATGAAATATTCTGGGGAGGGGTTTAATATATTTTTAAATAAAAAAATTTATAAATACAACTATAAATATAAAATTAAAAATTATATATATTTTTTGTAAATGAAAAGGAAGAGAGTGAAGAATGCTAAAGTTCTTTTTCCTATTTAAAAGATAAATCTATGAGCTATGATAGAATCTATAGTTAATTCACATTGTTTATCTTCTATTCTTAGAACTTTATTGCCTGGAATTTATAGAATTCTTATCTTGTATGTTAATATATAATATATATACTATATCTTTTTAAAAATAACTGAAGATTTTATTTTATTTTTATCAAATAATTTAGGTCACAAATTTTTTATAACAAAATAGTTTCAGAAGTGTAATAGTCAGACTTTTCACTTATTATATGAGTTATAACTATTGATCTTTTACGTTTCTCTTTTAATTAATAAAATTAAATAATGTGAGACTGCAATAAGTTGAATAATTTACAACTATTTTACTAATATAATTTATTGTCAGGAGTATTCAAAAAAATTATTATTTTGTCACAATGAAAATATTATTATGTTGTGCAAAGATATTTTAATGAAATTGCCTGAAGATGTATGTGTAAAACTTATTAAAGATACATTTGCTTTGTACTTTGACCGATCAAAATCTTTCAATGATTCAACAATGAATTTAGCAAAGTAATTTTATCATAATATTTATTTTAATTATTATTTTACTTTGTTTTAATTAATATATTTTAGACAGGCATATATTTTAGTAATATATTTTTAGGGTGGGGAATAAAAGAAAAAATTCCTTATCATGTAACAAGTTGCATCAACAAGTATTAAGTTAAATTTTAATAGTACAGGATGATTTTTTTATTAACAACCACTAAATTATTAAAAAATATAAAAATCTAATAATTTTATTAGTTTCTCATAGTTAAATATTTTTCTCAATTTTTCAGTCATGAAATATTTTTTATGTTTATCCTTTATACTTTATAAGGTCAACTTAATTTTTTTAAATGGTAACATGTTTAATTAACTGAGTTATTTATTAGATAATGACCCAATTAAAAATATGACTTAGTAAAAGCTAATTATTTCGAAAATTATTGATAACTCAAAGTAAGACACAGCATGAAGTGCGGGTGATTGAAGAGAAGAAAAGCGTCTAGTGTCTTATGCGATAAAAGAATTTCAATGAGGCTGAAAGGTATTTTCTACAAGACTGTAGTGAGATCAGCTATGATGTATGGTTCAGAGTGTTGGGAGGTTGATAAGAAAGTAGAGCAGAGATGAGAATGCTTAGATGAGGAGTGGAGTTAATTATATTTTTTTTTAAGTTAAATTTACAAATTCAGCTGCTATGGTCATTAGTTACAGTATTATAACAGTACCAAATATTGATATTTACAAACTAGTATTTACAATCTAAATTAAATGAAAATGTAAAATATATATATATTAGTTATATATGTTTCCATTTGAAAAATTAAAGTTGAAACCCTTATAAAGTATAAGTCATTAACATAAAAAATACTTTATGACTGATAAATTAAGAAAAATGTATAACAACTAAATGAAACTAATAATAATTAAGTGGTCAATGATAAAAGAAACACCTTGTAAAATATATTTTGTATTCATTTTGAAATGGTCCTGGTCTCTTAAGATCTCTCCCTAGATATGTACATAAGTTAAGACATATGTATTTTAATAGAATACTAGGTTATTTTGATGGAATAAATTTAAAAAAAATATTTTATTTTAATTTATATTAAGGTTATGTTTACATATTGTTCCTGATATTGATGAATATTTAAAATATGAATGGAATTTAGTGACAGCAATGACAATGTTAAATAATTTAGGCACTAAAATACTTCCGATTCAAGGTAGTAAATTTAATTATAGTTTATTATTGTGTACTTATAAATTATGATTAATACTCCTTTAAAATTTTCAGTACGTAACTGTAAGGATAAGTGGAAATTGATTGATATTAGTATAACTGCTAAACCAAAAAATTATACATTAACAAAAAAATTTATTACATTAGCACAAAAACTAGAAATTTCCTGTAATGAAAAATTTTCTTGTACTGAATCGTTTATTCTTTTTAAGTGTGCTATGATTGCTTATGATGTAAACTTTTGAAATAATTTTTATTAGGTTTAATTTTTATAAACTTATGACATCACATGTTTTGTAGGAAAAAGATTTCAAATTTTCATCTAAAACATGTGTTCAGCTTATGGAGAAAAATGAGACATCTGTTTGGCCACTTTGTTTTGAATTAGGAAATCAAAATGAATTTACTGATATAAGCTTAAGAAAGAAATTTTTGTCATTTGCTTTTTTATACTGTCCTGTTGAAAATATGGTCACAATTGTTAACTTAAGGTATTTTTTAATTATTATAAAAATATTCTGTGGATCTTTCACAAAAATTGTTAGATAATTATTTTTATTAGAAAAACACTAGAGAATTTTGAATTGAAAAATATTTCAAAAAAAAATCAACAACTATTGCTCCCAGTGTAAGTATTAATTATTTATGAACACAAGTGGTTTAAGTTTTTGTATGTATAAAAAGTAATTTTTCAGGATAAAAAATTTAAATTACTTAGCTGTTTCTAACTACACAAGTTCTGTACACTTAAACTGTACTAATTGTATAGAAGTTAATCCATTCAATGAGTTTACTAAATCAATATCACTCGACTTATTATGTAATCATAGTTCGCTAATAGATAATGATAAAGGTAAATTGTATGATTAAATTTTATTTTTAATTCAACTTATAAACATTTTTATTTTTTATAGCATTAGCAAATTATGGTTTTAAATTGTTAGAATATGATTCTCTTACATCTATATTATGTTTTTTAAATATAACGAGTGACAACATTGTTGATGAATGTTTCAATAATTGTGAAGGAAGTTTAAGTTCAAAATTAGCACTTTATATTTTTTCTTTGCGTTTTGCTGTTTGTGTCTTGAATGATTTAAAATACCTGGAAATACCAACTGATCAAGTATATCATATTTTATTGTATTTTTTTTAATTTTCATATATTTACTTGGAAATTTATTGTTTATTAAAATAAGCTTATAAAATATGTTATCTCATACTTGGATAATCAAGATGAAGAAATTGAATTAAAAGTTGTAAAATATATACGTAAATATGCTTTATTATTCAGTAAATATTCAAAAAAAGCTGATATTAATGTAAACCCAGAAGAATTAAATAAAGAGCTTCTAAGAATGGCTAGGTGAATACTAAAAATTTTATCAAGAATATTTTATAATTGAAAATCTAAATAATTTTTTTTATCGTCTTAACTACTTTTAGCACTGGTCAAGTGAGTAACTTAGAGAAGGCGTTGGAGATATGTGATAGACAAGCCTTAAGTATACATGACAAACTTCTTGTGGAATTTATTAAGTATTGTGTAAATTCATTACCAGCAAGAAACCTTGAAGAGATTCTTGTAGCGATTGATTTTAATAACTTAATTAAGAATAATGATGAATTTTATAATAGTATTACATCAGATATTTATGAAAATGTACCTGGAATCAATCATAATGCTTTAATTGCATATTATACTGTATTGAATCTTATTTATTCTGATGATAATTTTCATTGCAAAGAATTGACACCTGTTCAACATATTAAGTTACTTAAAAGAGTTCATAGTACCATTCCTGGTAATTTTTACTAAGTTTTAGTTAAAATACAAAATCAAAAATTTATTTTGTGATTAATGTTCAAATTTAATATTGAATTAATTAGGAGTTAATAAAATATTTTATTGTTTTCTTCCACCCTAAAATAGGGTAAAATAAATATAATTTTCTAAATTTCAAGTGGCTCTCCATAGCCTCAGATATTCATCATGAAAATATCTAATTTAGTTATTAATAATTTAGTATCATTAATTTTAGACTTGTCAATATTTTTAGTTAATTTAGTACTATTTATTCATTATTATCAGTTAAAACTATTATTTTTTTTTTTTTAATAGATATTGATTATAAATTATTAACACATCCAGAAACAGCATATGAAACATATCATGCTGCTCAACAATCTGGTTGTAGTGGTCCTGTAATGAATAGATTATTTAAAAGTTTACCAGATAAAATACAGAAGCACATAAAACAGTCTTGTTCTGTAAGTAATTTTGTAGAAAAAAATTTTTGTATTAATATAATTTATTAATATTTATAGACTCCGTCATCTGTTTTTGAAGACAGACAAATTATCGATAGTGACAATATATCAGAGTTATTTAAAAAAATTGAATCACCTTCTGATATAGATAAAATAGTAAAGTTATTACCTAACTCTGAAGAGTAAGTTATGTTATACATATTTTTTACATCATAACATAAATATATAAATGTAATATAATCCGAAACATTAAAAAAATTCATATTTTATATTTATATATTTTTTGACTAGCTATGGGTTTAATTAATTTAATTTATTGGGATCTTGGATCACTGTAAAATCCATTATTAAACTTGTATAAACTGGCAAAAATTGATAATATTACTTATTGATAAAGTCACTAACATAAAGGTAATATTTTTCGGTCGTCATGTCAGTATGAGTTAAGCTTTAGTGATGATAGCGTTGTTCCTGAAATGCGTATCCGTGATTTTTTAGTCAAATATTAAATAGTTAAATATTAATTAAACAAATTTTTATTTCAATTATTTTATGATAGTATATTATGTTTCTAAATTAATATTTTTTTGTGTTTAGAGCTAATGAACTCTGGGTCAAAGCAATGGTGCGTTTATTATCCTTAAAGCCATTTGAGTTTAAAATATCAATATTGGTATTAAAGTACATATGTAATAAACATAATTTTTCTAGTAAGGTAAATAAGATAAAACAAAATTAAATAGGAAAAATGGTTTGTTAAGAAAATGTTGACTAAAAAATTATTTTTTGTCTTTTGAGTTAAACATCATTGTTTATAAGCAGGGACGGGACTTAAAGCACTTAAAACATTGAAAAAAAAACAATAAAAAATCTATTTAAAAAATTTCACCTTATAATTATAAATACTAGATATTAGTGTCTATTTTCTAATACTTCAGTAAAACTATATATATATATAAAAGAATTACATTTAATTAATAACAAAATTAAATCAGATTAAATCTTTAAAAAAAAAACAAAACCTAAACTTTTTAAAAAAAATGAATAAAAAATATTTAAAATAATAGCTGAAAACCAATTAATTTATTTTACCAAAAAAAAATGTATTTACTTAAAGATAATTCCTATCTTCATTATTGCAATTAATTATTAAGTGTTCTAAAGTTTTCAAATGTAAAAGATCGCCTATTGTTTGACAGTATTGTTTTATAAGTTGAGAATTTGCGCTCTACATTAACCTATGTAGTTGACCTTTTTTATAGGCAATAATAAGTTCTATAATTAAGGTTCTATATTTTTTAACGTTAAGTGTAATACTTATCGAGTTAAACTCAAAAAACAAAAAAAAAAACCAATATAGCACCAAAATAGTTCAGTAAAACCTTCTAAAGTTGGCCTACATTACTTTCTTATACGACTGAACTAATGTAGAGGGTACTGTGTAAAAAATATTTAAAATAAACGTGTACCTATATAAATAAGGACCACCCTAATACACCTGTTAACTTTTTTGATACTGTATGGGTCGTTTTCATTTAGACAATAATAAATTGTAGCCTCTATCTAAGTCCACCAACGAGTAATAATTAGTTTAGGTGGCAATATATACCTTGCGCCTTCAATTTAAATAATTCAACACGAGATGAAATATTACGAAATATTTTTTTCATATTTGATTTAAATTCATCAACTGTACCAAATTGTCCGCGAATTTCTTCGGCAATTCTGCGTAGTTCGTGACTACAACAAGTAACGTAAATCATTTTTATACATAAATTTTTAAGAACAGTACTTGGTTTTACCATAAGGGAGCAGGATCTGATAAAAATAATAAGACATTTTTGTATTTTATATCACCAGGCTATATAAGGTCCATTGCTTTTTCAGCCTTGAATAATTAAAAAATTAAAATATACGGCCTAGACAATCTGGTCTATGAATTCCAACAATAACATTGGCTATAAATCGTCCTTCAACATCACATGTCTCATTAATTGACACCCAAATTTTGTTTTGTTGTATTTTCATTTTAGTTTTATCCATAATAGTATTAAAAATGTCAATATAACATTTTCGTAATTTCGATCCCGTTGGGATACTTTTACCAGTATACTTCTCTAAAAATGTTCTAAATATATTGTTAGAAATATTATTTAACGGAATTTCGGCAGAAACCATGACTTGGCATAAATCCATATTGATTTCGCTGATTTTTATTGATTATAAGTGTTTGAACTTTATTCTGCGCTTATTTTTCGAAACGCTCGACACTTATAAAGTGTTTATCAGTTCTAAAGTGTTGAGATGTATTAAACTATTTTCAAACTTTATCTGTATCTCATACATTGTACAATATAAGTCATGCTCGTCTGTGGACAAAATTTCAGATCCTAATTCTAAAACGTATTTTTTAAAAGCACACTAACTGATATCTTTTATTTTAAATATACGACCAAGATCAATTAGTCAATACAGCGTAATTGGTTACCCCAAATATAGGGATTCCCTATCGTGGTTACCAAATTACGGTGGTTTCATACTATTTATAAAATATATTATTTATTGATATTGCCGAAATAACAAGAATTAGTTATAGTTAGATTTTCCATAATGCAGCGTTAATACAGAGTGAATATATTTATTACCCCTAGTCTGCGACAACTGACGCCACTAATAGATAAAAAAAAAAAAAAAAAACGTGTATGATAAAAATATTTTTAGTTAGTTTTTTCGCAAATGTCCCATAATAAAAAATAAAAAAATCATAATTTTTTAGTGTCATTGTTATAAATTTTATTTAAATGTATAAAATAAGTAAAAAAAAACTTGAAAAAAGCACGATTTGTAAAAAAGCATTAATATAAGCAAAACAAAGCACATTCAAATTTTATGTAAGATATTGTTGTAACATGCCATAAACTTGTATAGCACTCTGCTACTTATTATGTTTATCCAAAATTATAAGCAAATGCTTTAAGTTCCGAGCGCTGTTGAGAGGTTAATCACTGTTATTTCTCTATACACTCTATACTACACTAATAACAAATTTTATTAATAGGAACTGGAAGAATTTAACAAAATGTCTAATATAAATAGAACATTGTTGTCATTACTATACCTTTTATCTGGAGAAAGTTCAGTTGAATCTATAGCAGTTGATTACTTTAAAACAAATTCTGTATGAAAAATTTGTTTTATTTCTTTTTTAAACAGAAATTTTAACATTTATTAGAATTATTCTGTTATTCTAGGATCTACCTGATGTCGTGTTAGATACTATTCTTGAATATGGATTAATGGAACAATTAATGGACTGTGATGAATTGGTTGAAAGTTTAGCATGTCGAACACTGACTGGAAATAATAATAATAAACATTGTCGTTTAGTCTGTGAACTGTTAACATCTGTAAATCGAAAACAGTTGGCTGGTTCTTTGTTCCTTATACACAATGGCGTACCTGCAGCTTTAAGGACCAATGTTGCAGCTAGAGAAATAGCTAATCGTTATTTATCAAGAAATTCCAAAGATATGTGAAATAATAATATGCTATTGGTTTGATTATATTTACCTTGTTTTTATTAAAATTATACAATTTATTTTTACAAATATAGTCTTATTATTATTAATGGTTTTAATTTTAATCATGATCTAAGAAACATTAGCTACAGTAGTTATTTTCTATAAAAATAATTAATAATTTGAGGTGTTCTTTGTTCAGTGGTAGTTACATAAGAGTGGTTATGAGTAAGTGTGGTTATAAGAGTAAGTTAAAAATGTTAAAAATAAAATCGAGAATTTTCACACAAAAATAGCATTTGGTAGCCATTTTCACTGTGAAGAGAAAATACAGTGCGAAATTTTTTTTTTTAATATTAAAGTATATTACATAAGCTTTAATTTAAGATATATATATAAGTGTCAGTATTTCCGGAACACTTTGAAAAGTTAAGTTGAAAAAGTTAATTTTTTGTGAAAAATTAGTCATTTTGAATCCCCCCCTGTGGGCTGCTAAAGGGTTAAATTTATAAAAAAAATATACCAAAAGATATGTAAAGACATCAAGCATCTATAAAAAAAAAATTATATTGATTTGTTAATTTTTGAAAAAGTTATGGCAGTTTTAAGTAAAAAAAATTAAAAAAACCAGCACAAGGGGGTTGGGGCACAGTGGTGACGTGGTATAGTTGGATTAAAATCGAAATGATTAAAATCACTATAAAAAAAAAACACTTCGATGCAAATCTTTAGATAGTGTTTAATTTTAAAAAATTAGTGGATTATTCCAAAAGCTACATGATCTGCTAGTTCCTTATTAATATCCTGATTCAGATAAAGTATGTCGAATGAAAGATATATAAATACTAGTATATACTAGTAATACTAGTATAGTATATAAATACTACTTCTCATGAAAAAATTGTATTGATCCATACATTTTTCAAATAGTTATAGCATAAAAAAGTTAAAAATGTAAAATACAAAATCGAAAATTTTCATACAAAAATAGCATTTGGTAGCCATTTTCACTATGAAGACAAAATAAAGTCCGAATTATTTTTTTTTTTCATAATAAAGTACATTACATTATCTTTAATTTAAAATATATATAAAAGTGTCAGACTTTCCGGAACATTTTCAAAAGTCAAGTTGAAAAAATTTAATTTTTTGTGAAAAAGTTGTCATTTTAAGTCCCCCCCGTGGGCAAATAAAGGGTCACTATAAAAAAAAATATACCAAATGAAAGGTAATGATATCATGCATCTATAAAAAAAATTATATTGATTCGGTTATTTTTAAAAAATGTATGGCAATTTTAAGTAAAAAAAATTGAAAAAATTTCGAAAATTAGCGATTTTTAAGTTTGTAATTTTTTTGGATATTTCCCCCATTTTCGGGGAACGAGGGAATTTTTTTTCAATTTTTGAGGGTAATGTCTTCGACTAGATACGATTTGTGATCTTTTGACGTATCATTGAAAGAAATCGGTTCGGTGAGAGCTGAGAAAAAGTGGTAACAAAAAAAAAAACACATCATAGTAAAATTAATACCTTCTCAACTTCGTATCGAAGCTAATAAAACAGACGGCATATCAAGCGACTGATAAATTGACGTTAAAAAAAAATTCGAAATTAGCAATAATTCTATTTAAACTAAATAAATTATTTAAATTCTAAAGACCTTGCTATCGTAGTCTGATGATTCGTGTACGTAACCTTATGTTTTGTGTCATTCATCAGACACAGTACTCCGTTGTCGCTAGCCGATTTACTATTTAAAGTCAAGTCTCTGTACATTCCTTTTTCCTTATCTACTTTCGTTCTCTACATTTCAGAGTACATGTGTCTTGTACTTTGTCTGTACCTCACCCTTAGGTGTTACCCTTATTTCTTCCTATAACAATGCCCTTTTGACATCCACAGCCAATCTGCAGTATCAACCGAACACGATGACTGCTGTACGATCACACGTACGTGAATATGTACACAGACTCATCATCTTCATATACTCAACCCATCTCACCTTCCTTCCCTTAGTGGATTGTTTTGAATTACGACATTATTTAATTATATATTCTATTTAAAGTATATATGTCTATTTATATGAGTACTACTTACAAAATCAACGCCGTTTGCGTGAAGTAATCCAAAAACGACCGGATTTGTGGCAAAATACATAATAATCTGTTTAATATTTAATGAGGACTTTTTTTTGAAAGCGACAACATTAATGTAGACGAATAAATAAATATTTATTTCAAGAAAAAGGAAAATTCCCGTTATTTTCTGGACTCGCCTCGTATATTGTACATATTATTGGTACTATTTACTTGAAGTATAATTACTTATATAATTTAAAATCTGTAAATCGATAATATTAATATATGTTAAAATTTGACTTACGTCGCAATTATCAAATAATCCTAGTCGAATTACTTACTACTTTATTTTAACCTTCATGACATTAGGTAAACTAAATCTTAGAACTTAGAAATATTTGAAATCACACCTCAATAAATTCTTTTCTTATCCAAAGACTATATTGAGAATCTAGTTCAAAAGGGATTTTATTTCTTAGTTAACGAAAAAAAAAACAGAAATTTTTATTTCTTGTTATATATGTAATTTTTTTAGATGTTGTTTCTATTTAAAAAGGAATTAAGCATAAAAAAAACGTTGATGAAGAATAACCTAAATACTTCAGAATCAAGAAATACAATACAATCGGAGCAAAAGAGTAATTTGACTCAAGTCTAGTGTTTTTTAGTATCTTTACCGGGTAATCTTTTTACTTAAAGTAATCATATCGCCAATATCTCTTACCAAAAAAAAAAAAATCACGGTTATGTGTCGGAAAGGGTAATATAAAATACTTGAGACATTCCATCGTAAGCGCGACACTCATTCGTTAGTTTGTTAAAATATTATATATTGAATTTCAAGTTGCCATTAATAGCATTTTACGATAAAGTCGGGAGTTCTGTATAGGCAACTTCTTCGTTAACAGTAAAAATGAGAGTGACAACTCATTGATAAAGTAAATCGATAAAATAGTACCAGGGATTCAGAAGATTTTGTTGTACTAATTAAACATATATTTATCTATAGATTATTTATAAATATCGAGATTAGAGTATTACGAGTGACGCATAAATGGAAAAAACGGTACCAGGAATTCAGAAGGTCGTAACACTTGAGCAGTTGATGGAAATGTCCATTGTGGCGAGAATGATGTCCACCTGCCACCTATTTTCGTAGATGTACAAAGACTATGGTGGCGTCTGTTGACGTTATTCTTTCTAATAGTGACGAACTTGATATGCCGTGATTTACTGAAAAACGCGGTAATTAGTAACACTCATTAAAATATAAACTTTAATTTCATATCATACAAAGAAAAAAAAATGTGTTAATATGTTTTAAAGCAATTAAACTTAAATATAAAAGAAATAATAACCGTTTTTTTCCTATGAAATGCTTGTTTTCATTTTTAAAATAAAAATGTTTAATATTTATTTTCAGTTTTTATTAAGTAGAAAGCTTTATACAACAGAAATTCTCAATTTTGGTTAAAGAATCTTAAAATAAACAATTAAATATAAATACAAAAATATGTTAATAGTCAGTAGTAATGATTTATCGGACAAGAATTTCATCTGAAAGTTATGCGAAAAGTTTTATTTTAAAACGTAAATTTGATGAAAATTTCGATGAATCGAATAAAAAGATGCATTTATTTTAATATTATACAATATAATTTAATTGATTCAATTTAAGACATTTTTGTCCAACATCAACATAAATAAACTTATAAGTAAAAAAATATATATTACAAAACTTAGAACTTTAGTGTACCGATATTTACAATTTTAATATTGCATATTTGAATTATAATAATTAATTATTCAAAAATGTTATTTTTATATTATTTTAAAGGTGTAGTGAATTTCCGTACTAGGATGACGATGATTAGTCATTTGAAGATTAGCTATGGCTGTTGGACCCTCAATGTGAACTAAAGGTTATAAAGAGTATCACAATTCAATGAATGGTGAATTGTAAGCTATTTAATTTGCAGTAAATTAGTTCATATGATGATATATACAGANTAACACTTGTTTATATACAGGGTGTTCAGTAAGTCAGGAAACGGGTTTCTATTGTTCTCATTGTTACAAACAATTGTTTGTAACAATGAGAACAATAGAAACCCGTTTCCTGACTTACTGAACACCCTGTATATAAACAAGTGTTAATTTTGTTTCATTAATCTTGGTTTATAATCTCATTTAGATTCACCAACAGAAAATGTCACAACGGTTATTAGAGATGCAGATGTTGGTACAGGTATAGAAAATATGTCAATGGATTTGTTTTAATGGCATGGAACTAAGTTTTAAAGACAGTTAATAATCGAGATTTTCACTTGAATTATTTAGTGGAAAATTCTAATGATCTAGGAAAAAATATTTTTATGAGTGTGTTCTTGAGTCCAATTTGTATGGTACAAATAATGGTACTAATATACCGAAAGGCTATAAAAGTTTTGAAACTGTTGCTGAAAATGATTTAGACACTATTGTTGAAGACTCAGATGATGGTACAGAAATGGAAAATATGCCAATGGATTTTGTTGGAACCAAACGTTAACGACTTTGTTGTTGATCAACATGACAACTCGAATATTGGCGAAAAGAACACCAATTATTCTGAAAAAGTTGTTTTATGTACAAAATGTAGTGTGTCCAAAATGAGGTTTTCAAACTGAAAGTAAACATTTTAAAAATAAGATACCCTCATTACAAATAACGTTAATGGAGAATCTACTTTTAATAATGATAAACTATCACTTCTAAACAAAAACGGCCGGATGTAATGTCGATATTAATAATTGTTCGGAGATTACCTCTTCAAATTATGAAAAGTACTTTCCGTTGTGTCAAATGCAAACTATTAACTTCGAGAAGAGAAGATTGTCTTTACACGATCCATACTGATACGTATAGAGGTTTTGAGTATTTAATGTTGTAATATCCATATGTTTTAATTATTCTAAATAATATGTAACCAATATTGTACATCTAAATTATTCAAATAATGTAACCTTTTTTAATTTTTTACTATAATGTACTTAAAACTATGTAGTAAGTCATTCTAGCGAATGGCTACCTAATACTAATACTATCTAATATTTATCATGCATAACTGTATTTGATTGTACATTGTACCATGACACTTTTTATATTATTAATAAAGAATCACAGGTGGTGTCCCTTGATAATCCCACAAAAATAATCTAATTAAAATGTTTCCAAATAAACTATCACAAAAATCATAGCCAGTAGTCCGTCCGCATCCTGTTCGATCAAACATCCTCTATCATATTCACCTCGATTATAAAGGTCTGGAAGTGAAGACTGGAATTTATTCAGAGTTCAAATTCATTCAACTTCAATAACCTTTACATTATAATATCTTAAATCACACACGAAACCTTAGGTAAGCGATTGAAATGTTTATAAAATAATTATTACTGAGCTAGCATAAACTATTATATGATAAGAAATGTATAGTCTATATTTGCAATCACTTACACAAGTATTTTAGCAGATTCTGACTATTTGTAAGTTTAGTTCAGGTCAGTTTTTTACGAACCCTATTATCCACACCCCGCCAGAGATAATTTATTTGCTTTATTAGTAACTCAATCACAAAGGGTCTCGTATATTATATTGGATAATATTAGCTGGCGAAGCAACGGTGACTACTCCCTACACCTATTCATCAACTAATATCCATCTAATTTAATCTATTATCTTTTTGAGTTACTACAGTAACATTGAGGACGACCTCTTTGAACGAAAATATTATTAGTTATGTGAAAACTAGCGATCTTGACTATTCAGACGATGATGAGCACTACTCGCGGACAAGAAATGCAGCTAATGAGCACATTTGCCCTTACAAAGTTTTAAGATAATAATTGTGATGAAGGCCAAGTATTCATAGTTGATTATTATGAAAAAATCGGTGNCGATTGTTGTATTTTTGAAAAATGTTCACTCTATATATTTTTACATTAGCTAATTTACTTTGTTAATGACAAAATAATGATTTGGATTTCTTTTTATATTATTTTGGTTTTTCTATAAAATATATTTTTGTATGAAAATGTGTTTTCAGTAAAAACTTTTTTGTCTACCCTATGAAAATTAAAAAGGTTTAATTTTATGTACAGCATTTATTTATCTAAGAGAAAATTATACAGTTGGATTGAGTTAAAAATTGTGTTATGTGAGTTCAGAATTAAAAATTATACTACACAAATGCAATTTCCTAAATTACTATAGAGAAAAGAAGTAGAATTTCTTTTATAGAAATAATTAATAGTAATATAAAAAAATATCTGATAACAGTTATATAGTAAGATTTAAAATTAAAAATCGTCCAAAGAAATGTCCTCTAAACTTTATAGTTCATTTTTTAAAAAGTAACTTAATGCTAACGTATTTAATCAGTGGTAGCTTAAGGAAAACCATATATCTTCTATTATAATTACATTTTTTTTTTCAAATATTTTAAACCAAAAATTGGTGAAATAACGGTAAATCATACAAATAAAAATTAAATAAAATCCTTTAAAATATTCTGTAATTCATATTGTTGTATTAAATGTATTTCACTTATAATTTTTGATGAATAATTACGGTAATCAGTGTTTCAAAATTTAACTAAAAAGCAAATAGAATAAGTTTTATGTTACTATTATTATTCAAAAATACTTGCGCAAATAATTTTTATTTAATTGACAAATAAAACAATCCATGAAAAATTTTACCCATTCATAAATAATTTCCATCGTTAATAATACATGCGACTGGCGTTGATACATGAAAAAATAAAATTAAAAAAGTGTACTTCTAGATATTTGTCTTTTAATTTAACCTATTAACTTAATTGTTTTAAACTGAGCGTACTTCCCATATTTGTTTTAAAGTACATTATTTCTTACTATAATTTGTAGTTAATAGGTATTAATGTGGGTTTTTCATCGTCCGGAATTTTGATTTAATTGGATGTTACCTTGATATTTTGCGGAAAACATCAACCGGTTTTAATCTTTTATATATATATGCAGAATGATACACCAACTACGTTTCATACAACATCTTCAAAACTAAAAGATAACGTAACCTAAGGTGTTATTAGTATCTTATCAACTTTAATTATATAAATAAATATAGTTTAACCCCCTTTTTCCCCTTAAAATTATGTAAATTTTAGCTTTTTAAATGGAAACATACGCGTTAATTGACTAACAAATAAGAAAATAACTGGTTGATAACAACTGATGAATCAGTATTTCGGAGTTATTAACACTTAAAAATATAGAATGGAGGTGAAGCGTAGGTCTATTTAATTTTGTGTTTAAATAAAAAACAACTCTCTTTTTCTTTTGTTACGATATAAAAATATTTGTTTATTTTTAAGCATTTAATTATATGTATATATTTTTATTCAAAAAATGTAAGTTAAGAAAATTTAAATGGTAATGGGAGGGGATAGAACATTTTTTTTTAATCTTAATTAAAGTGAGTAGGAGCTACAGGATAAAGTTTGCTAGTATTTTTGAAACATTGATACACAGTACGTTTAATTAACCGTTGGTGTCAGTGATTTACATTACCTGTATTATCTTTCAAATTAAATTTTGAATACTGTGAGTATGCTTCAATACATTTTAATTTGAACAACTTTTTTACCTAAATATTAGTTTACATTTAGTGTTATATTTTTTTGTTTTTATTAAAATTTTTTATATTAAACTTATTTTTCAAAGTAATTTAATTAAAAATATATTTTTTATGAATAGAGTTAATTTATTTTTTCGTTTAAACGTAGTTAGTTAACTTTTAATTATGAACTCATAAAGATTGATAATGATCGACTAAAATGTGCCAAATTTAAAATGTTTTTTTTTTAATAGAAAAAAAAAGGGTGAACATTTTTAAATGATGTCGAATATTGAATTGTAGATTAAAGTTGATTTGTTGTCAATTCTATGGTCTAGTGTAATTAAGGTAAATTCAAAAAAATGTCTGAAATATTAATTTTCAATCATAACTTAACGTAGTTAGAACAATATTATAGAATTTATATTTAACCAAAAAATATTTGAGCTTTATGTCACAACTTAATTATAATAATAATTAAATTTACTAATTTTTTTTTTTAATTACAAGGACTTATAATAGTCCTATGATTTAACATTACTATATAAATAAAATAATAATATTGAAAAAAAAATAATAATAATTTTTTTAAGAAATGCAACGAGACATTGATACATTGTGGTTTTTTTACATATAGAAACTTTTGAATTCTGTAAATGATACTACTTAATAAAATGTTAGATTATGTAATTGTAATTTTATATTATAAAAATGGTATAATATAAAAATACCTAGTGTATTTGCATTAGAAATACTTCATATATTTGCGTAGGTCTTAGGCGTACGTTTTCCTTGTTTAAAAAAAATTATAAACATATTATTCCTAGTCTTATTATAATATCATATTGACAAATTAACAGACTTTATGTATCATACTTACTAAAACTAATTAATTTAATTATTTATAGAACGTAATAATTCTATCATGGTGAGAACTTCGATTTGTTTTTTTATATGTGTACTCGTATTACAAGAATCTTACGTAAGTTATTCGTTGTATTAATATGGTAATATTGTTTTTTTTTTTAATTAATTTATTTAATATATAAATAAAATTTATTTAGTAAAAATACAAATAAAACAAGTAATTATTTTTTATTTAGTATAAACAATATTTAAATTAAATAACAAAAAAAGGATCATTTAAAATTTCATCAGCATAATATTACAAGGATATTATATAAAACAAGTACTGTTAACTGCATTTTTTTCCGATAGATGTATTAGTGAAAATTACATGAATGTTTTATTGGACCAAAATAATTTTTGTTTGTTGTAAAGTCTCTCGACGTTTTGAACGTATCTTAACCAATGTTTGTGAGATTAAAATATTTATTTGTAAATTTAGGCACACTATCCTGTTGTTTATTCGTCTCAATCGCCACAGTCAAATGGAGATTACTATAGAACATGTGCTCCACGTGTAAGATGTGATCCGAATTCAAAATATAGAACTTTTAACGGATCGTGTAATAATCTAGATCATGCATTGTGGGGCTCAACAAATACACCTCATCTTAGACTTGTTGATGCGGTTTATAGTGGTGGTAAATAACAATTTAAGTAATAGTTTCAAAAATACGTATCTGTTAATACTAAAACAACAGTAATTTAAAGTAACTAAATCACTGTTCTTGAAAATTTACGATCGCAAATTAAAAAAAAAAAACGATGAGTACACAATGGTGTATCGAGGGTTTGAAATGGTTGAAAAATATCAATGAATTTTTTTGTCAGGCGAACGAGAATTCCGTAGGCAATCAAATGGGGCACCATTGCCTGGCCCTCGAGAATTACAACTCTGCTTGTTAACCGAAAATAATGATATTTATGATGATTACAACGTTCATTTAATGCAATGGGGACAATTTGTTGCACACGATATTACTCTACTGCCACCAGATGACGAAGGCAAGTTAATGTCTATTCATTTATAGATTTATACAGATCGGTTTAAAAGTAAACCATGTTTAATTTTTATTTATGTTAAAATAAAACTAAATTTTATTTCGAATTATATTTGTGTAAAAAATTAATTATTATTTCAGTTTCTATATTATTTGTTATTAACTGTTATGATTGTTAATTTTATAAATAATAATAACAATATAAAGTTATAATTGTTATTTTATTTGTCGTATTTGTAAAATGTATATAATTTATAAAAAAATTAACTAAACTAAGAGTTAAATATTGACATTTCCACAGGACCTGCAAACTGTTGTGCTCTTAATCAAAATCAATTAAGAAATATTCCATATCAATGTAGAGCAGTAATATTACTTCCAATGAATGATCCGATGAATTATGGTGGAAGAACTTGCCTTCCCTTTAGACGAGCAGTAACTTCTTCAAATTTTAGTTGCTCACAATTACCAAATATATTCGTAAGAAAAAAATTAAAGATAATTAAAAGCACAAAATTTAAAGGATATAATATTCGTGTTTTGAGTTAATTGTTTAATTGTATTAATACATTATAGATGGTACAAACATCTCAATATATTGATGGTTCTCATATTTATGGACCGGATGATACTACGGCAGCATCACTTAGAACATTTAATGATGGTTTATTAAGATCAGAAATTTTACGCAACGGTAAAGAATACTGTCCACAGCGCAGAAGACAATCTCGAGAGTGTGATAATCGACCAAATGTTAATGTTTGTTTTGATGCCGGTACTTTATATTTTCCATTAAAAGAAATTAAGAGATATTAAAAGGAATAATAATGCTTACAATTTAATAAAATTACGTGTGTGTATTTTCATATACTCAGAAAATGAGGTATAAGAAATGTTACCTTGAGTTATTTTTAAATTCTTGGTGTCTTTTTAAACAAATTTCCGTCCAAATTTTATTTTTAATGGAAAACATTTTTTTATTTCAATATTATTAAAATTCAAACATTTTTAATTCTTCAAATCTAAATTAGTTTATTTTTTAACGATGAAGTCAACAAGTTTTGATTCATAATATTAGTATTGCTAATAAATCTTAAAGGAAATTACATACATGCACAAGTTATTTACTTATATTAGTTACTATTTTTAGAGAAGAGGATAAAATATTTAACAATAAATATGTAATAAATGTAATTGCTTTCAAATTATGACAGGTTAAATCTTTTCCTCTTATAACATCTATTCAATAACACTAACTGATTGCATGATTTAATATATTTAATTTGTATGTTTACATTCATTTCATAAATCCAACATTCAATAAAATGTACAAGAAATTAATCATATTCTTTAATTATTTATGTTAAATATGAAAGATAACTCTCTAAGTAAATATGTATTTAATTTTTTTCATTAAGAAATATTTTTTTTAATGAAATAAGTTGAAATTGTCTTGTTTACACTGTTATTATTAAAAATTAAGGTGATGGTCGTGTAAATCAAAATCTTGGAATTGCATCATATCAAAATGTGTTTTTGAGGCTTCACAACTTCTTAGCGAAAAATTTTAGAAGAATGAATCAACAATGGTCTGATGAAGTTATCTATCAAGAAGTTCGAAGAATTATTGGAGCTATTATACAAGTCATTACTTATAGAGATTTCATACCTAACTTGATAGGTAATTCATTATAATTTCTCAATATATATATATATTAATAAAGAGTAAATTATAAATATTTTAGGAAGAAGGTTTTCAGAAGAAAATGGGCTTTCAATTTTTAAAAGTAAAACAACCTATGATAGAACATTAATTTCTTCGACAGGACTTGAATTTTCAGTAGCCGCTTATAGAGTTCCTCACAATATCATTCCGAATCAACTGAAGTATTACAAAAATATGTTCAAAACAACAATTTTCTGATTATTATTTTTTTAAACAATAGTTATTTTGATGAGCGTCATAATTATATCATGTCTGTCAATTTAACTGATTGGATGGACAATCCTGAGCAATTACAATACGAGTCAAATTTAGACCATTTGATGATTGGCATGTCAGATACTGCTGGTCGGAAAAATCAACCTTCATATAACAATCTAGTAATGACATTGAATTTTTTTCGTATTCATCAATTCATAGGTTTTTTCACAGAGGGTTACAAAGAACATTACTTCCTATTATGTCATTATTATTATTCCATTTTATTATTTATTTATTATTATTCCTATTATTAGTGGGAGTAATAAAAAATTTATATGCATATCCCTCAAGTCAAAACTCTGAGAATGTCGCTGCTATATATCAAATATTGATATTAGTTATTTATTGATTTTCTCTTTTTTCTTTAGATTTCAAATGTTATGTTTCATTTTCATTATCCCGGAGCTACTGATATGAGTTTGATAGCTTCAGACATCCAAAGAGGACGTGATACTGGTTTACCACCATACTTTGTTGTCCGACAACAATGTCGATTATCTGCTGTAAGAAGTTTTGAAGATCTTCATGCTTTTATGCCACCAAATGTAGGTTTTTATAAAAACTAAAAGCCATAAAAATCATTAGAATAAGATTATTATTAAATTGTATTTTAAAAACTTTGGAGTTTTAAAAAGTATATAATTGTACTTTAAAAATATATAACTAATTTTATTTACAATAATTTATTTAATTGCATAACTGATATACTTTTGTATTAATCAATAATAGGAAGTAAATATATTGAAGAAAACGTATAATTCTGTTTACGATATTGATTTGATAGTTGGAATGTTATTAGAGATCCCAGAACAAGATTCAATGATTGGTCCAACCGCTAAATGTATTATAGCGGATGGATTTTATAGATACCGATACGGTGATAGATTTTTCTTTGATGTTCCAGGTCAACCCGGTAGCTTTTCTAAGGGTATGTTATAACGCTAATTTTTTTTTTACTTAACATTTGAAATAATGGTTTTAAAATTTTTTAGAACAAGTAGAAACGCTTAAAAATATTAATATGGGTCATATATTCTGTGCCACTACAACAATGTACGATATACCAAAAGATTTCTTCCGTACGTTCGACAAACGGTAAGTGCTAAGTGTAACATATTATAAGTAAATACATGATGAGAGGAAATTCCACAGGTTCTACTCTCCCTTCCCCTGAAAATTGATCATATTAAATTATTATTTTTAAATAATTATTATTATGATTATTGTTATTATTATTATTTATTAAATATCATATATCAGTTATAAAGTTAAATAGGATTGCATTAAATACAATTTTTTTTTAGAATTCTTTATACACACAAAAAAAAAAAAGCGTAAATACATCGCACAATAAAAGTAAAAGACCTGTAAATTTAAAATAAAAATTTGGGTACTAAGCATTTTAATATAATTCAATGTAGTTTATTATTCTATATTTAAATATGCAATAAACTTACATAAAAGTCTTGAAATTAATATTAATGTAAAAAACAAAGTAACACACAATTTAATTTTTATGAAAGTTTGAATCTTTGTATTATTAATTATAATCATCTATTTTTAGACAGAGCCTACTTGTGCTCATAGTGCAGCATGTAATAAGCATAATTTTTTTTTTATAAATTATTGATTACCAAAGGTAAGCTCAAAGAATAGAATAAGTCAGAGCTCATTTCATAAAAATTCATATAGATAAGAAAATATTATATGTATTTCTTTACACGATACAATGATTTTTAATAACTGTACGTTGTCCAAAAATATGGTCTGACAATTGTTGCTTTTATTTCTGAAATTTATATCTATTTTTAATATTATTTGGAAATTTACTTTAAACAAAAATGTTGGTTACTTTATTGTTTTGTAAAATATTATCTACATTAATTAAGAATAGTTCAATATTTAATGAGATGTATGAGTATAATTGATAAAATTGTATATTGAGATAATTATAATTAAAAAAAAAAAACCAGAAAATTTTGGGAGGGTAATTATACTTAAAATAACTGTGTAGAGAAATCTATTAAAATAAGTTCAAAATTCTTGATAAATAAGTATAATTTTTTAATTTTAATAAATATTATTTATATGTACATTTTTTACTGTTATAAATTTATGTATACATTTTTCCAGAAGTCATTCATCTGAAAAATTCAATTGTAAAGATTTAAAAAATAAATTAGTCACTCTAATGAATGCATGGAAAACAAACAGAAGAAACTAATTATCAGTCAGAAATTGTATTTTGTTTTGTTATATTAAACAAGAATTATCAATAATGCAATATAATTTTACCTTAAATTTCTTTTTATATATTTAATTTTTATTGTGAAGTGTTGTATGCAAGCTTACTTGGCCACTGACACAAATACACTCATACAATTTAATAATAAGAGCGTTAAACAATAATATTTAATGTACATAATTTTTTTGTCATTTCTATATCATTCTTAAGTTGTTATAATCAAAAAATATATATTGGTTTTATACCATAAAGAACAAACATTGTTTGTAAACAGAGAAGGAATGGCTAATTGGGTTAATGTGCTATTAATGACTTAATGAGCCAGTGTATCATAGAGTGAACGGGAGTTCAAATCATAAAAACGCTGTCACGGACGCAGCAAAAGAATACCCTCCATGTTTGTAATATTTTTATTTGTTCGTATTGGCAGAAAATTTTCCTTGGGTAGAGGAACTATATATATATATATATCAAAATCCTTCTAAAAGTATCACTTTCAATGAAATTAGGTCATCATATAAATTTAAGGGGTTGAGGGGACTGCAGTCCCATCTACAAGTCATTCAAAAAATTATTTTCGTGTCCTCTACATTTAGCTACAGATCGTATTTAATTAATTGATAGTTGATTATTTATTATTTTGCTCATTTTACTCGTCACAAAAGCAGACGAAACGGTGCAATTAAAAATATTTTCGTAGAACAATACATAACATGCGAAGCAGAAATTGGATATTTTTTTAATCGTTTTATTTGATTAAGTTAATAGCGATACACAATTATATTAAATATAATTTATACATGTAAAATTGAATAGATAAAAAATGTTCAACGATATTTTTCAAAAGATAGATGTAATAGTATGATTAATAAAAAATAATATAAATATAATATATAGTAATAATATAATTTTAAATGATACATATAGAAAAAACTAAAACTGAAAATCGAATGCTGAGAAAAATATTAGCTTTCTCGTTTAATCAATAGTTATAATTTTATAATGATTATAATTAATAACTATTACTTTAATGAGGAACCGAATTAAACAAATTTGTTTGTTTGCTAAACATACTTATAATAATCAATTTTACATTTTACCCGTGGATTTGTTTAGATCTACATTAGTAGATCTAATGCTCTAAAAAGGAATTTTCTTTAATTATAATAATTTTTAACCTTTTTTTTCTCATCAAGTAATTTTAGATAGTTTTAATGAAAAAAAAATTGTAATTCTTCTCCAAAACAATTCTTTGGTTACGTCACTTTTTCATTAATCATTTCTCTTAAAATAGATTAGTTTAGTAGTTAGTAATTTACATAACTTTATGTTAGATAAAAATTAGAGGTAATCTAAAACGGTTAATGTTTTTAGCCCCAAGATAATATAATTTTTCGATTATTGTCTTAAAAAAACCCACAAAAAAATTTTAACCTTGCTTTTAGGTTTTACCAAACTGCGTTATGCATCATAATAAACGAATCTACACAGGATTTATGCGGAAATCTTCAACCGGTTTCATGTAAACAAGTCTAACAAAATAAATATACACATTCATTATTGTAAAAACTCCTTAGTATGTGTTATGTTTTTATAGCTGTGCCATTTAAGCCATGAAATTAAGTTTTTAAGTTCACTGACTGAATTCGCATTTTATTTGATCATCTAGGACATCTAAGAAGGTATTACTTAAATGTGAATCTTGATTTATATAAATTAAAATGTATATGCTAGTTTTAAGAATTATTTTAGGTAGGGGAATTCAAGAAATAAGATATTAGATTTAAAATCTAACTAAAAAATTTCTAGCAGAGAATTGCTACAATAATTATTTTTTATGTATGTAATTGAAATGATGGCATTAAAATATTTGTTAATTTTTATACTGTCTTAAAATTTAAATAAAACCAAATTTCTTAAATCATAAGAGCTTTAATATCATAGCTAATGTTACTTAATTTAACATCAAATAAATGATAATTTTATTAAATTTCAACATAGGATTATATATATTATATATATATATATATATATATATATATATATATGTAGACAGTTATCAATGAAGTTTGTGTATAAATAATTTAAAAAATTAATAATATAGTATACACTTAATTATTAAAAAATACATTTCTAATGAACAATAAATATAATATATGTGTAATAAATAAATAAATTTAAATAATACCGAATATTCAGTTTAATTAAATTTTATTTATTCACCAGTAATAAACGGGTTATTAACATAAAAATGGATCCTACATAATAATCCTATTTCATTGTTTTATTTGACTAAAAAGTCAAATATTTTCGGAAAACATTGATGAGGAAGAACCAATTATTAGGTATTTAATTTATCTCAATGTAAAAAAATTGTACTGGCAGGTAGTTACACGTAGTCTTCACAGGAAGATACGTGCATCGCATGTATTTACGAAAATAGACGTATGTCCAAAAAGTTATAGTTTTTTTATAAATGACCTACTATAAACAGAACCTACACAATTGAAGATTTTACACGAGTCCATCCCATACAGTAGTACAATAATAACTTCAAAATATTATACATTTGTATAATATTTTCAGATCATTTTCGGTAGGTAATCAAACATTGACAAAATGTTTTCCATATATTTTGAAGATTTAATTTATATATATATATATATATAAATATTATATGAATTTTATAATAATTTCAAAATCTTTAATAAAATATAATTAAAAAATATCATGTAATTTTTTCATAGCACTATTTTTTTGTCATTGGCGGAATTTAGGGGCCTAAAACCAAAAATAAAATTAACTTATCTTATAAAATTCGACTATATTAAAATATACTAATGTCATATCAACATATGTTATTAGGGAAAGGGAATTAAAATTAGTATCCCAAATTATTTTCCTAACTTTACCTATATTTTTCAAATATTCCGTAACAAAGTCTCCATTGAATACTTAATTAAAACTTAGTAAGTATTTTTAAGACTTTATAAATTACTTAGTTATTAAAATATATTCAAACAAAATCATAATTTTGTATTCATTATATTTTTGATAGATTGTAATAAATCTTAATAAATTAAAAATGTTCTTTGATAAAAAATTATTTTTAGTAAATATACAAAGTAATCAAAATTTAATTAACCAGAAGTCTTTTCGATGAAATAAAAATAATATTGATAATTTTTTTATTGGTTTCTTTTAAATTTGTTTTTCTCAAGTTATCATTTAGTATATTTTATGTTCATCCCTCATACCTTATAAAGTTGTCGAATTAGTTTTGTCAAATGACAACATATGTAATTAATTAGTTTAATATAAAATAAAAATTATATTAATAATTTTTTCATTTGTTTCTTTTAGTTCAATGTTCTCTCAATTTTTCAATCATTAAGTTTTTTTTATGTGCATCTCTTATACCTTTACCATTAACTTTAATTTCTCAAATGGTAATACCCTTAATTAAATAGCTTATTAATTAGATAATGATCTAATTACAAAATTGACTGATCAATAACAATTTTTGGACCAGTATTTTGGAAGTTAATAACAATTTTTACCTAGGAAGGAGCAGGAGCACGAAGTACTTTGCTTTCTGAAGGTATTTATTGAACAGCAATTTTCTTAACTAGATCATTATCAGATAGAACCAATTTAAAACAACTATAACTCAGTATTTATGAGATTTTTTACAGTATATACATTATGGCAAGGTTTTTGATAACAAATTTGTTTTTCCTGATGGTATTTTTATCCTATGTATACGTAAGTATAGTTATTTAAACTTATTATTCAATACAAAATTGTAATTATTTAAAATAGTTAATTATTTGGTTTATTGATTATAGTTATTATAAAGAGAATCAGTATTAATTAATGTCTTGAGTATTCTGATATAAGAACTTTACTATTAAGTTTTTATTAGACTCTAAACTTTATAAATAAAATGTTTCTACATTTCTTGTACTCTGAATATTTTAGCTTCAATGCGAAGCTGAGAAGGTATTAATTTTATCAAGATGTGTTTTTTTTTGTGCCTGTTGCCACTTTTTCTCAGTTCTCACTAGACCGATATCTTTCAACGATACGTCAAAAGATCACATATCGTATCTAGTTGAAGACTAAAAAACTCATAATAAATAAATTCATTTTTTTTTATTATATGCTTTCACTTTAAAGGATAAAAATAAGTAGGTTAAAAATGATTACTTTTAACATATTAAAAATCAAAATCAATAATAATTTGAAAACAATTAATTATAAAAGTTATATATTATATTTTTGAATCTAAGAATTACTAATCTGGATATGATTATGGAAATAGAAGTTGATGTTGCTCTTGAAATTATCCACCAATTTCCTAGAATTAAACACCATCTACATATTTGAATTGAAGCGTTTCTTATGATAGTGATTTTAATCACTGTTAGATTAAATCTAAACTGGACCCAACTATGCCACGTACCCACTGTGCCTTGACCTCCCTGTGCTGGGTTTTTTATGTTTTGAGGATAAATTTTCTAAAAGTCATCAGAAATGGACATCAGTTAATTTATTAATATATTTTCTTTTTGATGTTAGTTTTTATTAATTATCTTGTGCTGTGCTTTTTAATCAATAGTTATTATTAAACTTAATAAATACATTATTTGATTTGTTTACAAAAATAGACACAAAAAACAGTTATTTACGATATCCAGTCACCTCAATCAAATGGAGATTATTATAAGAAATGTGCTGTATCTGTATTATGCGATACAAAATCTAAGTACAGAACTTTTAATGGATCGTGTAATAATTTAAAAAACGTTTTATGGGGATCAAGTAAGACACCACACATTAGACTTTCAGACGCTGTTTATAGTGGCGGTAGGTAAATTATTATTTGATACTTTGTAATTTTTACATGAAACTTAAATACTGAATAATTATTATTTCACTCCCATCTAAACTAAGTAAAAAATTTATCATAAGTTTTATTTCAGGTGAACGAGAGTTACGAAAGCAATCTAACGGAACACCATTACCTGGTCCTCGAGAATTACAATTGGACCTTTTAACAGAACTTTCTACTAATTTATATGATAATTATTATAATGTTCACTTAATGCAATGGGGACAATTTTTAGCACACGATATTCATTTTATGCCACCGGATGCATCTGGTATCTATTTTATACATATAAAATACTATACAATGCAAAATTTATACAACATGATTCATAAACGACGAACCATTTTGGTTTAACTGTGAATTATTACGAATCATTTAATCAAACTAAGAAATAAAAATAATATTAAGAATATTTTTTCGACATCTTTTAGATACAATTTATTTTTAATTTATCTATCAAGTATAATTTTTTATGTTCATCCTTTATACCTAGTAGGAGGCGTGATGTGGGGCACAATGAATCATTCGGTCGCCGCCTTAGTGCTAATGTACTGCTGCACTGTTTGCTATTGGTTCTCGAATGGGTGACCATGAAATCATTTTATCATTCAAGTGGTTCATGATAAATAAATTACTCTGTTTAGGAGAAAAAAATCAATTTTTAAAAATCGTTTTAGAGTCTTGTTTTTGTTAATAAAAGTACCTCGATTTTTAAGTTAATCATTTAATTTATATTTATTAGATGTCAAATAAACTATAGTCTACGTTAAAATATATTTCAAACGATATTTACATCTAGTACATTATATGTCAATTTTTTTTTTTTAATGTTGCTCCTACTCTTTTATTTAAGTTCTATAGCTCTAAAATAAGATTTTCAAAACCAAAAGTTCAATCCGAAAAAAAAGATAATCCGAGTGCTTCTTCATTAGATGGTATACGATTATCTGGAATTTTGAAAATTGATTGGTTAATTAAATAACCAAAGACTTACTTCATGTAGAGTAATTTGTCAAACAATTTTTTTATGAAATTTAAAAAGAACATGATTAGGTTTTTTCATATTGAAATTGTTGTTATTCTTATTTTTAACAAAATAGTAACAAAGTAAAGTATGGGGAAAATTAGAGAAAGAAATTTCAAAATTAATAGAAAAACTATATTAAAAAATTAATTCTAAAAAGAAAAATTACAACATTTACTCTTGTAAAAAAAAATTATCTATAGTGTTATAAATGCATAAAGAGTAAGAAATAAAATGATTTGGGATGCTTTAATAAAATATTTTTTTTTTAAATTATTTTTGAGCTATAGAGAACAACTTAAAGATGTAGGAGAAAGAAATTTTAATCATTGATTATATTTAAACACCCTAATATATGTATATATATAATATCTATACTATTTTAATAGGACCTCCAGATTGCTGCACTGTCCAAAATCAAACTAATATCCCATATCAGTGTCGAACAGTAATTAAATTATCTAAAAACGATCCAGTATTTGGAAAAAGAGGACGAACTTGTTTACCTTTTAGAAGAGCATTAACTTCATCAAATTTTAATTGTACTCAATTGCCAAACTCATTTGTAAGCTGTTTATAATGTTGTATATAATTCTTGTTATACTAGGTTGTATTTTGATATAAATAATAATTATTAATAGTTTAATTTCTCATAGTTAGTGCAAACGTCACATTACATAGATGCATCTCATGTATATTCATCAGATAAAAATGTAGCTGAATCTTTAAGAACCATGAAGAATGGTCAGTTAAGGTCAGAGTTACTTCCCAATGGTCAGCAGTTCTGCCCTCAGCGTAAAAGAGATTCATCTTTTTGTAATGGTCGAGATAATGTCAATTCGTGTTTTGAAGCCGGTAAATGAAATAAAAATAACTGATTTTTACAAAATTTTTTTTTTAATACTGATAGTAAGTATAGAAATAAAATTTCCTTTTATTATTACTTGCGTATGATTATATAGTAGTGTTAAAATGGTTAAATTTTGATTATCATTAACGAAGTTACAGTAAAAATTATTAAATTAATTTCGAGATCGAATATTACTACAAAATTAATGAAATACATAAATTTATGAATCATTTTTTATTTAATTATTTTTTTTAAGTCTTTTTTTTTTTTTTTTATATCAACAATTTTATATAATTTAACAACATAGTTAAAAGTAAATAAAAAAAATTGTTAATATTCTTTTTTACTTTATTAGGAGATTTTCGAGTGAACCAGAATTTTGGAATTGCTTCTTATCATGTAATATTTTTGAGGCTTCATAATATTTTAGCAAGTTATTTCCAAAAATTAAATAGTCATTGGTCAGATGAAATAGTTTACCAAGAAGCTCGTAAAGTTATTGGTGCTATAATTCAGATAATCACGTATAAAGATTTCATTCCAAGTATACTTGGTAAGCAAAAAAAAATTTATATTTTTTCTGCTTTTTTTAATGTAAACAAAATTTGTTTGATGAATAAATAATATTATCAAAAAGGAAAGCAATTTTCTGAGCAAATGGGACTTTCTATTTACAAAAACAAAACAGTTTACAATGAAAAACTTATGTCCTCGACGGGGTTAGAGTTTGGGGTTGGAGCTTTCAGAAGTTTACATGCGATAATACCAACTGAATTCAAGTAATGTAACTTTAATATAAATATATAAATTTTAATTATATAAATATATAAATTTTAATTATATCAATAAATAAATTCGTTTACTTTGAACAGATTCGCGAATAATAATCATACATATATAACAGCAATAAATATAACTGATTGGATGAATAAACCAGACTCAATTCTGTACAATTCCAATATTGATCATCTAATGATAGGCATGTCCGATTTTGCAAGCAGAAGGATTCAGCCTTCTTACAATAATCTTGTAATGATGATTTTTTTTTTAAATATAAAAAAAATATTGTTTATAAAATCAAAAATATTTAACCCTAAAAGCCTCAACAAAATTACAAAAAATCGCGGATACGTATTTCGTATTTAAAAATAATATTAGCCACATGTGGCTAATATTATTATTTTTATATTGTATCATTTTTACAATTTTTATCATTAAAAATCATGAATATTTTTATGAACTCAGTATTATTAAACACATTTATTTTTATGATTTACTTACTTAAATACATAAATTGAAATAATATTAAATAAGTTTTAGTTATAAAAAGAGAAAAATATATTGGTAGTTATTTTATTTAAATATGTTAATTTCATTGTACTATTAATGATTTTATCAAATTAACGATAAAATTTCTATACTTAGATATCAAATTATATGAATCATTATGATAGATCAGGATCGTCAGATATGAGTTTGATTTCCTCTGATATACAAAGGGGCCGTGACGTTGGATTGCCACCATATACGGTTATTAGAAAACATTGTGGACTACCGGATGTGAAAACCTTTGAAAATCTTAATGATGTTATAGCGTTAAATGTATGTGAATAATTCTTAATTTATCTGAAAATTTTATGTAAAAAAAAAAAAGACTTAAATGTCTTTTTTTATATATAATATGTTTATAAATTATACTAATCATTGGTACCAAATTATCAGTATCAATCTAAATTAATTTTTAACTTTTAAGATGTCTTATTAAATCATTTTTTTATAGTTTAATCCTGTCTGATTAGAACCAAATAAAAATTCTATGGTTCACATTAAATTCTATTTGATTAAATCAGATGGTTATTAAATATATTTGTACAAATATAAATACTGTTAATTATGCTGTTTTAATTGAATTTTTAGATGCTAGCCAAATTAAAAAAACTTTACGCTTCAGTTCATGATATTGATTTGATTGTGGGAATTTTATTGGAAAATCCAGCGAAAGACTCTATGTTAGGTCCAACGGCTAGATGCATTATAGCCGATGGATTTTATAGATACAGATACGGTGACAGATTTTTCTTTGATGTCGAAGGACAGCCTGGCAGCTTTACTTTAGGTGAATACTAACAAAACAATTTTTATCATATGATGTATAAATTTTTTATTTTTTTTTTTAAATGTTCACTTTATAGAACAAATAGAAATATTACAAAATATTAATATAGGACACATTTTATGTCTCACCACAAATATAAAAGAAGTATCCACTCAGTTTTTCCGATTATCATCTGAAAAGTAAGTTTTATAGATATATACAGAATGATTTACTTATCATGAAATACTTAATTAATCAAAAAGTAGTATTAATATTTTAGCTTCGATGCGAAGCTGAGAAGGTATTAATTTTATCAAGATGTGTTTTTTTTTATGTCTGTTACTACTTTTTCTCAGCTCTCACTGGATCGATTTCTTTCAACGATACGTCAAAGATCACAAATCGTATCTAGTCGAAGACATTACCCTTAAAAATTGAAAAAATTTCTTTCGTTCCCCGTAAATGGGGGAAATCTCCAAAAAAATTACAAATTTAAAAATCGTTGATTTTCGAAATTTTTTCAATTTTTCTTACTTAAAACTGCCATAACTTTTTTAAAAATTATCAAATCAATATAATTTTTTTTTGTAGATGCATAATGTTTTTACCTACCATTTGATGTATTTTTTTTGTAAATCTGACACTTAACCTGCCCACAGGGGGGGATTTAAAATGACAACTTTTTCACGAAAAATTAACTTTTTCAATTTAACTTTTGAAAGTGTTCCGGAAAGTCTGACACTTTTATATATATCTTAAATTAAAGCTAATATAATATACATTATTATGAAAAAAAAATGTTTGGACTTTAGATTGTCTTCACTGTGAAAATGGCTACCAAATGACATTTTTGTATGAAAATTCTCGATTTCAAATTTTACATTATTAACTTTATTATGCTATAATTTGTTGAAAAGTATATGGATGAATACAATTTTTTCACGAAAAGTAGAATTTATATTCATCTTTCATTCGACATACTTNTTTATGAGAAGTAGTATTTATATAGATCTTTCATTCGACATATTTTTTAAATCGGACTATTTCCCTTAATATGGGGGGGTGGGGTTCAAATCTAATAAATGCATATAGAAAGTAGAACTTTTTTAACTTAACTTTTGAAAGTGTTCCGGAAAGTCTGACACTTTTATATATATCTTAAATTAAAGCTAATGTAATATACTTTATTATGGTAAAAACAGACATCAAAGTTAATAAAAAAAAATACGATTTTTTAAAAAATTCTTTTTTATATTTTTAACTTCATAACGCTATAACTTTTTGAAAAATGTATGGATCATTATAATTTGTTTAAGATAAGTACTATTTTTATTTATATTCTTCTTTTATAATTATAATAATAATAATAATAGTATAAATAATGTTGGAATACTTAGTTTTGTTATAGAGACAATTATTTAAAAATGACACTTTTATAATAAATAGTTTTATTTAATTAATAGTCTTGTCACATAAAATGCAATAAAAATCAAAATTTTTATATTCATTTGGTCTATACTGATCAGCTATACAATCAATTATCACTCTACGACAACGTGTAGTACATAACACCTATTCAATACTGCTGTGAAGTTCTATATACTTTTGGCAATAGAAAATGAATTTTTTAGCAATAAACTTTTTAATTCGTTTCTATAAGTATTAGGTGTTTTTAATATTAACTTTCACTTTAAAGGACAAAAAAAGTAGGTTAAAAATTATTACTTTTATCTTATTAAAAATCAATAATAATTTGAAAACAATTAATTATAAAAATTATATAATATATAAGTAAAAGAATTACTAATTTAGATATAATTAAGGAAATAGAAGTTAATGTTGTTTTTGTAATTATCCACCAATTTCTTAGAATTAAACACTATCCACAGATTTGCATGGAAGCGTTTCTTATGATAGTGATTTTGATCACTGTCAGATTAAATCTATACTGAACTCAACTATGCCACGTCCCCACTGTGCCTTGACCTCCCTGTGCGACCCCACTGTGCTGGGTTTTTTTTTAATATGATTTCTAAAAATCCCCCCAAAAAATAGTTTTACCGAATTTTTTTTTTAAATCGGACCATTTCTCTTAAAAAAGGGTGGGGGTTCAAAAAATAAAAATGTATATAGAAAGTAGAACTTTTTCAACTTAATTTTGAAATTTGGCACTGAATTTTTTCTTAATTCTTTTTGAGTTAGAAAAAAATGTTTAACTCATTTGATTTTTATCTCATTTAGATTCAATAACTTCAATAAATATCAAGGATTTCATTATTGTAGTCTCCTCTCGTGAGAAGAATTTCATATTAATATTATTTTACTATGTGGTTATTTTTTGTAGCTATCATTTATTTTCTCAGTTCTCACTTGACCTACTTTTTTTTATTTGTTTCTTTTAGTTCAATGTTTCTCTCAATTTTCAATCATAAAGTTTTTTTTAATGTTCATCCCTTATTCCATATAAGGGTATCAATTTTAATTTTCAAATGCAACACTTTTAACCAACCATCTTATTGATAATGTATTTAGATAATGTGTATAGATTATCTTATATAGATAATGATCTAATTAAGAAAATAACGGGTCTATAACAAATTTTGGATTATTATTAATATTTTGAAAGTTATTAAGAATTTAATAATTATCGAACTATTCGATAGTTGTCCACTATTCGAGTTATTTGATATTCATTCAAAAACTATTCGAATAGTATAAATATTCGAATATTTTTTAAAACTATTATTCTATGCTTAAAATAAACTATTCGGTTGTAATAATCACAAGTCAAATAGTTAATCGATAGTTTACAATATTTGAAAATGCCCATTACTAATTTTTACTATTAATTGTAAAATAATTTATTTTAAGTATTCATTAATTATCTTCTTATAATAATTAAGTGTATTTAATAAAAATTTTAGGTAGAACTAATCGAATATTTTTAAAACCATTCGGTAGTATGTAATAGTTCATGCTAAAAATAAACTATTCTGTTGTATAAAATAAATTCAAATAGTTATTCGAAAGTTTTAAAAAACTATCGAATACTATTCGATATTTTAAAATATTCGAAAATTACCATCACTAGTAATAACATAGACCTATAATTTCATATTATAAGTTCTTATCATAAAATTATCACTAAAATAAAATTATTTTTGATCGGACTAGAACTTTTATATTTTTTATTTTGTATATTACCTGGTAATATATTAACTGCATAACTTAAAACCTAAGTAATTTTAAAATTGATAATTGTATATCCATTTTTTTTTAATGTAAAATGAAAACAAATGGTTTATTACATTTTTATTTAACAGATAAATTATTTTTAAGTTTACGTATGTAATTTTTTTTTAAAGTATTGACAAATTAATAATATTTATTTTTTTCCAGGAACTCAATAGAAAGACTGCAATGTAAGGACGTAAGAAAAATGATGAAATTTGTAGCATGGAAAACCAACAGTTCAATAGATTAAATGATATATAAAAGTGAAATTTTTTTCACTTTGGTTAAGTATAGAAAATATTAGAAAATATTTTTTGAAATAAAAATTAATATATAATTATTATTTATGTTTTATTGTTCAAAATAAGATAATTTATCACTATTTTGAGATTAAAAAACTCTGATATCTAATTTAAATTTAACATACAGTGTCTAAAAATAAATACTATACTCTCTTAATTGATACATTATATTAATTACGATAAAAAAAAACATAACATTTATATGAGTAGACGATTTGAAAAATAAAATTGACGCTATTTATTTGTGTATTAATTATAATATAAAGATTTTAGGCTATAGACACAAACTATAAATTATTAAAATATATATTATTAAACAACACAGATATAATTTTATTATACAAAAAAAAATTGTTTAATTTTTTAAAAGTAACTTTTTAAGTAACACTTAAACAATGTTCTTAATTTATTTAATTTACATTGATGATATTGAACAAATATTGTTCATTTTAACTATTAAGGGTTATATTAGGAACTTGTATTGAAAAACTTTCAAGTAATTTTTTTTTTAATAATTATTAAATTAATTTGGCTCAATTAGTTTAAACATGGCCTTATACCTACATATATAAAATCTTATAACTGATTATGTTTTCATGAATCTTAAGTTACAAACACATAAAAAATATGTTGACTCTTTGGTTAAGGCGTATGGATACTGACCTTTCTTTAGGAGTCGAATATAGGCAATTTTTCGGGTTTATCACGTTTCGCAGTGTCGTTGAGTGAGAATTAAATAATTATTACTGTGAGCGTTCATTATTGGAAATATTTCCGTCGTGTTATAGTCCATAACAAAACCGGTTAAGTACCTGATTACCACCTTTTTTATGCAATATAATATATTGATTAAAATAACGACATTGTTATATATGACACTGTTTATTTTATGTAGTTTAAAATTCATAGCTTATTACCAGCCCCACAGTAAATACTTACAGACGCGTCTTGATTTCACAAATTTTAATTCGTTATAAAAATAATTAAATTATCTAATTTCGACGAGTATGAAAAACTAAATATTTACAGATTATTCGCTCTGGGTGACAATGGTAAAAAATCATAAAAACTATTATCTCCACTTTTTCTAATAAAAAAAAACCCAGTACAAAGGGGTCCCGGCACAGTGATGATGTGGCATAGTTGGATCAAGTATAATATCTAGTATAAATATCTGACAGTGATTAAAATCACTATAAAAAAAACCCAGCACAGGGGGGTCGCGGCACAGTGGTGACGTGGCATAGTTGGATCAAGTATAATGATATCTGACAGTGATTAAAATCACTATAAAAAAAAAAACGCTTCGATGCAAATCTTTAGATACTGTTTAATTTTAAAAAAGTTACGGCAGTTTTTAGTAAAAAAAAACCCAGCACAGGGGGGTCGCGGCACAGTGGTGACGTGGCATAGTTGGATCAAGTATAATGATATCTGACAGTGATTAAAATCACTATCAAAAAAAAACGCTTCGATGCAAATCTTTAGATAGTGTTTAATTTTAAAAAATTGGTGGATTATTCCAAAAGCTTCATAAACTGCTAGTTCCTTATTAATATCCTGATTAAGACAAAGTATGTCGAATAAAAAAGAGATTATTAGAAAATAGTATTTCCCATAAAAAAATTATATTGATCAATACACTTTTCAATAAGTTATAGCATTATAATGTTAAAAATGTAAAAAATAAAATTGAGAATTTTCACACAATAATAGCATTTGGTAGCCATTTTCACCTTGAAGATAAAATAAAGTCCGAAATTTTTTTTTTCCATGATAAAGTATATTACATTAGCTTTAATTTAAGATATATATAAAAGTGTCAGACTTTCCGGAACACTTTCAAAATTTAAGTTGAAAAAGTCAATTTTTTGTGAAAAAGTTGTCATTTTGAATCCCCCCCTGTAGGCAGGTAAAAAGTCAGATTTATAAAAAAAATATACCAAATGATAGGTAAAGACATCATGCATCTACAAAAAAAAGAATTATATTGATCCATACATCTTTCGAGAAGTTATAGCATTATAAAGTTAAAAATATAAAAAAGAATTTTTTTACAAAAATCGTATTTTTTTTATTAAGTTTAATGTCTGTTTTCACCATGAAGATAAAATAAAGTCCGAAATTTTTTTTTACCATTATAAAGTATATTACATTAGCTTTAATTTAAGATATATATAAAAGTGTCAGACCTTCCGGAACATTTTCAAAAGTTAAGTTGAAAAAGTTAATTTTTTTTGAAAAAGTTGTCATTTTAAATCCCCCCTTGTGGGCAGGTTAAGGGTTAAATTTATGAAAAAAATATACCAAACGAAAGGTTATGATATTACACATCTATATAAAAAAAAATTATATTGATTTGTTCATTTTTGAAAAAGTTATGGCACTTTTAAGTAAAAAAAATTGAAAAAATTTCGAAAATTAGCGATTTTTAAATTTGTAATTTTTTTGGAGGTTTCCCCCATTTACGGGGAACGAGGGCATTTTTTTCAATTTTTGAGGGTAATGTCTTCGACTAGATACAATTTGTGATCTTTTGACGTATCATTGAAAGAAATTGGTTCGGTGAGAGCTGAGAAAAAGTGGTAACAGACACAAAAAAAAAATAAAAAAATAAACACATCTTAGTAAAACCAATACCTTCTCAGCTTCGCATCGAAGCTAAAAAATACGCTTCGATGCAAATCTTTAGATAGTGTTTAATTTTAAAAAATTGTTGATTTATTCTAAAAGTTACATGATCTGCTAGTTCATTATTAATATCCTAATTAAGATAAAGTATGTCGAATGAAAAAGGAATTATTAAAAAATATTTTTTCTCATAAAAAAATTGTGTTGATCCATACACTTTTCAATAAGTTATAGCATTATAAAGTTAAAAATTAAAAAAATAAAATCGAGAATTTTCACACAAAATAGCATTTGATAGCCATTTTCACCGTGAAGACAAAATAAAGTCCAAAATTTTTTTTTTTATATTAAAGTATATTACATAAACTTTAATTTAAGATATATATAAAAATATCAGTATTTTCGGAACCCTTTCAAAAATTAAGTTGAAAAAGTTCTACATTCTCTAATCATTTTTTGAACCCTCCCTGTATTAAGGGATATGGTCCGATTTAAAAAACAAGTATGTCGAATTAAAGAGGCATATAAATATTATTTCTCATAAAAAAATTGTATTCATCCATACATTTTTCAAAGATTTATAGCGTTATAAAGTTAAAAATATGAAAAATAATTTTTTTACAAATATCGTTTTTTTTTTATTAACTATGATGACTGTTTTCACCATGAAAACAAAATAAAGTCCGAATTTTTTTTTCCCCATAATAAAGTATATTACATTAGCTTTAATTTAAGATATATATAAAAGTGTCAGACTTTCCGGAACACTTTCAAAATTAAGTTGAAAAAGTTCTACTTTCTATATGCATTTTTCTGTTTTGAACCCTCCTGTATTAAGGGAAATGGTCCGATTAAAAAAAAAAAGTATGTCAAATAAAAGATGTATATAAATACTACTTTTCATGAAAAAATTGTATTGATCCATATATTTTTTAAAAAGTTATAGCATTTTAAAGTAAAAATGTAAAATATAAAATCGAGAAATTTCACACAAAAATAGCATTTGGTAGCCATTTTCACCACGAAGACAAGTCCAGAGGTCAAATTTTTTTTTCATAATAAAGTACATTACATTAGCTTTAATTTAAGATATATATAAAAGTGTCAGACTTTCCGGAACACTTTCAAAATTAAGTTGAAAAAGTTCTACTTTCTATATGCATTTTTCTGTTTTGAACCCTCCTGTATTAAGGGAAATGGTCCGATTAAAAAAAAAAAGTATGTCAAATAAAAGATGTATATAAATACTACTTTTCATGAAAAAATTGTATTGATCCATATATTTTTTAAAAAGTTATAGCATTTTAAAGTAAAAATGTAAAATATAAAATCGAGAAATTTCACACAAAAATAGCATTTGGTAGCCATTTTCACCACGAAGACAAGTCCAGAGGTCAAATTTTTTTTTCATAATAAAGTACATTACATTAACTTTAATTTAAGATATATATAAAAGTGTCAGACTTTCCGGAACACTTTCAAAAGTTAAATTGAAAAAGTTAATTTTTCGTGAAAAATTTGTCATTTTGAATCCTTCCCTGTGGGCAGGTTAAGTGTCATATTGAGATATATCTAATAAAATTTTGGTTAGAGAATTGAAAACATTCTACCACGATAATATTTATATTGTATTTATTTTACCTTCGATGCGAAACTGAGAAGGTATTAATTTTACTATGATGTGTTTTTTTTTATGTCTGTTGCCATTTTTTATCAGCATTCAATTGATTTCTTACAACTGTGGTAATTTCATTATTCGTATATTCTTATTATTGTAATCTTATCTGTGATTGTCATACGACTATTACCCATATGTATTTATCTAGTAACAGTAGTAGTAGTCCGCCGACCGTCGTCTGCCAATTATCTATTGTTGTTTTACTGAATAAAACACTGAAGATCATGGACGCCGAATCTATTTTTTACATGGGGAGAAGAAATTTTATGACTAACACTAGGTCTTCTTGATTGTTATTAAGCTAAAAAGCAGGTTAAGCTATTTTTTGGCGGATTTTAGTGATCATATAAAGAAAATTAGGCAATTTATAAATTTTACTCTTAATAATACATATTATTAGCTTTGATTCGAAGCTGAGAACATATTAATTTTACCATGATGTGTTCTTATATTTATGACANTGATTCGAAGCTGAGAACATATTAATTTTACCATGATGTGTTCTTTTATTTATGACAAAAAATCACAAATCTAGTTGTAGGCATTACCCTAAAAAATTGAAAAAAATTCCTTCATTTCCGTAAATGGTGAAAATCCCCCTAAAAATTACAATTTTTATACTTTTTTTTTATAAATTGTCATAACTTATTGAAAAATGAACAAATCAAAATAATTTTTTTTTATATTGAAACCGTATGCATTTCCCTTTTATTTGATAGAATATTTTTGAAAATCTGATCCTTTATCTGCCCACAGAGGGCGATTCAAAATAGCAACTTTTTTACAAAACTCAACTTTTTCAACTTAAGTTTTAAAATGTTCCGAAAACACTGCATTTCTAAAACATATGTCAAATTTCAGCTTATGTAATGTACTTTAAATTAAAAAAAAAAAAATTTTTTCCGACGACTTATCTTTTATGTGCAATTAGCTGTCGTAGTTAAAAAACATGCTATTTTTGTGTTCAAATTTTATTTTTTTTTTGTTTATTTTAAAATACCTTTTAAGGATTTGCCATAGTAATGAGTTAACCGATAAATATAAAATTTACATGAATCTAACTTACGTTAAATATAAATTTATACTTATTTTAATAATTTTTTCTCTTCAAAGTTAAAAAAATGTTTTGAAAACTTGAAAATTTATATAAAAAGTAGAACTTTTTCAACTTAACTTTTTAAAATCTGCGTCTTTTAAATATATATTAAAATAAAGCTAATTCTATGTACTAGAAGTTCAAAAAAAAATTTGTACCGACGACCTATTTTTTATGTACAAATGGCAATCGAAGTAGACCAAAAAATTGGAATTAATTTTGCTTTAGGAATAATTCAACAATTTTTTAGAATTAAACATCATCTACAGATTTGCATCGAAGCGTTTCTTATGATAGTGATTTTTATCACTCTCAGATATCATTTATACTTGTCCTAACTTTGCCACATCCCTACTGTTCCACGACTACACTGTGCTACCGTTTTTGATATTCAACAGGCGTCACGTAAATTCATTAACACTTTTTAATCATAAAATCTGAATCACTCATATCTGACTAGCTTTTTTAAAAAATGATCTACTTTTTTTATTGGATGTAGGTTAAAATTCATTTTTATAAATAATGTGTTTTTTTTTTTTACAACCGTTAGGTTGGTTAATACCATTGGTATATTCTGGGTAAATTTAAGTGCAGTGGTTTTCCGTTGCCTTCTGCACTGGGAACATGGTGCTTTTTCGCTACCGTAGAAGCGCACGCATGGTCACCCATCCGTTCACCTACGGCGGTAGGCGCGGCTTAACACTAGAGTTTTGTCAACTAGTTTGAGCACCGTGCCACACCACGCCCGATAATAAATGTAAGAGATTTATATATTTGATGATCAAGTAATTTACAAATGTGCTGAAATTTAATTGAAAATTAAAATATAACGCTGAATACATCAACAAGATGAATTTTTTGATCTTTTGGCGTATATTTGAACAATAACAGTCCAGTAGGTACAGATATGGATAAACACAAGCAGAAAACGCATAATAGTAAAACTAATACCTTTTCAGGTTTTAATCGAAGCTAAGAAAGTGTATGAAAATTATTTTTATATACACGTACCTCGCCAAATATTTTTTTTTTGATGCCACTTATTTAATGTTAATACATTACCTATATTATTATTTTTTTTTTTGATATCGGTATTGTTTTATGATTCCCAATTTCTTTAGCGACACTTATATTGGAAAATAACAACACAATTTGTTTTGTACTTTGCAATGATAGCTTTGTCGGCCATTAGATAAAAGCAAATAATCAAATATCGTATATACAAGTGTAATATCAAATATTTATTAATGTGGAACTATTTTTAGTCAATCGGTAATGCTCTACGCAACTCTATGGTCAATAAAATAGCTGCTGCGGATAACGCACAACGTACACGAGCACGTCAGATATTATAACAGTTACTGTTTGAAAACCATTAATTTGAACGTACAAAACTACCCGTTTTTGTTCCATCAGTACGACAAAACTGCTGATGCGTTAAGAATTCTGAAAACAGATCTCAATTCAGCATCATATTACTTAAATAACGGTCGGGACACGTTTTTGAAATTGTGATTCCTTCAACATAAAAATTTATTTTTAAAAAATTAAAATTTTCAAACATGTAAACTGTACTTAGTGGTTAAAAACATAAAATTTTCAAAAAAGTGGCCTGACCAATGTTTAAGTAATATAATGCTGAATTCAGATTTGTTTTCAGAATTCTTATCGCATCATTAGTTTTGTCGTTCTAATGGAACAAAAACGGGTTGTTTTTGACTAAAAAGCGGCCGGACCCAGACGCCTTAACTATGATTTATACAAATTGCCTTCCCATTTCGTTTTGTTAATAAGTTAGAATGCGAAAAAATGTATTTTATAAACAGAATTTTTTAAAAAAAAAACCTTTTATTTAACAACTCTGGTTTTAATCAATTTTCTGTTATTTTAGACATTTACATTAATCTTAAACAGTATATTTTTTTTTATAATTGTAGTTTATAAAAATTCTTATATTATATAAATTGTATGTTGATTATAATCAACATTTTTTTACGTTAAATAATTATTTAACGTATAAAAATTAAGTTACTTAAAATTATGGGATTTATATTAGTGCTTCATAAGTCTTTTTATTTTCTATAGACATTTTTTACATACAGTAAATATTTAACCATATATAAATTAAGCAATAAATACTAAGCAAAATCAAAAAAAAAAATTCCATAATTATTACTTTGTATAATTTACATTACAAGGCTGCTACAATATTTACAATTTTATAAAACGTATTTGACAATTATTAATGAGAGTGACATATTTCATTAAGTAAATATAAACGATGTTTTTGTAAAATGATGAAAACATGAAAACTGATTGACATTTTTTTCTCAGATTTTTATTGATTTATCTAGTATTTTTACAAAAATTTGTGAATAATAATTTACCATTATATTTTAATGAATGTGCGTTGTTACTTATACTATAAGCTTGATTTTATTCTGTTACAGTAAGTACTCCATAAAATTAAAATTAAGTATTTATATGTATTTACTTTTCTTTATTTAACTTAACGTTATTTAAAATTTTAATTAAATAATAATGATAAAAAAATTTTGTAGGGTCTAATTTTTAAAAATGGTGTTTAATGTACATATAAAAATTACAATAAATAAAAAGGTTCTAACCCTTTTTATCATCACCAAAACAATAAATTTTATGATAAAAATATTGGTTATATTTAAAATTATAACTATAATAAAAATATTAATTTAAAACTAAAAAAAATATTAAAAATATTTATTTTAAAAGCCTATAAAAGAATTACTAAAAAATCGCGTATACTTGTTTTGAGAACAATGTTATGATTATCAACACTAAACCTACTCTCTCTCTCTCTCTCTATATATATATATATATATATAGAGTAAATTATACAGTTTATAGTTTGAAAATTATTTAATTGGTAGATGAAAATTATTTCATTGTTTAATAATAATACATAATGGCGACATAGACATAGTACTAAGTTCTATGAGTAAAACAACGAATTCATCGTTAATTAAACCTATTACTTTTATTTTTCAAAGTAACAAATTATTCGTTTTTGTTACATGTTTGATACTTGTGAAAACCTCGTTGCAAAGTTTTGTAGGATGAAACTTAATCTAACATATTGATGTGTTTATATAAAACAAAAAGTTTCAATTTTTTAATGAAAATTTGTTTGTAAAAATTATTAGGTTTAAGTTATAATTTAATTTATAAAATGTTTTATTATTTATTTGTTTATGATTATCAAAATACTCTTGGTACTACACAAGTATAACACTAGTTAATTTAATTAATTTTTAAAAAGAATTTTAAAACATGAAAATACAAACATTGTGAAGAAATTTTTATTTATTTAATAACTATTGAAAATTTTTGATATCAGAAATTTTGTTCTTCAATTTAAATACACCCAAAAAATATAAATGAATTTTAAAGAATTCTACAGTAATTTTTTTAGGAATAAAAATGTTAAATAGTATTGTGTTTTCTAATTTTCTAAATCATAAAAATTTTTCCAATTAAATTGTACAATAAAATATACTCGTAAATTGGATAGAATTTAGTGAACTTTTCTTGTGAAAATTACAATTTGCCATAATTAAATGTTTTTTATTAGTTAAGAATTTTTTTTTTTTTTTAGGAAATTTCCCGAAAATTTTTTATATTAACCATTGTTTGTGATTATAACTTTTATTCTCATCTCCAAGATGTAACTTATGATGTATATTTATAAGTTATCTAATTTTATATAATATATATTCTTACGAAGATGATTTATAAAACAAAATTTTTTATAATAATAATTGAAATGTTGCAGCTCAATATGGCGTGTGGAAGTTTTTGGTTTTATTTTACATCATTGTGCTTGGGTATATTTTTCGTTGATGTAAGTGAGGTACATGATTTAAGTAATAAAAAAAACTTTAACACAAATGTATATTATAATATTCAAAAAGTATATTTACAATTTATACTTATGATAGTACTATTATTTTAAGGGTTAGTTTTGACTAAATTATCGATTAACTAAACCATAATTTACTCTATTGTCACAAAAATCTTACTCAATTTTTTTTTTTTAATGTTATTAGATTTCATTAATTTAATTTTTTTTTAATTAAAATTTAGGCATCTAAATATCCACTATATTCAATAAATTCTCCTTCGTCTAATAAAGAGTACTTCAAAATTTGTACTCCCATTGTGAAATGTGACCCAAATTACAAGTATAGAAGTATGAATGGTTCTTGTAATAATTTAGAAAATCCAACATGGGGCGCAGTTAATACACCTCACCTCAGATTATTAGATGCTGTTTATAGCACTGGTAATCAATTGAACTACCACTATTAAATTATTTTATAATAATAATGATATATATAATTTTTATTAATTTATAAATATTAGAAAACTTGCGAGAATTTCGTAAGCAAAAAGACGGCAGACCTCTTCCAGGTTCTCGGGAATTGTACTTAAATTTATTCCGAAATAAATCAAATGATGAAGATGACTATTTTAACATACATTTCATGCAGTGGAGTCAGTTTATAGCTCATGACATTACCCAATTACCGCCAAATAATAATGCAGGTAGATTATAATTTAGTTTATACATAAGTTTTAATGTAAAGAGACAGAAATATGAGTATAAATTTGTGTGAGTGTGATTAAATATTTTAAAATATAAGATAAATATATAATATAATTAATAATATGATATTTAATGTGGTAAATATGAACAATTAGTGGAAAAAGATAAAGATAAAATAATACATAAATAAAAGAAAAAAAATGTTTTGATTTGATGGAATTTTTGAGTTTATTTAGAGTTTCACGATATTGATCCGTATTAATCGTAATGTTTGGCTCTACAAAATCGAATATCAAAATTCCTTACTCACCCAAAAATTCTTGACTATAGTCTTTTCCTCGAGTGCTAAATTTTCGCTCTTTTGCAGCACTTTCTTCTCGTTTCTTCCAAATTATGCTTTGACGCATCATCGATTTGTGTGACAAACTCACGTTTTATCTTCTATCACACATCATTCTGAAGCATTTCAGACAATTTTAACAATAAAAATAATAGTGGCGTTGGAGAGAAATGCCAGACTAAGAAAACTTACTTTTTGAATATACCTTGTAATTAAAAGAAAATGAGGATGATTAGTAGACACCAAAATGTTCTGTAAGATACGATTCAAGTCATGATAGAAGCAGATTACAAATTATAAAAAATTTTTGCAAAGACATGTATATGGAGACAAAAAGAGTAAGTGATTGTCAGATTCAAAGTCACGATAAGCAATTTACTTTGAAAGATTAGATTGTTTAAAACGAAAAAACATTACATAAAAAGAAGGGTGATAGAAATCAGGAATAACTAGGAGAAAAGATCAGACGAGTAAGAAATAATTAGATCAAGAAGACCGCCAAAAGAATATAATTATTACATTGAAAGAGATTTAGGAAAGGAAATAACTCATTGATAATAGTTGAGGTAGGAGAAAGATTATTATGAGCAATAAGCTCAAGATGATCAAAGTCCTAGTTAATATTAGGTACATTATAGTTACCACATACAAAAACTGAGAAAGGAGACTAATTATGTATTATATGCTCAACTGATTTAATGTGCAATTCATAAAGTTTAGGACTGCTAGTTGAAGAAATATATACAGCATTTAAAAGGATTTTTGTATTTAAAAAGTTAATTAGAATATTCTCTCTTTTTTTGATATTTTATTTTATATTTATTTCACCACGGATTCATTATTAATATACTAAATATGTGCAGTTCATTTTCAAAAGTCTCAAAACGAGTTATTTAAATGATTACGTGTAATACTCATTATGTATATAAGAGGATGTTTGTGTTATGTACTATCAAAGACAAGTTAATTTTTTTGTGTCGGCATATTTTTGAAATTTCAAAGATGTCAACTTACATGAAACACTATTGAATTTTTATATTAATTTTTCCTCACCTGAAAAATTATTACAATTGACACTTCATATTTTAATAAAGGCACAAACAAAAAACTTACAATTCTAATTTCATTTCGAAATTAAAACTTAAATAGAAACATATATACAGTATCATTATTAAAAATAATTAAGAATGATTAAAAATTTTTATTTATCATTATAAACCGCAGTAATTATCAAGTTTATTGTAAGAATATATTATTTCTAAGGGTTCATTTCAAGGTTAACTTTTGAAAAATAAATGGAAACCTATTACTACTCTTATAATAGGGTCTAATTATAATTAGATCAATAATTATTGATCAATCAGCATTTTATTTAATCCATTTCCCATAAAGTATTAAATATATATATATATTATCATTTAATTTTTGAAAGTTATCCGTAAAATATACCTTTAGAAATAATTTTTTCATAAAATGAACTTGATATTTAATATGCTTCAAATAAATTAATATAAATTTTACCAATCATTATTTAACAAAAAATGGAGGATAGTTTCCTTAATAAATTCACTGTATTTATATATATTTTTTTAAGAGCCTACTGATTGTTGTGCTGTCCAGGGATCAGATAATATTCCATACCATTGTCAAAAAACAATTAAATTACCCCTAAATGATCCAGAATTCGGTAACAATAAAACTTGTATGCCTTTCAAAAGAGCAGTGACTGCTGATGATTGTCCTCAGTTACCATATATATTTGTAAGTATTAATTACTTTTCTTAAATTAAAAGTTTTAATATGTTTATAGTATAAAAAAAAATTATATAAGTGAGGAACAATTTTGATGCAAAAAACTGTCTATACGGAAATAAATAATTTAGTTATAGAAATTAGTTGCATAAATTATAGTTGACTCAAATAAATTAGTTAAGAAAATTGAAGTATTTAGCTAGATTTACATATTTAGAAGAAAATGTAATTAACTTTTTTTATAATAAGTTTTTTTTATAATGAGTTCAATTAAATGAGTGTAACTTTCCAATGTAAATGATTATATTGACAATTTTTTTGGGGGGATAACTTTTCCGTGATAACTTATGGTGATTTTTTTTTTATAAACATGCTCAGATTTAAAAATTTTGGTTCACTAAAAGTTCATAAAAAAATTTTAGATGGTGCAGTCAACACAATACATTGACCTTTCTCATATTTATGGCAATAGTGATAGCGAATCGATGTCATTACGGACTCAAAATGGTGGCCTTTTAAGATCTGATATTCAAAGCAATGGTTTAGAATTTTGCCCTCAGCAGAAAAGAAGTACAACAAATTGTGGTGGCCGTGATGGCGTTGACGTGTGTTACGAAGCTGGTAAACTTATCGTTTTTTTTTCAAAATACGTATATTTTTACAGTAATTTCTAATTTTTACCTAAAAACCATGAAATTTAAATGCAGACAAAATAGAATGAACTTATGTTCGATTAATGGTTGAGAATTAGTTAACTTAAAATATAGTGTATTTTGATAAATTTATACTATAAAGTATAGTGTTTAATTATAGTCTATTATTTATTTTGATTAAGTTATTTATGAGTGTTGTTAAACATATTCTAACTTACAGGCTTGATAAAATAAAAACATAATTATCATTCTGGCTGCACAATTGAGTTTTTGTAGAAAGTTATTTTCTCTCTGAGTAACATCTCACATAATGTTTAAATATCTATTTGTAAATATAGCATTTGCACTTATTTAACTGAACAATAAGTTGAAATATATGTATATACTATAGGTGATCCACGTGTGAACCAAAATTTAGGTATTGCTGCTTACACAAATTTGTTCTTAAGATATCATAATTTTTTGGCAAAGCACCTACAAATATTGAATCCACAATGGTCTGATGAGATTCTCTATCAAGAAGCTAGAAGGATCCTTATAGCTTTAACCTCGTTAATAACATATAGAGACTTTCTTCCGATTTTGTTAGGTAAAAAATAATGAATAATTATTATAATTAATACAATAAATTTTCATTCATCTTAAAAAGAAATTAAATGTGTTTGAAATAAATTTTGAAACTAGTACAAGATTTATTTAATTATCATAAATGTGTTTTCGAGTTTCAAAAAAAAAAAATGTTTAGGTCAGAAATATTGTGATTCAGTTGGTCTATCGTTGTCCAATAAGAATACTAAGTACAATAGAAAGATAAGTGCTTCAACTGGTTTAGAGTTTGCGGCTGCTGCTTACAGAGTACCTCACAATACTATTCCTACACATTTGAGGTAATTTTAAGTTTGTTATATAGTTTAAAATTTAATTTAAAAAACAAAATATTTATTTTTTTTTTTTTAAGTTTTGTAGACAGCAATCACAAATTATTGAAATCAGTTAAATTGACTGATTGGATGAACAATCCTAGTCCACTTTCAGAAGCGTCAAGTTTCAACGATTTGATAAGGGGAATGTACTACTGTTCAGATCGTCGACCCCAACCATCATACAATCATTTAGTACATATAAAAAATAAATCTAAAACATTTTTTAACTAATAAGTCAGCCTGGTTGTTTTAGATATCAAATTTTGCATTTCACTTTGACACGCCAGCAACAGCTGATCAGGGTTTAATTTCTGTGGATGTGCAAAGAGGTAGAGATACTGGATTGCCAACTTATGTGGACGTAAGAAGGAAATGCAAATTATCTTCAATTAAGAGTTTTGATGATCTATATGATATTATGAAACCCAATGTATGTATTTGTTTTTTTATTTTACGGTGATATAGTTTTAAAAAATGGAAACTTTACACATTGCCCCTAATTATTTTCATTAAAAACTACAATTTGCCTTATTGCCATATTCAAAATCTAATATTTTTGCTTTATTGCCAAATTCAGAATCTAATATTTTTACTTTATCGTACCAAAAATAATAAAACAATAGTGTTTTCTAATTAAAACTAATAGTTATATAAGAAATTTTTATTTACACTTTCATAATACTTAATACTTAAATACTAACTGGGGCGTATTATTACACTGTGGATATTTCAAATACCCTCAAGTCTTGAAGTTAAGCTTCATCTGTCTCTGTTGGCTGTCAGATGAGTTAATTCATACCAATTAAAAACACTTTACTCCTTATAATAAAAGACAAGTACAATAACACTGTACGTAGTACTTACCCAGGATACATCAGTTCAATATTCAGAATTGGGTGGTGTTATTCAACCTTCTCGTTGAAAAAACAATCTTAAAGCGTACCCTACTAAAAACAATTAATACTGTAATAAGTAATTTTATGAAAGAGTGAGCTGTAATTAATATATAATTTACACAATATTAAATGATAGAAAATCAAAATTTTAAGAAAAATGTATGGCACAGTTGAAGATATTGATTTAATAGTTGGAATGCTATTGGAACTTCCACAAAGCCATGCAAGAGTCGGTCCAACAGCTAGATGCGTTTTAGCGGATGGATTTTATAGGTATAGGTATGGAGATCGCTTTTTTTTTAATGTTAAAGGACAATCAGGAAGCTTCAAAAAAGGTAAAACATACATTTTTTTTATACTTTATTAATTATTCATAATAAAAAAAATATATAGAACAATTAGAAGCATTACAAGATATTGACTTGGGTCATATATTATGCGTCACGACAGGATTAAAAGAAGTACCAAAAGATATTTTCCATGCTTATAGTTTTCAGTGAGTAAAATTTATATTCAGTATTGATGTATTATATCATTAATATGTCTATTATAATATACATCTTATTGATCTGTTATATAGACATGAATCAGCTTTAAATAATATGGTAAGCTGCAAAATATTGAAAAATAAACTAAACCTCAGCTCATGGAAATCAAAAAATTAAAATCACTGTATTAATTATAATAAATAAATAAATTACTGCAATAAACTAAAATTTTGAAATTTTATTTATAGATTATTAGAAATATATATTTACACTGTAATATTTGTAACTTAATTTTAACATTTTAATAAACTGATACGATGTTTAAAATTTTACTTCATAAAAATTGAATACTTTCATCCCTAACTTAAAGTTCAAGAATTAAAAAAAGTTAATTTTTTTAATTTTATTTTCTACATTAATGTTAGTATTTACATAGAAAATTAAAGTCATTATTAATATTATCGACATTTAAAAGCGAACTGTAAAGTCTTTGACATATATTAGTAATATTATTTTTTTCGATACTAAATTAATAGATTTCTTATGTATCAATTTTCACCAAGGCTTTAACAAATTGTAATTTACTTGTGAAAATTTTCATTATAAAAGTTAAAAATATAATTAATCGATATATTGCACACGGTACCCAAAATGACATTTACATTATAAATTAAATTGAATTGTCAGTATTACTAAATGCCACTGACAAATAACTTAAGTAAAAATATTAAAGATATTTTTGTATACGTTATCACATTTAGTTTATCTTCAGACATTTTTAATAATTAAATAATATGTAACTGTCATTTTAAGTAATTGCAATTGCCTATTCAGAAGGCCGTAATCTAAATTTTATTTCTATGTGTGTTTTACACATAAATAAATAAAAAGTCATATTAATGGCAAGATTCTTGTTTTTTTATGAAAAAAAACAAAATGTAATTAAATATTTTTTTCGTAAGCTTGTTATCTTTTAATGGGGTGCATCATTAGTTATAAACTTGTTCAAAATCTTGCTATACAATCAAATATAGTAGAACATTGACAAGAAAATTAATTTGTCTTTCGAATCGTTATCATCTTACAGACTTTTTAGTATGGTTTAATCACTTATTCAAACACTTTTCTAATGGTGTTGAACATAAAGGTCTATAAGACAAGCACAGTTTAACAGGTAAATTATTATTTATAGACAATGTTCGAATACTTGCTTGACTCATTGTAGAATAAAAATAATGTTAATAATATTCACATAAAAATAATCATTTTTCTCTATTGTTAAAATAAATCATGCAATAACTATTTTAACTTAGCAAAATATTTTTTATATACCATTTCGGTATTTAAAATAAGTTGCTAAAGAATAATATTATAATAATTTAAATTCTATATCGATTTGTTTATTTATAACCACAATAATCAAACCTAGGTAAAAATATTTTTTTGTATCAAAAATTTGATTTTATGTTAATCCAAGAAAATAATAGGTTTTACAATGCCATTTTCATCGGATTTTATAACACTCATACAATTTTAGTTGTTGTATTTTTATACTACTTCTAATGAGTCTTTTATTTTTTATCGAATAAAAATTTTATATTAACAGCTATATTTAAAAATATTAACCGGTATGAATAATTTATTTGATAATTTTATGTTATTTACATTTATTGATTTTTTTTAACTTCCATACAAAGCTGAGAAGATATTAATTTTACTATGATGTGTTCTTTTTATTTTTTTTTATTTTTAGTTTTTTAATTTTTTTTTTTTTTTTGATCTGTTACCACTTTTTCTCAGTTCTCACCGAACCAATTTCTTTCAACGATACGTCAAAGGATCCCAAATCGTATCTAATCGAACACATTACCCTCAAAAATTGAAAAAATTTCTCTCATTCCCCGTAAATGGGGTAACCTCCAAAAAAATTACAAATTTAAAAATCGCTAATTTTCGAAATTTTTTCAATTTCTTTTTACTTAAAACTGCCATAATTTTTTCAAAAATGAACAAATCAATATAACTTTTTTTTTTATAGATGCTTGATGTCTTTACCTATCATTTCATATAATTTTTTTTATAAATCTGACCCTTTATCTGCCCACAGGAGGGATTCAAAATGACAACTTTTAACAAAAATTTTACTTTTTCAACTTAATGTTTGAAGAAAGTGTTCCGGAAATACTGACACTTTTATATATAACTTAAATTAAAGCTAATGTAATACACTTTATTATGGTAAAAAAAATTTTAGACTTTATTTTGTCTTCACGGTGAAAATGGCTACCGTATACTATTTTTATGATAAAATTATCGATTTTATATTTTACATTTATAACTTTATATTTCTATAACTTTTTCGAAAAATTTATAGATTAATACAATTTTTTTATGAGAAATAATATTTATATATTTCATTTATTCGACATACTTTTTTTTTAAATCGGACCATTTCCCTTAATATAGGGTGGCCTCAAAACTTCAAAATGCATTTAGTAAGTAGAACTTTTTCAACTTAATTTTTGAAAGTGTTCAAGAAATAATGACACTTTTATATATATATCTTAAATTAAAGATTATGTAATATAATTTATTATGGAAAAAAATTTTTCGGACTTTAATATGTTTTTATGGTGAAAATGGATATCAAAGTTAATAAAAAATATACGATTTTTATAAAAAAAATTCTATTTTGTATTTTTAATTTTATAATGGTATAACTTTTTGAAAAATTAATGGATTATTATAATTTTTTTAAGATATTCTTCTTTTACACAACATATTTTTTTAATCAGACCATTTCCCTTTATATATATATATGAATATATACATCCGTATATTACACTTATAAATCATTAAACATGTAATCAGAATATAAATAAGGAAATAGGAGATCATGTAGCTTTTGGAATAATCCACCAATTTTTAAAATTAAACACTATCTACGGATTTGCATCGAAGCGTTTTTTATGATAGTGATTTTAATCACTGTCATATATCATCTATACTGGATCCAACTATGCCACGTCCCCACTGTGCTGGGTTTTTTTATTTAGAAACTCAGGCAGTAGTGACTATTCAAAAATTTTATTGATATTGGGAAGTTTTAAAATATATTGATCAAAAATACTTACCTAAGAGTATACTGTATAATTAGTATATCTTTATTATATGTAGAACTCGGTTAATAAGGTATGTAATCAAGTTTTTAAATGTTTAAAATACGTAATAATTGGTATGAGGTTTACAGATTATTGAGTTGATGAATTCATTTAACATTAATTACAGTTATAGATCAAATAAGAGCCAGGAGCCATAGAAAAATAAAGTGCGTGTTAAACAAATGTATTTGAGAAGCTTTGAAAACATAAAAATACTAGGCGTGTGCGTGCTTTTACTAGTCGTGCAGTCATAAGTGAAAAAGAAAAAATAGACATAAAAAAACATAAAGAAATTAGCTGTGACGACGACAACAGTGACCTAAATACACAGGACCAAGTTCGTTGATTAGTGACCTCCGGAGGGCGTACAGTAGCTGATGCAATTCTAAAAAATTTAACTGATGGAACGTTTAACATTCCGTTTAACATTTTTCAATATAAATATGCTACACTTTTATAGTCTGCAAATTATTTAAATGACCGTGCTACCGATCCATTATATATTATGTGGACCACACCTGTCACCACACACTACTTACATAGAAGTGTAACTGATACATCAATTTATTATGACGCTATTATTGGCAAATTGTTGGCGCCACACAAATAAACTTACCTAGGAAATAAAAAACCCTTGCCCTAGAATGTTTAGCTGGTGTAACTTGTTTACTTTGGGAATTCACGTATTTATGACGATCAATGTCGTTTAATTATTATTTTACAGTTGTTTATCTTATGCACAGCAAAAACACTAGACATAAAATTACAATAACTTATATTTATTGCCTCAGGTAAAAGATTCATACAAAAGACTCTATACAAAAAATAGCCGTCAAGTTACATTTTTTAAACTGCTTTTTGAAATTCGTCGGTTGCTTTAGTACAAATATGTATCAAATATAATTTATGCATAGCTCTGAATATGGTTTGAATTTCATTTTACGCGCTGAAGTTTCCAACATGTATTCTGTTATTGGTAAACATTGAGTAGGTACTTCTCTTTTATTTTATTTTTGGCAACTATATTGAATACAAAATCATTTGTTTTCTTAACGTACAATGTTATATTCTAAATATATTGATGCGATCGAGTTTGAGTAATTTTTAAACATTTAGTACACTATATTTGTATTATTCTGCATTTAGAGTATAATTAGCATATCGTATCTATCACTTTGATCATTTTGTTACTAAATTTACATCACAACAAAAAAATCGGATTGAAACATGAGTCAATGTTTAATGTAAAAGTGTTTTAGTTTTTATGAAATATATATTATGCTTTCATGCAACTATTAAAGTTTTAGTAAAAATTTAATTTTGTAAAACAAATAAAATTTAAAAGGTCAGTTAAAAAGTTACTTCCTAATTTTAGGAATGGAAATTTGTTAGTAATATGAATTAAAAAACAAAAAATATATTTTATCAAAATATCAAAAACCTTGATTCAATTAGATATTTAAATATGTGATGAAATTTCAATGCATGTTAAACTAAAATAAAATCACTGTCTTATATCTATAAAATGTGACATAAGTAACTATAAGAAAGGTCGTTTAAATTGCTGATAAACATATAGATTGTAGTAAACGTTTTTTAATTCGTTAACAGATTACTATATAAAAATCATTTAAAAATTTCGTGTGATGCAATATTTGGTATTCCTGAGAAGTAACAAAATTATGACGCAAATCATAAAAATTGAATAATTTATTTTATCATGTTAAATTAAATCCGACAAAACAAAATTAAATTAAATTCATGCTTTTTTTATTGATTTGTTACGTATTTATAGAGAATATAATTGAAAACAAAAATTATTTTAAATTAGTCGTTGAGTAATGTTACCCACAGGTAATATTTATATTAAAAGTGTATAGTTGACAGCGTTTAACAAAATTCTGTATTATGATATAATATAAATATTATTTAAATAATTCAAAAATATTTAGTGGATAGTTTAAAAATACTTAAACTAATTAGGAATAGTTTTCAGATACAACAATTTTTTATTCTAACAAATATAAAAAAGACATACATATTCTGAAACTATAGAAATTCAAAAATATTAAGAAGCCAT